TTAAGTCGTCCTCATGGCACGTGTGTGCTATTCGGGATAACATCGTTTCAATTAACTTTTGAATCCGTGAATGTTTTTCTTAATTAAAATTCCTTTATAATCTTAAAAGCATGCAGAAAACTAGAAAGAAAAGTTTATTCATCTGCTTACGATACTTGATATCGAAAAGTTTAGAATGAAATGAAGCGAAAAGTTTGTCATGAGTTCGGAGAGGAAGCGCCTGAGTGTAAGTTATTCTAAAACTTATTTTTTGTAGCTTCGTGATTCGAATTGTAAAAGTCTCGGTTGCTTCTCTCTCTTTGATTCCACACAAAAACTGAGAAAAAAAATTATTAAACACAAAAATATTGAGACTTTAAAGAGATTTGTTTAGTGTAGCATGTAAAGTGTGTTCGATCGGTTTGAATTTTACTTTTTCTTAATTTTTGTTTTGTGACTAAATTACTGATAAGCTTTTATTTAAGTTCAGAGGGTGAAATTACAAAAAAAAAATTTGAGACAAACTGTTTTTATTTAGCGAGATCACAAGTGAGTCAAAGTGAAATCTCATTTGAGATTCACATCGAATACCATCAAGATTTGCTCCAGGTAATTTTGAGTTGCAAACCACCATCGTCATTCTCTGCATTTTATGATTGAATCACTGTTTATGGAAATCCCAACTACGTTCACATGTAAATAAAAGTTTAAATAATTTTTTCTCGAGGTTAAACAACCGCATTGGACTTGAAATGTTGTTGAGTTCAATGAAGTTAGAAGACAGTCATCATTGTAGCGTTGTTGTGGTAGGAAAGTGCGATCAGTAGTCACAATGTATTTCTCTCTTTAATGAACTTTACGAGGTTGTGAATAGTTACTTTTATTTTTTTGTGAGTAAAACCGGTTTCAAAGTATCTATTGCCAAGTTAACAAGTTTCAGTTCTCTCACCACATTCACACGTACTTAATTAATTATTTTCATTCATTAGAATCTTTGATAAGCAGATGTCTTGGATATTAAGATTCTTCAATAGATAAAATGAAATTATTTTGCATATATAATTAAATTGGAAGATTTCTTGTAAAAATAATTTCAACTAGTTGGAATGAGGTTTGAGTGCTTTTCCATTAACTCTGCGATATCGTAATCAAAGTAAAGAAGCAATCAGAAGAGAAAAGCTTTTATAATAAATTAAATTCTTCTCTCTTTTCTTCGTCATGGTAACAAAGCTCAAGAGTAGAAATGAAGCATTTTTTATCTACTCAAAACTTAATAAAACTATAATTGATTGAAAACTTTTCAGTTGTTATCATTAATTTGACAGAATATTTTGAAAGAAAAAAACTTTTTTATTTGCAATCAACTTTTGTCTGCCTGTTAGTGATAAAACCAACGATTCAGAATGAATCATATTAAAATCTTCAATTTCCTCATGCAAGAAATCCCATCACTTATTGAAATTTTAATTGCCTCTTCCTATCATGTTAAACTTGTTCTTTTTTCTCTCTGTTATAAATATTCATTAGTCAAAGCTCTGAGTGAAAATAAAATAAAAAACTTAAGCGAGAGAGTCAAAAAGGAAAAAAATAACAAGTAAAATTGTAAACAAAACATGTTTATTTGAACTTGTGTTGTTGAAATAGAATACCATTAATTAGAAAATGCCTTCTGGGAACTTTGCAATCGAGACGGTATCATAAATTTTCATTTGTTTTTGTTTGTTTTTTTTTTAGACCTGAATTCTTGTCTAAGGATTTTTTCTCATCATGTAAAATTTTACCTTAGATAATTTCAGAAATGGATGTCAAATTAACTTTCTTCTTTGGCTTTTTATGCATCGTAACGGCGAAAAGCAATGTTCGACATCCTGAATTTTCTAAAGCATGTCAAGGGCCCTCGGAAGCTTCAGGGGGTTCTCTTCAAGAAATGGTGAGGTCTGTAAACCTGATAAATCTGATAACGAAATTATTAAATGCTTTAAAATGAAATTTTATTTCTAATTCAACAGTCAATTGTTTCCTTGCAATGTCCCAGATGTTCAATCCGACCAAGCTGGTGAAGAAGAATTATCAGAACCACAGCAGATTTTTAAGCAAGACGTGAGATATGATGCAAAACGCTCTTCTGAAATTGCTTTAAGTGTTCTCGACTTATCACATAGAATACTTGACGATATCATGCAAGACAGCAGTCAAGATAAATATCAAGTCATATCACCAATCAGCATTGCTGCAGCTTTACAATTAGCTTTACTTGGAGCCAATGGAATGACATTTAACGAACTGATGGATGTGTAAGTTAATTTACAGCAAAATGATTTTGGCAGAAAAACAAAGAAAAGAATTTTTTTTTCCATTAGAATGGGATACAACACGAAGACATTCTCACAGCATCCTTATCAAATTCATGAAGAATTTGGATTACTTCTTGAAGATTTAGTCAACAACTCTCCCAATCCCACTCGATATCGTGAAAATGTTCCATGGCGTGCAAATGCTTCCAGACATTACGTCCGAAAAACCATGAGGCATCAAAGTAATCTTCCCAACTATGATGAACATATGATAAGCGGTAAGTTTTATATTTAATCTTTTTTATTTAGATACTACATTTTAGTTTAAATGATAGAGAATAAGAAAGAAAAAGATTTTAGTTAATTACAACGTTTGTTATGACAGTTGCTAATGGAATATTCGTTCAACGGGATTTTTCCATTCGTGATGAGTATAGAGAAGTCGTGCAGAATATTTACAGAAGTAAAATTCAAAGATTAGACTTTCGAGGTGAACCGAGAGCATCAGCAAAATTCATTAATGAGTAAGTGAAATGAAAACGAGTTATATGTTAATTGAAAATTCTATTTATTCATTCAGTTGGGTGAACGAGAAAACTCATGGAAAGATAAAGGAAGTAATTCAAGGAAGTGCGAACCCAGAAACTCGTGTTATTCTTGCCAATGCTCTCTATTTTAAAGCTGAGTGGCAGGAAACATTTATCGAAGGAGCAACAGCATTTAAAAACTTTTATCCGAAAGGAAAAGATAATGATTACACTATAATGGTTGAAATGATGGCACATGGAGGTAAACCGTTTCCATGTATTTGAAAAGAAGCTTTTAAAGTCATTAAACTTTAATTCTCAGGAAGTTTCCCGCATTACTACGATGAACAAAGCGATTGTGAAATCTTAGGCTTACCTTACAAGCAGAATTCTACGACAATGTATGTAATCCTACCGAAGAATTCAAACTCTGATAAAATTAGAATAGCCCAGAGAATTTTAACACCCGAACGATTGGAACAAATTATCAGCAAGATGCGCATAAAAACAGCCGTCATTCTTTTTCCTAAAATGCATTTAACAGGAAACTTACATTTGAAGAAAAATTTCAAAGAAATGGGTTTGAGTACATTATTTGAGCCTCAAATCTGTGATTTATCTGTGATGTCACAAGGATATAGTGAACAATCGAATGGAATGAATTTCTCTAATTCATATCTTCCAACACGTAGAAATGCACCAGAATATTTAGCAATCGATCCAAAGGAATCTTTAATCTTCACGAGAAGTAATCGCGAAGCCGGAAGAAAACTGAAACGGGACGTGACGTACAAAGTCAAAGGTGAAAACAGTAAACATAATAATCCCTTATCAGTCAAAGATTTCATGCTTCGAAAAAGAATCATAAAGAAAAATCATGGAAAAAAATTACGTCGAAGTAAGCGCCAATTCATGCAGTTTGCTGCCGAAAAGTTGGACAGTTTAAGACATCGAAAGGATCTTGTTAATCCACATTTATTTGCAGACGAAATTATTCATAAAGTAGATTTAACAATCAACGAGAAAGGAACGGAAGGTGGTGCAGCAACCGCAATTACGCTAAATCGATCTGGTACAAATGTCGTATTTAGAGTTGATACGCCTTTCATGTTCCTTATCAGACACGATCCGACACATGTTCCACTTTTTTACGGTCTAGTAATTGAGCCACAAAATTAAAAAGAAAATGAACAAGCTATAAATAATTAATTATGCTACTTGTTAAGCAAACAAATTAATAACTGTTTTAATTCTTTCTCTTCTTAAATATTTTTATTCTTCTTCAACGCAATTATTTCCATCAAACTGTTTTATGTTCTGTTCTAAGTACACTCACATCATTTTTACAAACATGATGGAAAATATTTCTAAAAATTTCTTCCTTCACAAAAAATATTTTTCATGTCTCTGTTCGACCTAACGACACTCTCAATAAAGGGAAAATTGAATTTTCTTGCCATATTTAATCACAAGTCACACTTGATTATTTATTGAAGTTTAAATTCATTTTTTATATTTAGCTGCAGAAAAATATTTCTCAGTATGATATTTAGCAATGGCAATTTTCAATGTTAATCTTCTATTTTGATATTGAAAATCTTTTGTACAACTAATTTTCAGTTAGGTAGTTAGTTCTGTAGGAGTGAGAGAGGAAATTGTAATTGCATTTCTGAAAATATGTTTATCGAAAAATATTAATTTATTTTACTTCAAGTTTTTAATATGAAAAATGGAATGTTTGGAGTGATGTCGATTCTCCAGTAACTGCAAACCATATTCAAGATATCTTTTTCTTTCAAAACTAAACTTTCTAAAGTCTTTATTGATTTGAAGAATTCAATAAATCAATTTGATATTTTCTCAAAATACATAAGTTAGTCAATCAATTTGAGGGTTCTTTTTGTATCTATGATTCATAATTTTAAATATTTAATTGCCTTTAATTATTTAGGTTTTTTTTCACACTTTGAAACTTCTCAACCATAGCGTCACAAATCCATTACACTTCGTTTTATTTAAATACACAAAAATCATTCAAGTCATTTTTTTTTATTTCGCTGATTAATTTCATTCACTTGAGCTCCTGTTTCAATGTAGTTTTAAGTATCACAAAAATTCAAGTTAATTTTTTCTACTTTCGTCAATTTTTATCAGGATGTAGTTTTGAATTACTCATAGCTGAGGAAAACCTTTCATGTGAAGATTTCTTTTATGTATTTTTTTAATTATTATTGAGAGGCTAAGTGATTAACAATTTTTAGATATTATTTAGTAAATGCAGAATAATTTAAGCATGCGGAACATGTTGATTAATGAAATCTCTTATGTCACTGATTTCCTGAGGTGAACTTTGATGAGCTAATCCACGATACCTGAAATATAGAAGGAAATTTTATTTCACAATTAATTAAAACAAGCTAATAAGCTTACGTCTTAAGTTGAGTAGTTTTTAAGAGCGACTTGAGAAGAGAATGACTTAGTTGTCCAAATTTATAGCTGACAATTGGATCACTGTCTCCATGGCAAAGCAAAACTGGTGTCGAATCTGGGCACACCTTAGCTGCAGGGAAACTGGAATGCAATGGAAGCCAACAAGATAATCCAACAACGCCTGCCAGCTTCTCCGGATAAGTTAATGCTGAGTATAAAGCCAACGCTCCTCCCTGTGAAAAACCTCCGAGAATAATTCTATTAGCTGGAATTCCAGCACGAATTTCGTTGTTAATCATTCCATGAACAGAATGTGCTGCTTCTTTTATTCCAGCCTCATCTTCACTTCCGCCAACCTCAAGACTTCGAATATCAAACCATGAAGGCATTTGAAATCCAAGATTTAATGTCACAGGAATAGTCGCTGCAGTTGGACAATTAAATTGCATGAACGGAGGTCTTTGAAGGAATCATTTGAAAGTTAAAACAAATTGACGTCGTGGAACTATTTATATTTACCTGATTTCATCAATCAACGAACTCCATCCATGACCTGTATCTCCCAATCCATGAAGAAAAATTATCGATGCTGTAGCTTTGCCATTTCTAAATGATATAGGAAAATATGAAAATAAAATAACACGAAAATTTCTTATCGATTATTTACTTTGCTACTCCTACAACGTCTGCCGATTTTCTTATATAGTTTGCTGCTGTTGCCATAGTGGTATTAATAAAGTGTAATGACTGAAAATGTAAATATTTCTTAGTTTCAAAGAAAAAAAAACTTTTAATTTTCTGATTTTTCTCGTGCTTTTTCAAGAATTGGTTGTTCGTTTTTCAAGAAAAATATTTTTTCGGATAATGAAGAAGTTTCACAAATTATATGCAAGGACGGATATTCGAAAAATAATTCAAATTTGATATGTCGTTAGAAATTATAAAGTCAACAAATTGGGTATTGATATGAACTTATTAAACGCTATTTTCTTAAATACATTTTACCTGGTAAGTTCCTTTGCTTACATCGACAAACTGTATGAAAACAGCAATGAAGATAAAAAATAAAATTGAATTCATAGTGTTACGGTCTCTTCCTAATTGAAGAATGACAAAGTTAAAGCTAAGATGAAAGTTTATGAATAAGCACACGACGATATATAACCGGTTTATATTACAGAAAAAATAGAAAGCATCTCTTGCAGTTAAAGTGTTTCAAATATGATGTTTATTTTTTTAATCTACCAAAAATGATTTTCATTCTTCTTAAATTGAGAACTTCTAATATCTTTATAGATAGATACCTAATTTCTGAAAAAATAAAATAAAACTGAACATATTTGGATGCATGCTTGAATATTTTATTATTATAAATTTCGGTTGTGCTTTCGTATAATTAAGTATCTTATTTTCCTAATTCGTTAACAGTAGAAGTTTTCCTTTAATATGATGAAATATTATCTTTGCTTGAATTATTTAATTGGATATGTTTATCGCCGGGTCTAATTGCATATTTGAGCACAAAAGTATTTAAGGCAAGAGTCGACATGTACAGGCAGCATAGTCAAGAGCTTCAGTATTTGCATCACAATCTTCTCTTTCTAGTGCACAACCATTTAATTCTGCACATTGACAATTATAGTAATCAATTGCTTGATCGGCATTACAGCCTACACTACAGCTGCACTTACATTCCTCTGGATTAAAAACCCATCGTGGAAGACAACTTTGTATTAAACACTCGGTGATTTGATTGCCATCTACAACCCTTTGATAATCTTCCAACAGTTGATTATACCATGTATTAAGTTCAAGAGTTTTTGCTCTGACGTAGTCCATATCCAAACGTTGACTGAAGTCTACAACATATTGTAGCAAATCATTGATATCATTTACAATCAAGTTCAAGTTATTCAGCAATATATCTTTCGAGTCACCAACAACAACAAGTGCATTTATTTGCGTTATGACATTATTTAGCAGATCGTCTTTTATACCAGGAAGGTTTTCCCATCCGTTAACTACTTGACATGCACATATACCAAACCTTTTGTTTGCAACTTCATTAGCTTCACAAGAATCGATGATGCATACGAGTGAGTTTGCTTGAACCCAATTATCGAAATCCTCACGTAATTGCAAAATTATTGCTAAAATTTCGTCAAGATCTTCAAGCACCTCATTTACATCATAATCTGTCGTGAGAAGATCGTATAATTCCACAAACAAAGCTCTGATAATTACTGTTCGTTCTTTGAAATCATCAAGTTCCTCTACCGGGCCTATTCCGCTGTATTTATAAATTTCGGTTTCCAAAGCATAGAATAGTTCAAAATGTCCATAGAACGTAACAACTTGGCTGTTGTTCTTACATGTGCATTCTGATTCAACTAAGATGACTTCATCGGCACAGAACGTAAGAAAACATACAGTTGATCCTTGTTCTCTGACAAATGTTTGAACTTTTGTTGTTATTTCTGTTATGAGGTTTGTGACTGTTGTAATTATTGTAGTTATTTGAGCCTCCGTAAGAGTTCCAAATCCTTGCTCAATTTCACCTCGTTTTTGCTCCACTATATCATATGTTTCCCAGAGTTCAGTGATTATTACTTGCACTTCGGTAACTTGATATTTGTGAATAATATCGATGAGAGTCTTGATCTGATCGTCCCATTCATAAATATTCACACCTACATCAAATGTTTCGCATCTGCATTGAGCAAAATTGCGTATTACATTTCCTCCATCTACATTACAATTTAGTCTGCAGATACAACCGCAATCATCTTCATCTCGTTCTGGCCGGTTTGCTGGGCATGAAGATGGGCATTCAGTGTTTGGATTCAAAGAACTTATAAATGCATCAACCACAACTTCTAGTTGAGTAAGCCGAGTTCTAACATATGCAAGATCATCCAATATGATACTTTCAACCAAGTTATCACAGTTATCCCTAAGATATTCGGTCAAGGTTTCAAGACGGTCTGCTATATCATCAAAAATTTCTTGAATTTCAGGTGTGATTTCTCCAGCTTCTGCAATTTTATCTTGAAGTTCTTCGAAATCGTCTAGAGCTTGAAGATATTGATTGTATTGAGGGAATGATGTACAAGGAGGTGAAGTTGCTCCAAGGGTTGGAGGATCTGTTGCAGGCGGTGGGGGAGGCTCTGTTGCAGGCGGTGGGGGAGGCTCTGTTGCAGGCGGAGTTCCAGGACAAAGTGGATCCTCTGAGGAGAAAAAAAAATAAATATATTTGAGTAACAATTTTCGAAAACCATAACTAAGATGACGAAGTATCAATAGATTAAGTTTCATACTTCTTAATTTTAATTCAAGAATTGTTAAGAAAATTATCGGAAAATTCTATGTTTCACATCCACTATTCTGTTTCAAAATTTATCTCATTTTTTTCAATAAAGAACTTACGTATGTAACAAATCAATTTTTCATTGTCAATGCCAGTGAAAGTGACGTCGCATTCCCTGTAGCATTCCTCATTTCTTCTCCCTGTTTATAAAAAAAATAAAAATTAATAAAATCAAAAAAATTACCTAAATTGCAAAAATTCTTACATCCAAAGCAGTAAAATCTTACTCCTTCTATCTTTTTTACCCGTGCGCAATTTTTCTGTCTACAAACATATGTAGGCTTACGTCTACACCAATTGTTGTTGCCTATTATAGAATAAAATTAAAATATTATACTTGACTTTAACTTCTCAGAATACCTGTAGCTTCAACTAAAGCAATTGCCGTGAAATAAAAAAGGATAAGTACACACAACCTCATGGTGAACTGTTCCTTTCAACGCTGTCACTTAAAGAATAGTGAATTTTATTCAAATTAATGCCAATTTATATGTTTCTGCTCGGCAATAATTTCGGTTCGTGTTCCCTTCCATATTACTTATGTGATAAATTCATCTTCCATTTTTTCCCCTCATTTCACTGAAAATTTTATCATTCTACCTATACTGTTGATTAATATTTTATATCAAAGAATATCAATTTGATTAAATGTATATGAATGATTATTATATTCTGAGTTTTTCCACATATTTAATTGTCAAACTATGTAATACTTAAAAGAATATTATATTAGATAGTCTAGTCCGGTTTAAAAGGTTCAATTTAGAAATTGATTGAAGGAGAAAGAATTTCCTTTTGTAAAGTTCTATTAAATCAAGTGAGAAAATAATTCTTTGCTAAGGATTTCATTAAAATCCGATTTATGATTTACGTTTTTATTGAATATTTGAAAGCTCTAAAATTGTAACATCAAATTTTAAAATGTCTACAATCAAATCCCATTTAAGTATTCTAAATGAATTGAGTTGAAATTTCAAAGTTTTCTTATTCGAACAGCCACGCTGGCAACAAATGAAGTTAAAAATTATTGTTCGTCTCTGAGATGATCTACATTGAAGGTTACCAAAACACCTTTTCTTGAAATTTACATTTACTCAGCGCAAATTATCAGACTTATCTCCAAGTCAAAGTGATGATGTTTTAATTTTGTTTTCAAATTCACGAAGAAATTCATTTTGTCCAATTGATCAACACTGTAAATTATCTGAAACGATGGAAATTATTTACCTGAACAATTTCCACATTCCAACATAAAAAAAAAAATTAAAAGCGTGTGATTTCATTATGCAATTTATTTTTTCTTTATTGACATTTATAAGTATTGAATCATAAGATAACATAATCTGAACAAAATGTTCTTTTCTTTGGTTTTCTTTAACATATTTTTTACACTTATGTTAAAAATTTTACTATAATCAATGATTTGTTGCATCATTTTCAAGTTTCGTTTAGACGAATTCTTTGACGATTACTTAAACATGAACTTATTAATTCAAATGTTTTAGTTATTTAGTATAAGACATTGTATGTTTATTAAATTGATTGTGAATTGCGTTTCACTTTTTGTTGTTTTTATCCTCCAAAGCTTTCTCTTCTTGCTGCTTATTTTCTTCCACCATCAACAAAAGTTGCATAATCAAAAGTGATTGAAGTTTATCTAAAGGATCCATAAATCCCCTTTGAAGCCATTTTGGAATTGTTGTTCGAGCGTGACTGAATCCCAATTTATGGAGAATAAAGTCAATGCCATAAGGTTCAATTTGTTGACCAGCCCACGAAAGAAGACGAATTGTTGGTTCTAAATGCCACGTTTTACAATTAAAATTCCTCCAATCCATTCGTAAGAATGTTTCAATATCAACTTTTTCTTTTTCTCTGTCTTTGTCACTACCACCTTTCGATGAATTAACTTTCTTGCTTCCAATCATGTGACGCAAATCCTCTGAACTGTTTGCATTCGATGACGATGAAGCACCAGATAACGTTGTTAAATTTTTATTGCTACTTGATATTGCGAGATTTGACGATACTGACACGTTGTCACTTGCCATTGATAACGACGATGCTCCGATATTGGAAGATGAAACATCCAAGTTGTTTGTCGACTCTTTACTTACAGCTGTGTTTATCAAGTTCGGTGATCCAGAACGAGCATTCTGCGAAATTAAAACTTTTTCTTTCTCCTTCAAATAAGATGTTATCAAATCATGAAGGAAGAAGAATGCATCAGCATCGACAGTAACGAAAATATGATCTTCAAATTCCGTGATGAAACTACACTCGACAAGTGGCTTTTCTTCTATTTAATAATTTTAAAGAAAAACATTGAAATTTATTTATTTGCCATAGAAAAAGGATCAAAAACACTCACGTTTTAAATCAGCTACAGATGGCTGTAAATGTTCAGTTTTAAAATGAAGCTGAAGACTTGGAAGTGCAAAAATTACTTCTCGATTGTGATTATGATCTTGAAGTTTAACATTTGTTGTAACTGAACCAGACCCTCGCGCTCTTTCTATCGAATTTGTGTTCGCTTCACGTGCATCTTTTTCAAACACTGGAAAACGATCGACAGCTGAACAAACAAACAAAAAAATTAAAAACAACTCAAAATTCATAAATTAAATGAACTCACCGTCAATTTCACTATTTGAGAAAGCGTAATGAAACCATTCTTGAAGTGTCTTAAATTGCGGTGGAAAAATTACATTTCGTGACATTCTCACAACAGTCGCCATTGAATGATGTTGCGGAACTGATTGCGGCTCAAGTCCAAGACCAAATGTGAGTGTTTGATTAATATGAAAATCTCCACTCTTCTCAACCTGTTGCTGTGCTTCTGTCGCAAAATTTATGCAAGGTTCGCGTAAGCTGAAAAGTGCCCACGATTTCGACTTGAAATTAATGCCATGGAAGCATGCAAGTGAAATATTCTTTCCATGCAACTCCATCGTTCCACCCAACACAATTCCATTCTTCGGTAAAGGATTCTTAATTGTTGATATACATAAACCCATTGCATGTTTAAGTGGTTTCTGCCAATGACGATGATGACGTGCATCAACCGATAACTGAATATTTTCATCTGCTGCTCCCGCTTCGATCTTCTTTTTCAGTTGTTTACGTCTTAAACTATTCTCTGTTTGTAATTTCGGTTCCAGACCTGTAAACACACGCTTTGACGACTTAAATTGTTGCGAGAAGAAGTCTTCAAGTTTATAAAACATTTTAAGAATATCAGCTGTCGTTGATTTTGATATCATGATTTGGAATTGGTCCCAATTTAAATCACCATGAATGAGAATGATGACTGGTCGTTTAGGAATGGTGTAATAATTATTTGAACGTTTCCATTCATCCTTAAGTGCTGCATTAAAGTCACTTATTCTCATCATTAACACACTCGTTCCCATATAATCAAATTTCAACTCTAAAGCTTTAAATTTTATTCCAATTTTATGATCAGGCTCGTAATTTGGTTCTTCACAAATATGAAAATGTGTATGAATTGTATTGATCTCAACAGTTCCACCGACAATGCCACCTTTTGATTCCAACGTTGATCCACCAAGTCCCAGTGAAATGAAAAGATTTTTATGACCAGAACTTCCAATACTTAAACTTCCATCACTGCGAAATGCTTTCGATAACCACAAGCAATTTCCCATAACATTTCCCATGTTCATTTGAACATTCAACTTCGTAAAATTGATTGCGAACAACACGAGCGTTTCCCAAGATGAATATTGATGATCACCACATGGCGACGATGCATCTGGTGGCGATGAGAATTTTCCTTTTGATGATTTCATACCAACACCACCACCTTTCGACATTTCACTCTCAAGATTTAATTTCATCTTCTGCTTGCTTAAGAAAAGTGGCGACTTTTCATTCGGTGAATGACTCGTTACATCGTCATTTAAATTTGTTTGTTGAACACTCAAATCACCAAGAAACAATCGACGCATAATATTTCGACGATACCAAGCTTTTGGAAATGCAAGAATTTCTGTTAATCGTCTCATATCATATTTGAATGATGCTGTTCCAATGTCAACAATGCTATTGAAACGAATTGTTGCACGCGATGAACTTTGATCAATTGATTTTCTTGGAAGATTTGATTCAAAGTTAAGCTTTCTTGATCGTGTCAGATGAAACTTTACAAATTCTACATTGATACTTAACGAATCTTTTCTTTCATTATCGGTCAGTGGTGGAAATGGTTGTGACTCTTTAGTTCCTGTTGCTTTCTTACTACTTCCGCCATAGGGATGAAAAATGTAAACATTGAAGTCAGCTAAACATCCAGTCACACTCAATCCACCAATTGCTTGTATTTTCATTGACTCTTTATCACTTGATGCATTCTCTTCTTGTCGTTTTGAACTGAAGATAATGTCAAGACTTGGCAATTGCAGCATGCACTCAACACGTGACACTGGCAGACATGAGAAACGGAATGTTGACGGTTTCATGTGGAAGTAAACAATGACATCGACAGGAAATGAAGCATAAACAACATAATTATGTTCAAGCATTTCAAGATTCACTGGATTCGATGATGGAACTGTGAATTGAGCTGTTGGAAGTGGTTCGAGTGTTTGCTCAAGAAACTCCAAAATGTGAGGTGAAATGATTGTTTCTTCTGGAATGCTTTGCAGTGTCAACCAAGCAAATAATGAAGCACGCTTTGTACTCATTCGTCTTGTTGTATTTATTGGCATTCCAAATGGATCAATTGATTGAACTTTCGGTGACATGTCATCGGGAAGGGTCTTTGACTGATAATGAAGTTTTACATCCAATCCAGGAATGTGAAAGATTGTGAGGTCAACGAGAGCACCAGCACTTGTGTTGTATTTGAGTTTAGATTTCTCTTTATTTCTTCGATTTGGCAATGGACTTCCGTGATCTGTTCCAATGCTTCGTTCACGACGATGTGTCTTTACATTGCTTGAATAATTTGACGATTTCTCATCAGAAGATTCTTTTGTGTGAAGAACACATTTACCAGAATTTATGACAACTTTAACATCAAGCTCGAAATCGATGTTTGGTTCATGAGGTTTCTGTGATGTTACTGGTGGAAGTTTCTTTCTCAATTCAACATTCTCACCATCAATGTTTATCGTTTGGACACCTTCGTTTATTGAGACCATCGATGGCCATTCTTGTGAATAATCAGCATCGGAATCAGCACTTGGAAGTGACGTTTGTCGACGTAAACTCTCCGAGAATTGAACTCTTTGTGGAATTTTTATTCTCAAACTTGAACTGTTATGACTGGAAGGTGAATTTTGTTGTGTTATTTCACTATTTTCATCAATTGGCATAATCATATCATAAGCATCAAAATCTATATGTTCATGTGTTGGGGATGGTGCAACAAAAGATTTCGATCGATTCGATGACAGCATCATTGATCGTTTTAAAGCTGAAGGACGTTTAAGTTTCTGAGAATGAGAATAATTAAAAACATTTTTATTTATTACAAAAGTTGATAAAATGGAACATTAATGAGAGATAACAGAGAAGTTCATATTTGATCAGCTTGAGCCTCAAACGTGTCTCATTCGTGTGACATCAGAGCAAATACCATAATATTCATACAATTGAAAACAGAAGAGAATAAAATCGATCAATAAAATGATTAAAACTTATACATTAAAGTTTAATTGGAATAAAAAGAATTTCAAGTTAATTTTACAATAATAAAAGTGTCTTTAAAATTTAGGCGTTTTTGCGTCTTAAGTTCAACAAGAACATTATCAAAATAACCTCTGTTTTTTAATATGATATGAGACATTTGGAATTTTATAAGAAACAAAAGCCAAATTTACGCCTTGATCAAATTCCCATAAGTTTTGTTTAATTTTCAGTAAAAACAGACATTTGAATGAAGTCATCAAGTAGAAAATATCGGAAGATTTAGGTAGTATTTAAAAACGTTGAAAAGGGGCAGACTACTACTTCCTACGTACTTAAATCTAAATTTTCCGTTATTTTTTTGTTACTCACTTGAATCATATCTCTGCGGAAATATTTGTAGCACAAAGCTTGGAGCTCTTCAAGTCTTCTTTCCTCATGTGATATGGTATTGACACTTGCTCCCAAACTTCTCAAGTCACTAACAATCTTTGTTTGTTCACTAATTTCATTTTCCATTAACTGCGATCGCTTCTTTGAGTCAAGAGTTGGGTCGAAAAGAAATGAAGGAAGTGAATCGAGTGTCTTCTTTGTTCGTGGTAAAATATCTTGTGATATCTTTCCAGAGCAACTGTCACTGTCTGGACTTTCTAATGTCACTTGATCATCATCTTCTTCAGCACCAGCTTGCATTTGCGTTAATGTATGACCTAAAGCTGAGAGATGTTTTCCAATGTTAACATCAAGATTTATATCAACTCCTTCCATCTGCCATTTAACATTCAAAAACCATTTTGCATTCTCATGTAACTTCTTTGATGCAATTGTCGTCGAACAAACTTCGTAAGTTCCCTCAGACACAACACACAAATTCATCATGTCTTCATTAATATTTGGCTTCCAATCGTCAAGCGATGAATCAAAGTCATCAGCAAAACGGAAACATAATCCAACAAATTTTCCTTTCGACACCAGTGATCCTGAGCTACAAGCCGAAATGATTGTGTTCTCTAAAGTGATCACCGCATATTTCTTCTGCTCAAAATCTTGAACAATTGATCGTGCACCCCAAGTATTACTGAGTGGGGGAATATTAAGTGGCATGCAAATGCCCATGTCTTCAACAGTTAATTGAAGGAAAAGTGTTGATAAATTTGATGCACTAAAAGGAACTTTATCAAAGACATGTTGTGTTGCTGTTAAAACTTCCATATTAAGATTGGCACGCTTCTCAGCCCAATACTCGTAAGCTGTCTTGTAATTCAACCAAACAAGAATTGCTTTGTCAATTGCAATCGGCTGAAAGTATACCAAAGGACGTTTAAGGGTAATCAATACAAGTTCACGATCATCATTAAGCATTTCATTTTGAAATGCATTCCGAAATCCGATTGTTGTATTGAAGAAAGCATATTGTTGAAATTCAGGTTCAGCTTCATCAAAAATGACATTCTTGATGATTTGTCCCAATGATAAATTCAAATCAATTTGCGCTTTTCCAAAAAGTTTCGTATTGGAACCATCGGCAAGATTCTTAACACGATTCGATAAATGAAAATCAATTGAGCCGGTTTCAAATCTTACAGCACTCGAACATGGCGTTGTTGCTGTTAATTGAATGCGTTTTACATGAATATTAAGTGAAAATAAAACACGACGTAAGTTTGAGTGTGATTCTTCATTCTCTTCCAACCAAAGTGGATTTACTGGCTTTTCACCGCCATAAATTTTCTGAACAACTTCGTTAATTTCCTTCATGAAAACTTTCTGAACAAAAACGAGATGATTAAGTAAATCGGTTGTTAAACAACGTTCGAATTCACCAATCTCTGCAAATGCTGACAAGTAGCCGCCTTGTCTCAATATCACACCATCAATGTGAGTATCTTTCATTGAACCTGTTCCATCTTCTGGAATAAATTCAGCACTTATGTGAACCTGTGGCAATGGAATGCTTGCTTGTGGTGGTAGATTTGCTGTTGAATCTTGTGATGAAGCTTTCGTGATAAATGACAATGATTGTGATGGAAGATCGATGTTAAAGTTCGCTTTCTTTCCAGTCGATCCTTTTCCTGTCACATTATCCATTTTATATTGTGCTTGAAGGGATGGAAGAAGTGACGCTGTTATTGACAAACTTTGAAGGAAAACATTAAATTGCATTAAAAGTGGCTGAAGTAAACCACTTCGAGTCTCTCCTTGTTGTTTATTCATCGAAGAACGATTCAGCACTTTTGATGACTTTTCTTTTGTTTTCTTCTCTTTCGTCTCACGACTATGCATTGGCGATTCTAAATCTTCATTTTGTTTCGATAATCTCGCTGATGTTCTCGTCACACGAAGTTCTTGTAATGTTGTTGATAATTGTTTTGAACTTCTCGTCACCATTCCATGAAGTTGAATTGGATGAAGTGGAATGTCAATGAAAATCGCACCAATTGTCAGCAAAGCATTATTTTTATCTTTTCCTTTCTTCGAGACACTCGAATAGAGTGTTTGACTCTTACCAACAGTGACTTTTACAACTGTCTGTTGATTTGGTGCAACACCTTCTAACAGCACAATCATTGCACGTCCAATTTGTCCGGTTAAGGAACATTCTAATGACACTGGTCTCGTCTTATTTCGCCATGTTGTGCTGCTGTTAAACGAAGTTATTTCCGCTTCTAATTTCAATCCACTTAATGTTGCAAGTAATCTCGTTCGATTTATTTTCACAACACCAAAGACAATCAATCGCGTCTTCTCAAATGTCTGAACATGTTGCATTGCTGAATTCTTCTCATCATCAGCAGCTGCATCAAAGAAGTGATTTGATCGCAATTTTGATTTGAGATTTGCAATTGCGTCGGGTGACAATGACACACGATGACTTAAAGTTTTCATCTCTGGCATTGCGGCATAAATGTCGAGAAGATTGAAGATTGTAGTCCAACATTTTGGTGTTTCAACAACATTTTCAAAATTAATTTGTGACATTTCAACGAAAGCTTCATTGACTAAAGGTCCACTGGTTGGTGGTAATGAACTTTTCTGTTCTAAATTAATTTTTTGAATGCTTCGTTCAATTGTTGGACTTGCTTTGTTTGGTGTCGTCACTGATTCACTTAAATTTGTATAGCCAAGTTTACCTTTCACAGTTTTTCCAGTTGATCTTAATTTTTGTGCGAAACTTTGTGGTCGTGCACCAGAAGTTGATGGTAATGGAATCAAAGGTCCCAATGGTGGCATTTTTGTACGACTTATTGAATGTCCAAGTGGAAATGCATGAGCTGTTGTTGGTCCCAACTCATTAAACTTGTCATATCGTTCATCAGAGTAATCAAAGATCACACTGTCCATTGGAGCTTCATGAATCGAACCAACAAGTGTCGCATCATTCATTTCCGAAGCTAAACTCGATTCATCTTTAATTGGCAAACTTCGCTTTGTATCTGGCTGATCTTTCAACTCGTCTTGAGCTTCTTTAACGTTAATGTACATGTTAGAAATTTGATGTAAAAGACGTAAAAGTGGCATATTGACTTGTTGCGATATGTAACGAATATTTAGACTGAAATTGACGACAGTGCTTGTATGCTTTTTCAATTGACCTCGTGACATGTAAAGATGCTTCGGTTCGTTAATTCCACCATCAGACATTTTAAGAATTTCCAATTCAATATCAATTCTTTCAGATAAAAATGATGGCGTTTCATTACCACAATTTAAAGAGAATTTTCCATTTGATTTCTTTGATATTTTAGTTTTGGGTTTCTTATCGCCAGCTTCACTTACAACAATATCAATGCGGAATGTGTCGAAGAGACAAACAAGTGAAAGATTCGTTCCAAGATTCTCTAAAGATGTTGCATCTTGATTATTGTCATAGCATTTTGTTGGCATGACATCGAGACATGTTAATAAAGGCTCAAAAATCAAATGCGCGTCTAATAATCTTCCTGAATCTTGCGCATTGAAAGCATGTATGTTTGCTTTGTTTGGTGATGTTCGCATGTCACCTTTGTCAGCTTTATGTTCATCATGTTTAGTTGATGATGTTTGTTGTTTCGCCATCCACGAATAAAGATCATCTTTGACATTTGACGATTCTCGATAACTGACATTTGGCGGGGGTGGACGTGGTGGTGGAATCTTTTCATTAGAATCTGTTGAACTGCACATTGACCCTATCGATCCACTCTTCAAAGCACCATATTCAATGTGAGGATCTTGTTTATCAACCAATCCTAGACCAGACATCATCGGGAACATTTGGATACTTGAACGTGATGATGGCGGTGGGACATTCTTATACAAAGTCTTTTTTCTGTTAAATGAGATGTAAAATAAATAATTCAAAAATTTCAATTTGAACAGGGATAGGAACCGGTTCAATTTTAAGTACAAGAACCGGTTCCGTTTCAAGTATTGAAAGTTTTTCACACTCACTTTTTCGATGAATTTATCGTGCTTGGTGACGAATTAACTGACTCTGTAAGCTTTGCGATATGTAATGTTGAATTATCTTCCGGTATGTTTATCACTGTTGTAAAATGAAGAAAATCACAATCAAACATTTAAAGACTTTGTGTGAAACAAACAAAAACATAAAAAAGCAAGAAATGAAACATGAAGTGAAAGAGTGCGACAATCTCACCGTGTTGAGTTAATGGACGTTGTTTTAAAAGCAAAGCACTTTCATTTTCTTCATCAACAGTCATTAAATGATCAATTGTTACTGGCAATTCTTGGTTGTCATCATCATTATCATCGTCCTATAAAAAGAAAATTGCGAAAGTTGAAGATGAAACTCGAGGATATGAAATTGTTATTAAATTATGTTGCAAATTTTTCAATTAGTGTTCAGTGATGCGACACAAAAGACTAGAAATCTAAAGTTTATAAGTTGCCATAGCCCTCATCCCACAAACAAGTTAATCAATCAGTTTTGATATTTTGTGACCGACCCCAACGTAAAACTTACCAAACACTTTTTGCATCTGAAAATCAATTTTCTATTAAAAATTTATCTTTAATTATTTATTTGGTTGTTGTGTGTCACCGAAACTTTAAATGATTATTATGGCAAGTAAATTATTCTCAGAGAATGTTCGCAATAGTTAATGAAATTTCCTTTTAAAATGTCAAAATGTTCGTCTACTTACATCGTCTATTGTTGGCACTGAGAATGTCGGATTCATGCTGGGCCTCTTAAGCTTTCCTTTATATTGATGTTCAAACAGCATCGGATTGTAGAGAATGCTTTTCCATTGACGGCTTAACACGATGACTCCCTGTGAAGATGAAATTAAAAATAAATGAAAGCGATTGACGATCTTTCTCAACACTCACTTGACGTAATGTTGATAACGGTGGGACAAACTGTTGTTTTAGATTTCCTTCAATCTTATCAACACCCAATGTCGTCACATATTGCTGGAGTATTGTGAAGAGCTTACAACTGCAATCATCTTGCAGAGTCTTCGCCATTGGTGTAAATTTTAAAGGATATCTCGATTTTGGTAAACGATAATTACTTTGCTGTTCAAGTGCTTCACACATTAACGACGTCACAACTGCGGTTTCTCTTTGATACAACATTCTCATCATTGACACAACTTTTATTGCTAAGCGATTTGCTGGATTCATCCATGCTGTGATTGATGGCGCAGCTGTGCTTAAAAGATTCCAATCAAGTCTCGAATAGTCAATTTTCTTTGTGATTGGAGCACGCGGTGGTGCTGCAAAGTTAAACCAAGTTGTCTTCAAATCAATGATGCAAGATGAAATTTTTCCATTGTCATTTGTCTGATCTTTTGGCATATTTATTGGCGTTGGATTTAATTTCGTAGCTTGCGGCTCAGAATTTGTTTCATCCTCAAGAATAATTGGCGGTTCCTTCTCCATTTTACCTTTTTCGGGATCTTTCTCAGTTTGTTTCAATTTAGAACTTGCATTTGGCTTCGGTGTTGTTGGTTTCTTCATAGCAATTTGTCTGACTGTCGTTGCAATTGCCTCAGCGGCTTTCATCGAGCCAGCTTCATTTAAAAGTTGAACAAAGTTCATTGCAGTGTGCGATGTTGAATCAGCTGCTTTTGTCTTCTCAGCGACATTCTTTAATGTGTCTTCAGCATTGTCTGATTTCTCAAACTGTGATCGCTTCACAATCTTTATGCTTATTCCTTCAAGACCACACTCGAACATTATAAAACCTAATCCATTAATATCACTCGACTCTTCAGGAAACTTCGTGCAATCGAACATTGCACGACTTCGATGGGATGGAATTGCTGTGATTATTGTCTGAGATTCTTGTGAATATCCTTCATTTTTCAGTCTTCTTAATTGAGCGTGCGCTTTACCAATGTCAAGTGTCAACACCAACTCTTCAAGTTGATTCTCAGATGTCTCAATAAGAATCGCTTCCAATGGACCTGATTCAGTTCGATTTGTGCTTGACAAATGTGCGAGAAGCGCTCGCGTATTGCTGATAAGTCCGCCTTTCTTAAACACTCCAGCTCTGACTGTTGGTTGTGTATAAACTGTTTGCATGCAAGCTTTCGTCTGCTGGCCGAGATGAAACTTCATTGAAACATTATCGAAACAAACAGCTAACAAACTCGCACAACTCAACTCTTGAATATTATCAAGTGCAGCAAATGAAATGACTTCTTCAACAACAGAACTTTGAATCATTGAAATGTTAACACGTGGAAGCACAACCAAACCTTGGAATTGTGTTGAAATACTTTCCTCGTAAACATCAGTCATGACAGGCATTCCAGCTTGAAGATTTCTTTCCGTTGTTGATCGTTTTGAATTTGAATGAATTTGTGACCAATAACTTCTCGATTGATCGCGTTTTAAAATGTTCATCGCTTCAACTTTATTCACACATGAATTGTGAAGATGATTAACAACCGTAAGTGGATGGAATGATGATAATGTTGGAATTAAAGCTTCAATCATTCGCTGACTTGACTCGAGTAGCAATGGGGTTAACATAACATCAATTTGACCTTTAAATCGAACGACAAGTGACGTTCTTGATGCTGGCATTTCACCATGAAATGTTCCAAGGAATTCTTGATCTTTCTTTCCTTCTTTTTCATTTGATTTCTCTTCATTGCTGCCTCTCACAACCACCATTGGATCCCATGGATGTGACTTTGGTGGAGCTGATGATGATGGAATGTTTTGATTTCCACTTGATGCTGTTGCCGTCGTGCCGTCAAAGCGTGGAATGATTTTGATTTCTCTCCAATGGGAATAATTATCGAAATGCGGGACAAGTTTACTTCCAATGTAAACTAAACCACCGTCGTCATTCTTTTGAAACAAAGGCATTGAGAAGGAATCTGATCCAGTTGGAAGTGAACAATGTGACCAATTTGAACAACGAACTTGAGCAAGATGAGTCAAATACGATGCCATCAACAAAGGTGAGTCAACAATTGGACGATTTGCTTGCATATGAAGATTAACTAATGTCATGTCTTCTTGTGATGATAAAGCAGAAATGAATGAACTCGATGACAATGAATGTGATTCAGATGAATCGGGGTTAATCTGTTGATAAAATTACATAATTTGATTTATTTTAACATTTCAAAAAATAGTTTAAGAAAACAATTTTCAATTAGGTATTTTTATAAAAACTTAAATCAATTCGAAATAATTTTCTCAACAACAAAAAACACAAACAGAAAAGAACATTTAAGATCCAACAAGCTACTCACGTCATAAACAGGTTTAAAATGACGAAATTCTGGTCGTGGAGAAATATTATTGAATTTTCTTAATGGTGTCGCTAAATTATGCAATCGTCGTTCATCATTCTAAGTGTGTTAATTTATTATTTGGAAATGATTAGTTCTTTAACTTTCTTACTTAACAATATTAATTGGACTTTGTAGAAGTTTTAATACAAGAAATAAAGACGAAAATGAAAGTTCTACCAAACAAAATTGCGAGAAAAGAAACGTTGAATGTCATGAACAAAAACTTACCAATTCCGCAGTGCTTTGTGGTCTTGTTGGAAGTCGATGTTCAGGTGTGTGAATCTCGTAATCACTTCGATGACTTGAAAGCTTTCCACTCGCATCCAATGGTCCAACGATACTCAAATCTGAGGCGAATCGCTTCTTCGGACATCCAAGTGGCAAACTTACGTCCGTCGTCTTTAAACTTGAACTTCGCGATGCGTGAATTTCTTCATCAGCACTAAAGAAAGCTTCTGATGGATTTTCTGATGTCAGGGAAATTGTTCTTTGAACATCACGCAATGTTACATCATCAGAAAATTTCGGACTTAATGAATGTTCCGAATCAGATTGCATTGGATGCGACGACTGCGGTGCTGATCTTGACAGCAGATCTGAATCGTCGTCTTTCTGTGATATTCGACACTCAAAGTCAGCTCGTGAATGTGATTGACGTGATTCACTTTGCTTCTGTTGTTGTGTTTTAGGACTTGAATCGAGAAGACGATAAGGAACATCGTGGACTTGCCTGGAAATGATAAATCATTAAATTTTTAATTATTCTTGTAGTTAGCAACATACAAAACTTGTTCAAACTTGCTGAGCAGTTTCACCTTTTGCATACCGTAAATAAATTTACATTTGTCTTGAACTTTCGTCAACGTGAATGCTTAAACTTTTCATCATTCACGTTAAAAATATTAAAAACGAAAAGTTCGTAGGAGGGAACGAAAGCGGCTCAAATTTTCTGGAAAATTGAACCGGTTCCGATCCCCGATTTAAATTTAATTAAAATTAATAAAGACAACTTACTTTGAGTTCGTATACGAGAATCGTCGTCCACGTCGTTCAGCAGTGATTGGCGAATTGCTTTCCTTCTCTTTGACACGTTCCAATGTTGATCTTCCTGATTTATCACGAACAAAAGTATTGTTAGGCGAAACATCAGATTTATGTGATGAATGAAAGTTGTCATGTTTTTGTGGCAATGGGGACTTTGAATCAAGTGTTTGACGTGATGTACGACAAGTATTTTTGCCAATATATTCATAACATTCTTGTAACGATATCGTTTGTAGACTGTACGGTGGTGTGTGGAAAACAAGTTGATTATCATGAACTAAACTTTGTCCAAATCCAAACTCTTTGTTACCACCAATAATGTGGTAACGTGCAATGTTAATTCCATCTTGTAAATCTTGTGGTGATGGCTTAAAGAACTTTGGGCCATTACGATTACTACCGAAGAATAAACATCCGCCCAAACAACCACATTTGACATCACTCGTCGTCCATAAGAACATCAAACGTTTCGTTCTTTCGTCATGAAGTTTCAGGTAATTATTTTGAACAAGATGCAAACAATGTTCAGGAATGGGTAACGCTGTAGCTGCTTCAATAATCACAGGTCCAAAGGCAACACAACCAACTTCAAGCCAAGGCTCGTGATAACTTTCACTGTCGCGTGTTTTATGTGAATGAATGGAAGAATAAATTTCATCACGTTTGAAATGATTTTCATCTTTTGAGCGTCGCATTGAACCATATGTTGTTGATATCTCGTCTTTATCGCGAGATCCACGTCGATAAAGTCCATATTCGTTTTCTTTCTTCGCTTTTATTGATGCTTCATCACCTCGCTTCATAAGTGGATTTAAATCATCTTTCTTATCATCAACAGTCTTTGAATTTTGACTGCTTTGCAGTTTCGATGATCGTCCACTTCCTGTTGTGTTCGTGTTGCTATGTGAATTGCCATTATTGTGGTTTAAATGGGCACCAGTTGCAACAAAATGTCGAATTAACACGTTGGGAATCAATGCAGTAATTCCTGATTTTACTTGTTGCCCATGTAAGTTGCAAGTCGAAAATCTTATCGGTGAAATCCAGTTATGAAGTGCACAACCATTCTCTACGATGTAAATATCAATAGCGTCAATTGCAACACGAATCATTCGATATTTAATGTCTTCAGATGATGGACAGCGATATTTAACATCTTCCTTCGTTTGTGGACAAACGTTTGACGCCATTCCATGATGACAATAAAGAATACTTTTCGGTGATTTCAAATCATTCTCAGAATCAAGTGCAAGATAAGCCATTGATTCAAGTCCCATTACAACATGTGTTAGTTGAGGTAAAGTGAGCTTTCCAGAGAGCTTTCCTAATTGTATCTCAAGTAGCCAAGCATACTCGAGCGTATCTTCATCAAGACAGCGATTCTCATTACTAAACATTGCATGACCACGAATTTGCAATGCCGACAATAACAAATGTCCTTGCTTTAAATGCTTTTCCTTGGATGGACGTGGATAATTATCAGGTGAGATAAGGAATGCTGGCGAAACGAGTACTTGAAGTTTTGTCTCGAAGAATCTTTTGTTCATTTCGAATCCTAATCGTTCAATCAATACAATTGGACATGGCGGATCATTTGAATTGCAATTCTTCATTAAATGAGCTTGAATATCATGAATTGTTAATATCACAGTCACATCAAGTGGACGATAAAGACGTGGATCGAAACTTTTTGTCTGCTTTTCTTCAGCTTCAATCGATGAAGCTGCTTCTGATATTGATTTATTTATATCATCTTTAACTGTCGTTGATTTCACAGCAGAAGCAGCAGCGCTAGCAGTCTTATGAGAAGTTGACTTGGCATTCGATTCTTCCATGTCAGTAAACATTTGATCTTCACCAAAAATATTCTCTTTAAGATAATAAAAGTTCTTTAAAATTGATCCATAAGCAAACAGCATTGACGATCCAATCTCAATTTCGACAGTCACTTCATCAGATTCAAGTGTTGTTGGATTGAAATGTTGTTGGCCGTTTGTCGTATTCCAAGTGTAAGTTGTCGACTTTTTACTTTTTGGAATGCGCATTGGTGAGAGAAGAATTTCTTCCTTTTCTGGTGTTGTTATGTCAGCTTGTGGATCAGGGCCAAGCGGTGGCATTGGATGGTAAATGTATTGAATAGAAATTGCAAGAATTGGAACACTCCAACAATCAACCCAACCAGATTTCTTTAAACAAACTCTACGCCATTTTCCACCATGAATTTCACTTTTCTTCTTAATTTGCCCTTCTCGTGTTAAAATTGTTGCATTTTCATCAATTGCATGAATTATTGGACGACTTGTTGATATCTCAGGAAGGTAAAGACTCAAATCTAAACCTTCGCCATGAATCCAGAACTTAAGTGGAACGGTATTCGGTAAATAATCATCAAATGGAAGAGCGAAACTTAAATCAAAAAGATCACCACAAAATGCCAGATGATTATTCTCCTGATTTGTACTTGAACAATCAATCCAATTATATTCATTGCTGATTGTTATGATTTCAAACTCTTTTAAAAGCACCGAAAATTTACACGTGTAAGGAACGAAATTGAAAATGTCTGGTTGAGTTTTTGTCGCCCAATCTTCAATTAAATATTGGAAGAATTCTTTATGCCAAAAGACGATGTTAGCTGTCGCTTTATAACCGATTAAATTAATCGACCAATCTTGATGTTCATTCCATTTCATTGGATATTGAATTTTGATGTTGTAATGAAGTGATTCAAACTCAGCTAAGCTTCGATATTGTAAACTTGTTGTTGCATCAACATGAAGGAATTGTCCAGTGATCTTCGTCGCGAAGCCATCTTGAAGCGTTATCCAAGGTAAAACTGCTTCCATGTAACTTCCCGGTCCAATATTTATGTGAACAGCGTTTGTTTCTTTCTCTTTTGAGAAGAGAATGTCGATCGTTGCATGAGTCAATGTACTCCACTTAACATCAAATGAATGGACGATTCGCCGTTCACCAGGCTTTGGTGCTGGCGTTGGTTCGAGATCTTTATAGTCTTGTGGAAAAAAGAATTTATAAAGATGATCTCGTTGTCGATCGGCCCATGGACCGTAACTTATGTTGCTATTGCCTTTGCCACATTTAATATCAATTCCCCAAACAGGTGGTGCTGCTTCAACCACGTCTCCATTTGCTAATGTCACAAGCACTGGCTCTTCAGGTACAACGCCAGCTTCGTCCATATAGAAGTAAAGATCAAGGAAGTTCGACATCATCACAACGAAACCTTCGCCCATAAATCTTGGCGGTTCATCGGTCATTCCAATATATTTTGGACTCGGCGCAAGAAGAACTTTTGCATTTTCAACTTTCGCTTTTACAAAATGCATGAAATGATCGAGTGGATTGACAGCTGGTCTTGTGCTGTAGACACAACGAGCTTCTTCGAGACAAATTGAAAGTGTCGTTGGTGTTAAACGATTGCCAAATGAAAAACGTCCTGAAGATATGTCGAGCTTAATGACAGGAATTAAATCACGCCACGTTCTTGCATTCATCGCTTCTGGTCTTTTCTTCTTTAAATTCATCTTTTGATTCTCCAAGTTCAAAGCTTGTTCTTTGATTTTCGCCAACTCTTCGGCTGACATCGTCTGTGTTGGAATCAAAATTGATGACTTCAATCCAAATGCTTTCTCAACTTCTGCATATAAATCGGAGCGATTATAAATGTGAAGCTCAAAACTATTCAACATTATCGACAGTCGAGTTTCAGAATGTGAGAGATCAGTTCGAGCATCGGAAATATCTTTTGGAACGTAACGACTCCACCATCGAAATATTACGTATCCGTCTTGTACACGACATGAATAGTCGTAGTTTATGTAAACGAGATCACGAAACATTATTTTACCTGCCAGTGGATTGATAGTTATTGAGCCTATTTTGAAATATGCTGTCTTGAAGAAGAGCTTGTTCATAAACTTTGTAACAAGATATCCTATGATTCTATGATTGTAAAAAGTGATGTAAATTATCCAGAGATATGTTAACAAAAGTGCAAAGCAGAGTTGAGGCTGAAAATATGTAAACCAAAATAAATAAAAATAAATTTAAAATTATTTTAATAATTATTACCATGTCCTTTGTTGAAATGACTTTGTGAATGGTCTGGATAGTGTCATTAAAAATATCTGAATTAGACTTTTCAGTTGTTGTCGATTCGCCGAGAAGGCTGCTCAATGTTGAAATGTTTAAATATTCGACATCCATTTTTGCAAGTTGTTAGTCTTCGAGCTTAGACGTAATACAAAATAAAACTAAGAAACTATTTACAAACAATCTGAAAGAAAACAAAGAAAAAGATTTTTTATTAATGCATTTTGTTGTCCTACATCGCACAGCATAAAATATTTCATCATGAAAAATCGATAATTTCTCAGAAAAGTAAATTTTTCAGTTTTAAGGCGTAAAACTGGTTAGATTCCATCAATTCATATTTAAAACGGTATACACAACTAATTAACACCTCATTTCATGTGTTTTACGCAGTTTAAAATGTAAGAACATAGAATTTTTTGATATTTTTTTTTTCTTACAAAGGGCGAGACTTTAATATGCAATTTTTCATGATAAAACAATATTTAATCTAAAAATGTTCACTTTACTGAAGTATTTACAAAAGCTAACAGCACTTTAAGACTACTTTTAATCCATTTTAACACGTTAAACATTAGTTTTAGATTTTTTTGTATTAGGAGAATCAATTTTAATATCGATCTTCTTCCTTTCTTGCGATTTCTTGAAGTGAAATAAACAAAAAAATCAGGGGTCGGAAGGTTAACGATTTTTCGCAAAAAGCTTCCGGCTTCTGCTTCGGCTTCTCAGTTTTCTGCTGAGAAGCTTCTCGCTTCCACTTCGGCTACCCATTCTTTTGTCAAAAGTTTCTCGCTTCAGCTTCTCAGTTTTTTGCTGAAAGCTTCAGGTTCTCAGAATTTTGATAAAAGCTTCTCGCTTCTACTTCAGCTTCTCAACATTCTCGAAAAAGCTTCTCGCTTTCGCTTCGGCTTCTCAAAAAGATGATCTTTAAGCTTCCGCTTCTGCTTCCGACTCCTGAAAAAAATTATTTGCAGGGTGTCAAGTACGGATTTCGCATGTTTCGCATAGACAACGCATGGATGCGGAAGGCATATCGGCAAAGGGTACACAAAAATGTTTCTTTAATAACTCTTTAATTAAACACTTTTTAGATAGAACGTCTTAGACACAAATATACATTTCACGATCTCCTATCAATCGTCTCAAGACATCCTTGCAATTCATTGAGACATTAACGAAATATTCAAGCAAAAACATTATTAATCTTGAACCGTAAATTGAAAGTAGCTCAAAATCTTTGACTGAAACAGTTCAAAAGTTGTAAAATTACAAAATAAAAATTTTCATCCGATTATTCAAAGTTTTTTTAAAATGCTTACTATTTCTTAAAGAAGTAACGACTTTAAGTCTAGATAAAGCATCTTAGTAATTGCATGAACAGTTGAACTGTATCAATTCCATTAATTTATCAACATAAAGAGTTTTGCTTGGAAAAAAGTTTTTGGATCGATGAATTCGGGAAAAAAGTTTAATTTCTTTCTAATTTTATAATTAAACAAGAATCAAAGTTTTGAAAGTGCAATATAATTATGAGAATAATGATATCTTGTAATTAAACAACTGAGAAATCTTAATACGACATTTATTGTGCACCTTGAACCCTAAGTGGGATAAAAATCATAAACAGAATTTAAAATTAATTAAAACAAACGAATCAGAATGACGAATGATACCTCAGCTTCGGCATCAAACTATACTCCAGCCAACTACAGGAGTGCTGATGTTTTTGGTGGAAATTATCCAATTCAAACTCCCGCAGGTGAGAATTTCTTATTGTTCACAATTTTATTCATTTAAATAATTTAATTCCCTTATCTCTTATCTAATCTTACCGTAATACGCAATTCATCATCGTAGGAATAGTCCACTCAACTCAGTCAACCATATCACCACCATTACCACCTCGACCTAATTCCATGTTTCAACAACCTCAGCTTTTCTCCCCTTACGGAAACAATTTCGGGTATGGATCGTCATTTGGCAATGGATTCTATGGAATGGGACAAGGAATGGGATTTAATTCTTATGGGGGTGGTTTTGGAAGCTACCGAGGTGGATATGGATGCAATCCATTAGACCCAGAAACAAGATTCATACAAATGGCTGAAGAAAGCTCTCGAGGAGCGTTTCAGAGCATCGAACAAGTTGTTTCAACGATTGGAAATATTGCAACAATGCTTGACTCAACGTACTTTGCTTTAACAAGCTCATTTCGAGCGATTCTTGGTCTTGCCGCTAACTTTTCGCAAATGCGCGGCTTCTTTGCAAAATTCTTCTCAACATTCGCAATTTTCCGAACAATTGTTTGGTGTTACAAGAAACTTCTTTACATGATTGGAATATCAAAAACAAATCCATCAACGGTTGTTAATTTAAATGAAGCATTTAAGGATGCTGAGAAGGTTAATACAAATGACTTCTTTGATTCAAATGCTCAACAGTCAAGCTCGGGATTGCCAATGGTGCTGTTTTTAGCATTCATTTTCTCAGCTCCTTATTTTATCATGAAGATTTTCGGATCCTTAATGAACACAGCAACTGATCAAAGTGAGTGTTTACTTATTTAACTATTTTTACTCATTTGTCTAATTATGACGATTTCCAAAATTTCTTCCATTTTCAGCGAAAACTCCTGCAACGTGGCAAAACGCTGTTGATGCGACGGTTTTGTACAACTTCAACGGTGAAAATCAGTCAGAATTAAAACTTAGAGCTGGTCAGTTGATAAAAATTGCACCAAAGGAAATCCAACAAATGAATCGTTTGTTGTCAACAAATTGGCTTCTTGCAACACCTGATGGTAAAAACGTTGGACTGGTTCCAGTTAATTATATTAGGAGGGCTGATGTTGCTCAGATACCGAATGGTGAGGTTGCTGATGTTACAATGGAGCCAATTGTCATCAAAAATGATTCACCAGTCGAAACAACTGATACAAAGTCGGAAACTACAAATGACGAAAGCAATTGCTGAACATTCCTTTTTTTAATGTTTGTTGGTTTTTCATACGAATTTTGCCTCGGTTTCAATCTTTTTTGAAAGAAAAAATCTTACATTTATGATTTATCTATAAAAAGTATGGTGATGTTTAAAATGCTTTTCTTAATAAACAAATTATGTGAAGAAAAAGAAGAGAATGATTCCATTTCCTATGAAAATAATCTCTTTTTATGTGATATCAAATTATCGAACAATTTTTTTTTTCATTTCCAATGTCTATGATGAAATTTTCGGTATAAGTTTATCAAGTGCGAGCGTAAGTATTTAGATGACGACCAAATGTCAGCAGCTGTTGATAATTGCGCCTTGAACTGAAATTGGAATTGAAAACTTTTCAGTACAAATAATTGGGCAAAAGAAACATTTTTTAATTCAAATAACTAATTCGAAAGAAATCGTTTAACTTTTGCTATGATATTCAACAATCTGATGATGTGATGAAAATCTGTTAATTTGCGAGAAATTCTTGACATCGAATCAAGATTCACTAATTGTCATTGCATATTTGTTCGCATGAAATTTTTGTTTCTTTTTATGCTTGACATTCATTTTAAAACAAAGGAAAGAAATATTCGAAAATGCTTAATCTTGAATATCAGTTAGTTACATAAAACAATTTCATTTAATTCTAATGCAAGGCCAAAAAGAATTCAAATCATTTTTAAATGTGATGAAATTGAAAAAATAACATAGAAAATAAGTTTCCGCATGAAATAATTAATTCTGGCGGTTAGTCAAGCATTAAGGTGTTCACGAGAAAAATTCTTTTATTCATCTCACATATTGTCGTGAAGGTTTAAAACATTCCATTAAGATGTCGTTGAATTTTATTTTCCACCAATGATTACTCACAGTTTATCTGTTTCCATTCAATGAATTTGTTTTCCATAAAGAAAGAAAGAAAAACAATCGCCGACAATCTCATGGAAGTGCGAGTAAAATGAGAATAAGAATCTCTTGTCATTAATAATTTATAGATTTCTGGTTTTAATTAAAATCTCTCTGTTTTTCTCTTAAATCTTTCCATCTTTATGGGAAAACATTTTTGGGAAAATTATTCACGTTTTGTTAATAATATTTTTATGACAAATAATATTTAACAAGCTTATATTAATTTATGTTTGATCATCGCAGGGCGTCAACGACAATCAACTTAACACAATTTAAGTGTTTGCATTAAAAATCGTGATTACTAACAAAAAATATTATTTGCCGGAAATCGTACATTTCATGGGAAATTGAGGAAATTTAATATCCATATTGATTGCAAGGAAATATTCACATTATTGCATTCTTTCCGTTTCCTTTGAATGGAGAAAGAGAAAATTTTCCAACAATGGTTGTTCGTTTTGCCGAATCTTTCTTTATTCCCACGGTGCTTTGACAAAAATATTCAACAGGTATCGAAGCGACAAGAGAGAACAGAATAATAAAATAAAATAAATAAACACGAAGGGAAATTGTTTGATTTTCATCGTGAAAAAGTGACGAGTAGATGATGCTAAAATTAAACGATTCAAATGTATGCTCAAAACTTTTTAATTAATTAAAAAAATGAATTTCGCATTGTTATAAGAAAAAAAACCAATATGAGAAAATTTTAAACTCTCACATGTTGTCGAGTTTTTAAGGGATTTTCTGAGAATTTGGTTTTATGAAAATCTTTGAAATTTGAATCTTTATTTTTACCACGAGACTTAACAATCCTTCAAGTTGAAAGACGTTTGTGTTCTTCAACATAAGTTGATGTGTCAGAAATTTAGATTTCTATTGATAACAAATCCTTTTGAGCAGTTGAGAGCGAAGGCGTCGAAGATATTTAAATTGAGAGAGGAAAAACTCTCACAGCAGGAAGGAAAAAAAGAAAATAAGAAAATTCACAGCGTATAGGATTTTTCATTGCTTAGCAGCTAAAACACATTTTTAGTTTCAGTATTTTACGATCCGCAGTCAAGAGCGAACAAGCAACTTAGAAAAAGGAAAAGAAAAGCAAAGAAAAGTCGTTTTTTGTATTTTCAACGAAAGTCTTTTTTTCTTTTTCTATTTGCTTAGGCGAGAAATTTTTTATAAATTTCCCGCAATCATCTTGTGCCGTGAAAGTAAAAGTAATGTTGGTTTTTAATAAATTTAATTTTTATTTGATTCTCACGTGCAGTTTTTGAGATTGATGACAGTTAAACGCCTAAGGTGTTAAGAAAATAATAATTTTTTTACAGATTTTAGTGTAGTTGGCGTGAGTCATTTCAGCATCGCGAAGATCATAATTATTTTAGTGAAGAAAAAGAAAGAAAACATTCAATTAAAAATGTCAGCAGATTGTTTCTCATGGGATACAAGAATCGCTTTTGTGGTACGATACATGTATGGTAAGTTAAGAAACTTCTATAGAAGAAAAGTTAATATTTCATTGTCATATCAACGATCATATTTTCAACCATTCCAAAGCAAATGACAATAAGAATTTCTTGTTCTGTCTACATAAATATTAAAAAAGTTGAATAGACATCCACCAAAAAACAAGAAAAGATATGTAAAAAAGATAAAAAGTGAAACATGCGAGAAATTTTTTTCCACTCTTTCCAAGTTAAGAAAATGAAAAGCCTTTTGTTTACAGAATTGAAATGCTTGCTTGACTCTTCATTGTGGAAAGATTTTACCTCATATATCTTTTTGAATTATACCCAAGTTATTCTTCTATAGTTTGAAAGTTATTTTCTCTTGTTAACAGAAGCAATGTTGCGCGTCATTGATTTCGTTTGCAGATATTCTGATCTTATTTTTTATTTTCCTTGATAATCTCGGTTCGATGACGTGTGAAGTTTTATGGGAGGGATGACAGCTTGACCTAAATTATTCATCAAACCTTTGTCATTTTGCAATTATTTCGTCAATCTCTGTAAATTGGATGATTTACATATTTTAAGGCAATAATATAAACTTTTTGTTGATAATCTGTCATCGTTTCTTAAAGGTTGAACAAGCATTGAAATGATTTATTGCGTCTGAAATCAAGAAATCAACAAGATTACTTTTTTTCTCATTGTATATCTAAATATTAAAGTTTTAAATTGATCATTAAAAATATTCATTTTTAAACAGTATTCAAAGCACTTAATTTAAATTTATAACCGCAGTAGTACATTACACTTTCTTACAACATACATATTCATATCTACGATCTCTCCAGACCTAAACAAATCCAAAATTTACAGCAACTTATGCCTACATTTTTTCTTTCTAAATAATTGTTCAAAGTTACTTTGCTTCGAGCGATTAAAAAACATTTTTTTAGAAGTTTCAAGCACAACAAAGCCCACGGCGAGGTTAATTTTTTTTTCTTATCATATTTTTTTGTTTTACCCTTTAGACATTGACAACAATGGATTTCTCGATCAAAAGGATTTTGATTGCATGGGTATGACCGATAAAATATGCATTGGATATTTAAAATATCTCTTTTTAAATGAATAATGATAAATTGATCACATCATTCCTCATTTAGCTTTAAGGGCGACCATTATTGAAGGTAGAGGAGATTGTAATGCTTCAAAGCTTGCAGAATTTCAGCATATAATGAGAAGCCTTTGGGAGGAGCTCTCAGATTTGGCTGATTTTGACAAAGTTTGTATTCGTTTCAAATTATCTTTAAAGGTGAAAGTTCAATTCCATCAAAAAATATCTTGCGTAGAAGGAAGCATGCACGAGAATATTTTTTTTTTCTTTCCAACATCATATCAAAATGATGGAAAGGCAAAGAAATAAGAAATGTAAACATCATTTTCCAATTATTACAACATATATATTAAAGCTTGAAAAAGTTGTCTGTTTATATGCATAAATGATGGCGAAGAATTTTTATTTACATATTTATGTACAAATGAAACTTGAAAATGACATTCAGCATTCTTTTCTTATTTACTCCCTAGGACGGTATGATTACAACAGATGAATTTAAGGTAAATTTCGTAAACAATTTTTTTAATGTAAAAGTGCTTTTACTTTCTCTTTTATTTGTCAGGAAGCTGTTAGAAAAACCTGCGTTGGAAAAAAGTACGGCGAGTTTCCTCAAGTGAGTTTCCATTCTTCTCCACACTTTTTTCTGTTTTCATTCTTTCGCCTTAAAGAAAAAAAAAGTTCAACATTAAATATTTAATAAAGACTCACGTATTTGAAACAAAAGAATAAATCAACATTATTGCTTTAGACATCAAATCTCGGTCGACTTTGGTCCGAACGAATATTTTTAAAAAGAATTCTTGAATTTGTAACATTTTGCAACATTTGGCAAACAGTTTGAGATAAAAATTTGTGAAATAAACTTTTCACTTTCTTGTGTGTATCAAAAAATTCGGAAAATGCTTAAATATTTAGATGAGAATACTTAATTAAGACGAATAAGCTTCTTAACTTAATTATTCATGCGATTTATAAGTTACTACGAGAATTTCTACTTAATCGCGATTATTCAAAATTCTTAATTGCTGTCAGTACTAAACAAACCAAATTTCGCAAGGCTTTCATGTATCCCTAGACTGATGTTAATCTATAAATAAACTTCCATTACTCATCACACCGCACAATATATAATTGAAACATGAAACGTTTTCACTGTGCCGAAGGACAAAATATTGCAAATCAAATTGAATGTTAATTAATTTCTTTTGTAAATGTTTCATTTTTGTCAAGAGGGAAATAAGCTTTCATATGTACACACCGATCTAACGCTTTTACTTAATATGCAACCTAATTACTATTTAATCCACAGGCAATGAAAGCTTTCATCGAAGCCAACTTCAAAATGATGGATTTGGATAATGACGGGCTTATTGGAGTTCAAGAATTTCGTTATAATTGCATTCAGAGACTCGCTATCGATAATATTCAAGTTGTTGATGATGCTTTTTATAGCTTATTGAATGTAAGTAAGAATTTCATTCAAACTTAAAATAATCTAATTTGATTAGTTTACTCGAGTGGAAAAGTCTTTTCTGCATCAGCCCCACGCGTTTTGAGTTTAAGATTGATTGTTGAAAATATTCACGAGAAATTCATTGAGATGTAAATTTATGTCTAGCTAATTTTTTGTGATTTCACCCAAACAGTCTTTTATGAACTTTCCGTACTATAACTCACATCTCATAAAATATTTAATTAAACTATTAAGACAATGATTCGCTTCATAAATTATTCACAAACAATTAAGGAAATCCTTACGAGTTTAAGCAGTGATATAAATTATTTTCATTCTTCATTCCTTGACTTGCTTCTATAGCAACTGTCAACACTCAAATGCAAGCCCATAAGAAACAAAAGACATGCAAAAGTTATGACTCAATTTTATTTACTTGAAGATATTTTTAACGAAAAAATGTTCAATTCAACAGCCACAATTAACAATTCAGTATGAGATTAATCAACCTTTTAACTTGTTGTTGCAAAGCTTTCTCTGCTTTCTCTTCTTCTGAACAATTATAAACTTCTTTAGCTGTGTTTACACAAATTAAATAATTTAATATTCCTCCAGCTTTTGACTCATTAATAAAATGTAAAATTTTTCATTAAATAAATTATTTTGTCAAACAAATGACTTAATCATATTTTTTGGCATTTAAATGTAAAAAGTTTTCAAATATGAAGCAAACATTTCAATCTTAAATTGAGTTCATGTAGAGGCGACAAATTATTTGTCACCTGACAAGGGATCAAACAATCTTTTTTAACTTAATATTCAACAAATTTATGCGATTTTCTATTAATTTCTTCTTCTTCCTTTTTACAACCTTTGATTATTCATCCACATCGCTACGGAAAAGCGCACCTGAGTGAAAATTTCACGTCCTTTTTACGGATGGCTCCTTTTTTTAGTCACAGGCAATTTTTAACGTAAATTAATTTTTTTTCTATTACATATCATCAATAGGACAACGACAAAATCAAGGGTGGACTAACACTAGAAAGATACCAAGACCTTTACGGTAATTTTTTTTGATTAAAGTCTCACTATTTAATGGCACATATTTGTGATAAATTTATTTCAAAACTCTCAGGTGAATTCTTAGGAAATACTGAAAAGAATCCTGGTTGCTATTTGTTTGGACCTCTTGGAATTGAAGAGTAAATTAGCTGAAATTTCTTCTCTGTCAACAAATGCCGCTTTCATGTCGTATTATGAAGAAAGAAAATCAAGTCTTCTCTTTATTTTAATTTATTTAGCCAAAAGGAGTCTTTTTTAAAATATTTCAAAGGGAAAACAAATGTTTTGAGCTCTTTTTTATTTCTTTATGTGCAACAGTCAAACATTTACAAAATTAAAGAAATGAATCAAATCATGTTCAAAAAAGGGTCTTAAAGAAACGGCTTAATGAAGCTTCTTCACACATAAAATGATGGTTTATGAATTAAATTAACCTACTTATTTTAAATCACCCACATGAACTCCCTGAAAAAACGGGAATAAATATTTTATTCAATGTTTTCAAAGACATCATTCTAGAAATGGATAAAAAGATGTCTTGGAGAATATTCATTCATTTGTTCGACACGATCAATTGGATAATTTAAATCTTGAAGATGTTTTAAATGGAATTCTTATAATGTTTTTTCATAAATGTTTTACAACCTTGACTGAACTCTTTTGTCATCCATCGAAAAGTGTGTCGTATAATTGATGAGTATTCTCTTGGCAAATAATAAATTGTATTATCTTGTATCTTATTTCGTGTGGCTTTTGCATAAAAAGTAAAAATATATACACATAAAATGTTAGTATTTCTCTCGCAATCATCAAAAATAAGTAAATTTAAATTGATAAGCTGTTCTTTTAGACCTAAAATTAATAAAAATGTTTTGTTTCACATTTTTGTTCTCAATTTTGTTTTACTTTTAAATACTAAGTCAATCAATTGCTATGTACCATGACCTTATTTGTATCTTATGAAACGTGTCTTATGTTCCAAAATTACGATGAAAATTTTCAATGATAAAAGTTTTGTTTGCTTTTTCATTCTTCTTTGGAAATTTCTTTTAAACTTTCTTTTTGAAGAGATCTCGGAATCAAAAAATAATTAAAAAATAAAATCAAATGTTCGTTGTTTAAGAGAAATATAATAAAAGATTGAAAATTTGAATTGAATCATGATGTACTAATAATAAATAAATTTTAATAAATGGAATGGAAAAGCCAGTAAGTTACTCATGTTTCAAAACTTTTCTTTCTGAATAAGCTTAATCGAATAATCAAGAAAGGAAAATTCATGAATAAAAGTGTAACGGTTATTAAATTTTTAAACTTGTTTCAGTTTTCATAGCGTTTCAAAACATTAATTTTTAAAATTTTCACAATCTTCAAAAGATAAACAAGTTTAAATTAAATAGAATGGAATTCTTATCAAATATTAAAGAAAAAGATGAACTTTTGGCTGTGAGTAAAATCAGAAAATTTGTTGTATTAAATAAATAGGTCATTAATTAATGAATTCTATTAATATTACAGATTTTGCACATTGCTATTGACAGAATTTACAAAAAGGAGACTTCAAAGAAATATTCAAAATATTCAGAAGAACTCGATTATATATCAAATGTTTACACTGAATATTGTTCTGATAAAATAACAAAATCCGAACTTCTAGAATACTTTCCAATTGAAGAGGATTTAAAGGAATATGTCGTCAAAGCGATTGAATTAAGAAAACCGAAAGTTTTTCAACATCTCATAGATCTTCATAATTCTTCACAAATTCCATTAATGAAATTCTTAGATTGGGACTTAAACTTTGTCTTGGGTAATTCATTACTTGCATCATTTCGTCAACAGTTTGCAACTTTAATTTTTAATTGTATGAAAGGAAAAGAGACAGAATTTATTTCTGTGGAAATTAATCGTGATATGTTGAACAAAATGATTCAAGAACTTGAATTAGTTAGCAATTCTTAAGTGATTTTCCGATGCCTTTTTTATTCATATGTGTTTAATAAAATATTTTAAAAACAATTGAAGATATTTCCTAATCATACAAAAAATTTACTGTTGAACACTTGCGTTTGCAGATATTGACGGATTATTAATGATTTCACCCAACGAATCCAAGACTTCTTTACGATAATCATCGAAATCACCATCAACTTCATTAATTGTTTGATCTTCAATAACATAAAGTGAGCAGTTTGTCTCTCGAATCAAACGTTCGTCATGGGATACAATGATGACTCCACCTTTGTAATCATTGATAGCATCAGCGAGAGCATCAATAGATTCAATATCCTATGAAAGAATCTTCGATATTATAATAAAAAAAGAAAGAAGAAAATGAAACTTACCAAATTATTCGTAGGTTCATCAAGCACTAAAACATCGGGTGCACCTAAACAAAGCTCAGCAAGAGCGACACGAGCTTTCTGACCTCCTGAAAGATCCTTCATCTTAATAGTGTGAGCATGACTTGCAAGTCCAAACGTTCCCAGCTGTTTTCTCGCTTTCTCATAAGGCAAATTGAACAATCTCATAAGATATTCGGAAGGATTTTCTTCTGCTGTTAAATGTTCGCCCGAATGCTGATCAAAACGGCCAATATGAAGTCGATGATTCTTTTTCTGTTCGCCTTCTCTTGGTTCTAAATCACCGACAAGAAGTTTAAGGAACGTTGACTTACCAACACCATTTGGACCGACAATAGCGATTCGACTTGTTAAATCGATTCCAAAATCAACTTTCACAAAAAGAGACTTTTGACCGTCAAAGTTGAATGTGCAATTATGAAGACCGAGAATTGGTGGTTGAAGTGGAGGCGGATCAGGGAAATTAAACTTGACAATGTAATCTTTAGGTTTACTAAGAAGTTCCGTCGGTTTATCATCATCCAAGTCTTCTTTCTGTGATTTAGTTTTTCCTTTCTCTTGTTTTCTTGACAAATTATCTTTCGTTTTCTTTTCAGCCGCTTTCTTAGACGAACCACCAGCTTTCAATTCTTTAATTCGTTTCTCTTGCTTTTCATACTCTTTAATCATCTCACGACGCTTTTGAACGAACATCTTTTTAAACATTGAATAATTTCCTTTATAATAGTAAAGTTTTTTGTTATCAAGATGAATGATTTCATTACAAACATTATCTAAAAAGCTCTGGTCGTGAGAAACAATCAACAAAGTTTTCTTCCATCCTTGAAGATAACTGAGAAAAAATAAAAATTATGTCAAATATAGATTACTTAACAATTTAATCATTAACTTACTTGTCCAGCCAAATGACAGCATTTAAATCGAGATGATTTGTAGGTTCATCAAGTAGCAACAAAGTGGGTTCAATGAAAAGTGCTCTTGCTAATGACACACGCATTCTCCAACCACCCGAGAAGTTTTTCGTAGCTCGATTTTGCATAGCTTTTGAAAAGCCTAAACCAGCAAGAATTCTTCTAGCTCGTGGTTCAGCTGAATCAGCTCCAATAGCTTTAAGTTCAGCATAAACTTCAGTTAATCGATCTTGAAGTTTTAAGTTTCCATCTTCAATTTCTGTCTCAAGTTTTTTCGCTTCTTCTAAGAGTGACGTTCGTTTCACATCAGCTCTCAAAACAGTATCAACAGCAGAATTGTCATCAGCTACAACTTCTTGTTCACAGAGCAACACATCAATGTTTGGAGGAATATCAAAAGCTCGACTATGCAAATGACGAAGTAAAGTTGTTTTTCCATGACCATTCGGTCCAACAAGACCATAACGACGTCCGTTAGCAATCAACAAATTTGCATTCACAAACAAATCATTTCCTTTAGCTGAGATTGTAAAATTTTCAATTTTTATATCGACAGCATGTTCGAGTGCAGCTTTTTGTCCACCAGTTCGATGTGCTTGAGACATTGTGAAGTTACTGTCCAGATCAGATGCACCATGGCCGCCTTTCTTTAACAAAGCTTCTTGTTGTCTTTCATATTCCTCCTTTTTCTTTTGCTTCTTCAGTTCTTTGTTGGTGACACGCTTCTCTGTTTTAACACTCTCTGATGTATCATCAACTTGAACATCTGCGAACTTATCTTGCAATTCAGAAACTTCATCGACTGCTTTCTCGGTTAATTTTATATCTTTAGATTCCTCCAATTCTTCTTCATTTTCACTGGGTACAAGTTCCTTTGGAAGTTTTTTTTTCTCCTTTTCTTTCGATTTGCTGACTGGCACTGACACTTGTTCTTCAATCTCTTCATCTGATAATGGCGTTAAATCAGCTTCATCTTCAGATTCTTGCTTCTTAGCTGGTTTAGATTTTTTCTTCAATTTTTGAGCTGGCCTTTTCACAAGAAGATCCTCATCATCAGATTCATCAAGTTTTAACAAGTTTTTTTCTTTCTCGTCATCACTTCCCCAATCGTCAGTTTTCTTCTTGTTCGATTTCTTTTTAGATTTTGATTGAACAGTCGAATTTTGTTGTTCCGTTGTTGGTTCATTTTTAATAACATTTCTTTCTTCATCTTCACTATCATCACTATTGACATACATTCAAATGAATTATCTTTTTATTGTAAAATTGTGTCAAATTCAAATTACCTTGCAACTTTCTTTCCTTTCTTTTTCTTTCCTGATTTTGTTGGAACTTTCTCGTTGATTTCTGAACCTTTTCGACTGACTTTTGACTTCTCTTTACTATCAATTGATTGATCATCTTCGAGATCACTATCGAAGTCCTTATTTTTCTTTCCTTTGCTTTTCTTCGACATGTTTCTTCAGTATTTGAAAGAAATTTCACAATGTTTTTACATACACGTGAATAATTTTAAATTTTGTGACAGTCAGACGGAGAAGAGAAATTTCGTTGTTTTCAATGTTTCTTTCCGACTCCTTGATTTTTATTTAATTAAAACTTTACCCCTTGCTTTAGTCATTTGTTTTCATGAAAAGTTTTCTAAATAAAATTGTGTAAAAATGACAACAGAAATAAAACCTTCAAGTGCACGAAACGATCGTTTTAATGCTAGCAGAAAAGCAGAACTTTTGAATAAAATTGAAGGCATCCCAGATGATATAAACGCTGCAATGTTTATAGAAAATGAAGGAATTATTTCAGTCAGTGATGATAAGTAAGTTTTTCTTCTTCACTCGCTTTCTTTCTTGAGATAATTGTTATCATCTTTCACAATCAGAACGATACGCGTGTGGCTGAAAAGAGATTCCGGAACTTATTGGCCTAGCATTGTGAACTTTATGCCATCACAATGCACATCTGTTGGTAAGTTTAATTGAATTAAATTTCGTTTAGGAGAAATTTGTCTAATTGCGCTTTATTCTTTTACTTTGTCTCTTTAGATTATGTGCCAGAAACTAGAACACTTTTCATCGGTCAAGAAAATGGAACAATTTCACAATTTATACTCTCTGAAGATTGTAATCGTTTGACTCCAATAAAAGAATATTTAGCACATAATGGACGCATTACTGGAATAATCTTTGCTAAAAATTGTGGCTGGATTTTATCATGTGCTCGTGATAAAACATTTGCAGCTCATTGTATTGAAACGGGTAACAAAATCGGCGGTTACACATTCGAAGCATGGTGTACGTCTATGAAGTTTGATTCATTGTCAAAACATGTGTTCATCGGTGACTTTGCTGGACAGATCACCATGTTGAAAATTCAACAATCCGGTGCAAGTCTGGTGACAGTGTTGAAAGGACATACGGCAAGTGTTAGGTCATTATTTTGGTCTGATGGACCACAACTTCTCTTCAGTGGAAGTGCTGACAATTCTGTAATCGTATGGGATTTGGGTGGAAGACGTGGAACAACTTATGAGCTCCAAGGACATCAAAACAAAGTATCAGCTTTAGGATACTCAAAGAATACACAGGAATTAATAAGCGCTGGCGAAGATAGCGTTATCGTATTATGGAAGGTTTGTAAATGAAATTATAAAATCTTTTGGATTCTTATCGTCTTCCGTTTCACAGATAAATTGTATGAGAAAAGCAGCGCCTGACTGGGTGGAATCAGATACATGTCAACTCTGTGCTAAGCCTTTCTTTTGGAATCTTAAGGCAATGTTTGAACAAAAAGCTCTTGGTGTAAATCGTCAACATCATTGCAGGTATGTAAATGAGTAGAAATCAATTAACATTAAATTAACATTTTTAATGTTCTGATAGAAATTGTGGCAAAGCAATTTGTGATAATTGTTCACCACATCGAATCACCATTCCCATCATGGGCTTTGAGTATGAAGTACGTGTTTGCAATGCATGTCATGCGACACTTAAAGATACTGATCGCCCATCACTCGCAACTTTCCTCGATGCTAAACACTCAGTCGTCGATATTGATGTCGATGAAGATAAAAAACGAATTTTGACTGTTGGACAGGATCGTGTAATTAAAATCTGGGTTTTATCGAGTTTATGGTAGATACAGTGAAATCGAGATCAAAACTGATTTCATCAATCGTTGAATCAAAATATTGTTTATTTTTCTTCTTTTTATATATTATCATTATAGAAAAAAATGATATCAATTGAACTATGTTGAACTTTACTTAATTAAGCATCTATCAAAACTAGTTATTTACGATTGGATTGAAAAAGTCGCTAAATTGAAATGTACTAAAATTTCTTTTCTTTTGAGTGTTTGAAATTTATTTATTTAAAAATTAAAAGACAACAAATCAGATTCATCAATAAGAATTTATTTTTGTTGTTGTCTTTTAATTTCAGATTTATAAATTTTTAAACATTTCTCGCTTACAGTTTTTCGACCTTTTTCATCCAATCGTTACTTACCATTTGAACATTGTGAAACATTTTTATTTTCTCTTCGTTTCGCAACAACAAAGAATATTTAAAAAAGTTGATTGATTTAATTTCTCTCGCTTTGATGAAATCAAAATAACTTAAGTTTAAGAATAACTGTTATCAGTTCTAGGGAACATTTGAAGTTTACCAGAAGGAAAAATTATTTTCTACCTAGCTTTCTTAAATGTTTAGGAAAAGAGAAAGAAGCACGAAAGTGTCACAAAACTTATTTTTTCTTCTTTATTCAGACGAAAGACTCGAGACGAAAGATTTCTTTCTCGTTCTCTGATAACGATCGGCGGTGTCTTTTGTTTGTTCTTGATTCGCGCGACGGCAACAAAGATGAGAAGAAAAAAATTTTTTTTTTTGATAATTAATCGCTAACGACAAATGAAATTTACATAATCAAGATTTCTGTTTTGTGTCATTTTTTTATTTCTTTTTTTTCGGCTGCGTCTTGAACTTAAAAAATTATATGAAAATCTTAAAATGAACTAAGAAAATGTTCAATTATGAGCATGAGATATGAAATGATAAATAACAATCAACTTTAAATTGAATTAAACTATTCCTTACTTATTTTATATGTAACTAAATCATTAAAAACGTAGATATTTGTATTACAAATTAAAAATGTATGGAAACAAAAATAAGAGAAGAAACCAAAATTATTTACTATCTAAAACGTGGCAATAAAAAAATCATGGCGGGAAAAGTCAAGAAAAAAAATTCTTATCTTTTATTTTGTAAATTCATTGTTTTATCAAGTATAAATAGTAAAATTTGTTTAACTCTGGATTTTATTATGACGCCGCCATAGTTGAATCATGGAGGGAATTTAAATCAAGAAATTCAACTGAAAAATTGCTTCGTCTTCATCAACGTCAAATAAATAGAATAATTATGTAACTAAAGAATGATCCCTTAACTTTCTAAAGTATTGCACAGGTACGTTAACGTATAAGTAATTAAAATAATTCTTGATGAAATAAGAATCGACATGACTTCGTGCTGATCACGAACATTCATTGGAACAATACACGGGACATTGGTATTTGTCTTTAGGAACACACAGCCCTTCATTTTCATTGAAAACAGAGTTAGGATGACACGAAAGTTTTGTTTGCTTTCCACTTACACAAAAATAGTAATTTTTACATCGACTATCATAATCGGCAAAGAATCCATCACGTGAACATGTCGATTGACAGCTTCGTTTGACACAATTTAATTTTAAAGCTAAACTATAACCAACAGTGCCTGGACATGCGTATGATGCTGGTGAGACGCAACTTTGACCATTGAATACTCGACTATTCCGACATGTTAGAACCTAAAGTGTGAATGTAAAATATATTTAACTGAAATATTTTTTTCCTGTTATTGTTTTCGAGTGAATGTACCTGAACTTTATCACCTTGTTTACAATAGTAATACTTTGTACATCCTGTAGTCATATCCTGGTAATACCCATCGGATTTTCCACTACACTCAATCTTCTTTGAGCATGGTTCAACGTGTCGTTTTGAGACACATTTACTTCCATCAAAAGCTTGTCCATCTTGACATAAGAACGAATACTTTCGATTTGACGAACAATAAAAATAAGATCGACAATCTAAGTTGTTGTCCTTGTAGTAACCATTCTCTTTAGTGTCACAAGAACCTGCATCAAGATTCGGACATTTGTATAATCGCGATGACACACAAACTTCACCATTGAAAACTTCGCCTGATTTACAACTTAACGATGTCTTTCGTCCGTTATAACAATAAAAATAGTTTCTGCATGACGATTCCAAAGATCGATTCTGGTAAAATCCCATTTCAAAGTTCGAACATTCATTTGAGTATGAATCGTGTTGACAGACAAACGTTGTTGAAAATGTGCAAATTTTTCGGTTGTCATCAAATATTTGTCCTTTGTCACATTCGTCAAATTGAACGGGAAGACCTCGTGAACATTTGACAAAGCTGTTACATCCGAAACGTGGATCAATGTGATAACCATCGGATTTACTTTTGCAAAGTTTATCGACACGGGCTGAATTTGGACAGTCATAAAGTGTGTCTGGCAAGCAGGATTTTTCATAAGGGTGAAAGACACTTGAGGATGGACAACGATGTTTCGATGATCTTCCACCAAAACACTTAATATAAGATTTACAATCATGAGAACTTTCATCAGGATGTAAACCATCAGGAAGGAATTTACATTCATCAGTATTGCAAGTCATTCGTCTTGTTACGACTTTAGGTTTAGAGCATGTGACTTGTTCAGCATAGTCACAAGTTTTTCCATTAAATAACATTCCCGATCGACAATTTTCATAGCTTAAAACTTTTTCATTTGAACATCGAAAGAATCTTCGACATGATTGTGTTGTATCTGGATAATATCCGTCGGCTTTTCCTTGACATGTCGACTCGTAACAAGTATCTGAATAAATTTAATTGTTAAATTAATTTTAATTATTACAAATGAAGAACTTACTCGCATCACTGACACATTTCTGCTCGTAAAAATTAAAGATCATACCACGAGGACAATCATATTTGATTTTCTGATTACTTTGACATCGGTAATATGATTCACAATGACTTTGTGGTGTTGTGTAGTAAAAATCATCGTTGTGCTTGCAATGGTAATCGATATTCTCCGAATGAACGAAATTTACGATGATTGCTAAATATAGAAGAGAAGTATTTAGGCATGTGAATCCGTTTGTCTTGAATCGTTTTTTTTTTTGTTTTGCAATATTTAACGCACATCAAATATTGCCGCGCACAACACAACAAGCGACGACTCGACATTGCAAATAAGATCAAACGAATCGGAACGCGCGCTGTGATCTTCATTAAATATCGATCTCATAAAGACAAAAAGCAAACATTTATTCGTCAACGGTTGGATGGAAAGAATAGTTCAACAAACCGTCGTTGTCGAGGATTCATTTTTATTCTCAGTTTTGAATAACATGTTCCGGATTTGAAAAAGGAAATATTCAAGCGCCAGCCATGTCAGCAGCCGTTTAGTGTTAATATTCATTTAGTTATGAGAATCGAGTTGACTTTGGAAGAAAACTTTTGTCATCATCAAGCGAGAACAGAAAATACAAAAAGATAACAACAAAAACCCGCACATCGTTCAAAACAAGATAATAAGAAATTAAAATATTAAGAGAATCGAAAATGCGGCGGCTGAATGAAGGAGAGAAAACGATCGAGAAGTCTTGTTAAGGTTGGATAATAAATGATGATCGAACGCCAGCCAATATTGATTGTTTGCATAAATAAACAATTAAATAAATAGTCCGAACAAGTCGGCATTTCTTTTTATAAACATGAATGTTCGCGCATTTAAATCTTTTGATTTTATTAATTCTCTCGTCGATGTGACGGCTTTTCAATCGTTTTGGGGTGCCTGTGAAAGATTCACCAAAACTTTAAACTTTTATTTTGCTTTGCTTTGCTTCTTTGATTCGTCGTTATCAAACACTTTGATTGTTGTCATGTTTTTTGTTCTGTTTTCCTTCAACATTCGCTTCTCGTTTATTTTTTTCTTCATGTAGATTTCTTGCTGTTTAGATTTTTATTATGAGATTATCTCGCTTCTCATCGTTTGATTTTCAATATTCAATAATTGAATGTAAATATTGAATTTAAATATTATTAATTATTGTGAAAATCCGTGTCTATCTATATCGAGGATCACCTTTTTCTCGTGACGCTTCTTATTATTACTAATTTTTTTTTGAATCATTAGAATTATTCCCACGGGGTCGATAAAACGTTTTCGATTTGATTTTGTGGAAATATTTTATGGTGAAATCTCAGCGGGTGACGAGAGAAAAGTTATTGACAGGATATAAGAAATGCTTATTTGTCGGCATTGTTTAACTTCATCTTTCTTACCAGTCACTGTAAAAATCTTGCACAGCATTTTTATATTCATCTAGGATAAATGAATGAATTAATTTCTTGATTGATTGTTCTATTTGCTCTTAAATTCACTCATCAGACCTTTTTTATTTTAAGTTTATTTTACATTTAAAACTATTTCTCCATCACTTAGCATATGATCATAATTTTAATTTATGTTATTGACACAAATTTGTTTCTTAAGAAGCACTTAACATCCGGTTAACAGCACAATTTATCTGCGATTAAAATTGAAAAGTGTTTAAGCTATTCGGAGAACCTTGAACTTTTTTTTCTCTATTTATATCAATGCTTTTTTAAATATCTAATATTATGCAGTTTATGTTATTTATTCAGCATACAAAAATCACTTTTTTTCACCCTCGTTTAATAAATTGTTAACGGATCTTGTGTCGAACTATGAAGGCAACTATGTAATGGCAGGCAATGACTTGCTGCTTTGTTTATGATCTGTGGTATTCCCGGAATTTTACAACTATTTTACCACATTCTGATTTCACAAAAATCAATGTTATTTTTTCTCGCCGTTCTCCTTCCGAGACTTTCGCAAACACCCAAAAAAAAATCACACAAAAATGTTTTGTGCATCAACAACACTCAACGAGATTCAAACGCTATATGGGACTTCGTGAATCAAACATTCGCAATTTATATTCGGATTCTTTTTCATTTTGCTTTTTATGAGAGAATTGAGAAAATCGAGAATTAAGTTGTCGATTTCATACGAAAGGATTTAAGTTTCGTCGTGACGATGGTGAGAGAGATGAAGCTTAGTAAGCTTTTTTCTCTAATCAGCACGTGGTCGAATGTTAATCTAATTCAATTTCACAGATGATTTTATGGCAAATTAAATGATCATTATTCTGATGAGATTGAACTTTTTTATTTTCTACGTTAATTAATGAAGAAAATCTCATTTATTTGATTTTCTCACCACAATTGTTAATTCAAGATGTAAATAAAAGGCGCGAGCCACAATGTCTGGAATCGAAGACGAACACACATTAAGTTTTTCATCTTCTCACGATTTTCGTCGTTCTTCGATTGCTTTTTGAAACGGCATGAAACATCGTTTGTATGATTCATCGCTCATTCCAGAATTATAATTTATACAACTTAAGGAGATTATTCAAATAAAAGTTAAGTTCATCGTCGTTTAAGGAAGGTAAAATGTTATGTTGCGAAATAAAAAGAAAAATTAATATGAAATCAAGAATAAGCTTCGACCTCACAAACTTCACCGCGCTACGACCAGATGTCTGAAATCACAAAAAGTTATAAATCGAATTTTTATTCAACTTTTCTCGCGCTTTATTGTCACGTCGAATATCAAATTGCAAACGATTCTTCTTTTTGGTTTTCAAACGGGTCGTTTTCGTACATGTTGTACATCTTATTTATGATCAAACTAGATTTATAATTCATAAAAGTATTCTCGAATCTCATGAAGATTGTTGAATCACAAAGGTTTTCGGTTCTTCTTCGCTAATCGTGTGATCTCATCAATATCACCATCACTGTGATCATCATCATATTTACGAATTTGTTGCAGAAAAGGAGAAGAAATGACTCGATGAATGTTAAGCAGTTGCAAGGGGATTAAAGAGAAAAAAGTCTTCATAAATTTTGATTTAAAACTTATCTTGTGTTGATGTTAAGTGGACATTAACAACCAATTTAAAATATTTATATCTTAATTATTTAAATTTCTTCAATAAGCTTTAACGGATAACAGCTGATTAAATAAATTTCGCTAATACTTTTTTTATTGACTGCTTTGTAAACAAAAGCAATCTTCAAAGGCGCTTAATATTAAAAGGTAAATAAAGAAATTCTTCCTTTTCTGATGATTAACAAAATTGATTATTTTTGTTGTTTCTTCAAAAAGAGTCGTTAAGACGCTGAGTAGAAAACACGAAAGATTAATAAACGTAAAATATCGTGTAAGTTTTATATCCAATAACAGCCCGAGCAAGCCCAAAACATCGAACAGGTTTCATTCGAATGAATCATCATTTGGTCGACGTTCGCCACAACCATCGCCAATATGTCTCATCGTGAATTTCTTTTCGCTTTGGATGGAAATTCTTGTTTACAATATTGCCATTTTTTTCTCTCTATGAAATAAGAAATATCGAATGACATGGAACTATCGCATTTAGTTAAACAATGTTAGATTTTTTATGAATTAAACTTCGTTGTTTTCATGATGAGATTAGAATCAGTACAAGACTTTTTAAATTTGAAGAATTAAGAAACTTGTAAGTGATGAATGTGATTGCTGATGACACTAGAAATGTTTTCATCAGTGACTAAGCAGGTAACTGTAAATTATTTACAAACCTCAAGTAGAAATTTTTATTACCACATAAATATTCATTAAAAAATTGTAAGATGCTTCAAGTTCAAATAGTTCATTGAATTTTAATAAAATGATAAATAGTTGAATTATTTAGATTAAGATACAAATGAAATTTCACACATTTTTTAGAAAATTACAAATTAAAGCTTAAATTTAAAACTTTATTTCAAGAAGCTTTTATGGGTTTGAGTCTTGGGAAAGCTTTTGAAAAGCTCACGCATGAGAGCTTTTGAATAATTCAGATCGTTGATATTTTTCATTTAATAAGGGACAACAAATGTTGATAAACTGCATTTGAAGAAATAATCTCAAAAGTTGCATGACAAACTCTTGAATAATTTTTATTTTAAATGAAGAGAAAGCTTTGATAATTATTTAAATTAATAACCTGTAAATATTCTTTTACGATCACATTTTACTTGTAAAAGTCTTTTACATACATAAATTTATCGTAAAAAGATATAAATCTTTCAGATGTCAAAACTAACATATTTTTTAATCATCATTTCTTTGTAAATTAATATAATTCACAGCGTAAAAGCATTGAGCGTCGTTACGGCAAGATTATTATTCCCATGAGAATATCCATACATAATAAGTACTTCAACTACCATAAAATCATAAATGCACCAACATGATTAGCATTAATTTGTGTTAGTCGAGCACGTTGTTGCTCCACATGTTGTGTCATAAGATATTTGCTTCACCTGTGTTTTGTTTTGCTTTTTACCTCCTCACACATGAATGTGTTTTGCCGCATATGCTTGTATTTACCTGTCGGCTTTTCTGTTTCATTCTCTCATTCTCGAAGCAGCTCCATGAATATCGTGAGTTCTGAGAGTAATTTTACCGTAAAACTTCTCTTGGAAAACTCATTTCTAACCATTTCAGTTTAGGTGAATTCTTTGACTTGGACGGTCGAACCGCACTGCTCTGCTTTGCGTTAATTAGTTAAGAAATTTTGAATTGCTTTTTTATCAGAAATTGAATTATTTTGAGAATATTTTGGAGATTTATCAAGTGTTAAATGAGTTAAAGTATCTAAGGAGTCAAGTTTTATGTCTTAAAAAATGAATTCTCAAGTAAAAAGATCATTGCATTTGTAGTTGTGAGAAAAATTAACGGCATTTTCAACTGATTCATTGTTAAAGTGCTGATGTAAGTGGATTAAAACAAAAATATTTTCGTTATTCAATTGGGCAATGGAGAGTTGAAAAAAAAAAGTTCTGGCAACGTCAGAAAAAAAGAAATCAAGCGTTTAAAGCGAAAAATAAAAAGAAAAGAATTAAGAATTCGAATGATAAGTGATGAGTGGAGTACGTGGAAGTTCGATTGAAGACGTGAAAAAATAAGCAAAAGAACAAAAGTAGGAATACGAGAACATCAGAGGGAAAGACGAACCAGAGAAGAGTTAATTATACCGTTTATTTCTGGTTCTTCTACTTCATAAGGTAAAAGTCTCTTATTTTATTTTAAATTTTTATTTATTGCTAAATTCTCATACACACACTCACATGATCAGATTAAAAAGATAACTTTCTAAGGCAATTTTCCTGGCTCGTTCATTCAGTTATTGTGTTTGCTTTCACATTATCTTGGTCGTAGATAAAACTTCGAGTGACTAATTTATTTGTGTCGCTTCATAATAAGATTTTAATTGTTTCGTTGACGTCTCGACTCTTAAGCAAAGCATAAGGCAATAAAAAAAGAAGCAATCAGATTTTATATTTTTTCAGCTCGATTTCGTGCTTGAAAATAAATTTTTCTTTTGGTTAAAAAAATTATTTCGCTAGTGGAGAATGTATGGGAGGCAGAAAACTCACGTTATCCGTTATGGTAGAGCAGTCAGACTGAATACACATCAGTGCTCGGAGGAATTATTTCGATTGAGTAGCTATATCATGGATAATTACAAGCAGCTTTTATCTTTAGCAAATAAATTAAAAAAAAAGCAAAGGATTCGCTAAAACTTCGTGACATCGGAACGATGCACTTGTTTAGAATGCTGGCGAGGAAAATCAAACAGAAAACTATCTAGAACCATGTAAATAAACTTGTTAAGTCTATTCACCAATTCGCTATGGTCTGTGAATTTAGAATGTGAAGTGAACTAGCAGTTTTAAATGTTTTTATTTAGAGGGGATAATAACACATCTTTAAGTTACGACAATCAACTCTGTGATTTCAAATCGAGAAAACTTTTATAAAAAAAGAAGAAAGAAAAATGTCCGAGACTTTTAAATCTTCTTCTGTGTTATTTTCCCCCTTAAATAGTCTGCTACTTACTTACTTACTTACTTAACCATTGAAAGACGTATTTTATTAAGCGAGTCTTTCATTATTCTGCTCCACACGAATCATCGCTTCAATCATTTCTCTTAGCTAGCTGTTCTTGACCACTCGTTGTAGCGCAAAACTTACGGTATTTGTCGGCTGATAACGAAATGTTTATGGCTTTTATATACGCCAAGATCATTCTCTTTGTGGAACATAATTTTTCAAAGTCGTTTTTCTAGATAATGTTTTAAAGTAAATACCACAAAATGACGTTCATATCGCACCTGTAGTATCGCGAAGAAGAAAAATAAACTAAAATTGGATTGTGAGTAAAGAATTTTATCAGCTGCATAAACTCGAGAAATAAAAAAATGAAATATGATGAATTGATAAGAGAATTGTGTAAAACTAAAGAGGGTGATAATGAATTGAATAGAATTTTCAAAAAGCGATTGTTTTATTTCATGATTATGTCATCTTCTTTATCGTGATTTAATCATTAAATGATTTTCATATTAAAGTTAATTAACGATTAAAAAGGTGTTAATAAGTTTGAGCTTGAATTCCTTCGTTCCACTTTAGTTGAGTAAGTAAATTAAGCAAAATGTGTGTCGCAAGATGTTGTCAACATTTTTGTCTTTTTTTGCGGTTAATTCTACTTCGTTTCACTCTTTTCGAGGACACAAGTATTGTAACATAAAAGACAGAACAGAAAATAAAAAATTTCATCAAAGTTCATTGAAACTTACGACGATACAGGATTTTTTTAATCGAAATTCCATTCTTTAGCAAAGCAACATGCTACAAGAGAAACTGGAAAACTCGATTTCGAGAGAGAGAAAGAATTAAGAAAAGAAAAATATTAATTTCTTCTTCTTTCGCCTTACTTATACTTTGAACAGTTTAAGCTTCATAAAGAAAACGTGTTTTGAGTTCTTGAAGAAGTTGAATTTTACACATCATCAAGCTCTTCCGTTCCTTGCAACATTTAAATCGCTCTGATTTCTTTCAACAGTTTATTTACTCTCAGCGATAGTGTATGATTGTCTGAGTCACGAGAAATTAATCATTTATAATTTTCGATTCTACTTTGTTAAATATCCATTAAATAGCCGAGAAAAAAAAAGCAACACACAATTACGTAATTCTGATCCAAACCGCTTAGTTTTTCGACATTCATAAAAGTTATTGAAAGAATAATTACGTGGGGTTCATTAATAGATTATGTACAAAACAATTTCACAGTGATTTGTAAGATGATTTTAGAAATTATCGCTTGACTAGAATTGCAAATTTTAAACTTTTTAAATGAAATTGTTACGAAGTTTATGAATGTTTGCGTTTCAACTATAATTGACTCGATCTTTGAACTCACTAAGAAGCTTTGGAAAAAAAAATCACACGATATTCGATGTTTTGACTTGCAAATTGCAATATTCTAAACCTTTTAAATCTTAAATATTTTCAGCTCACTCATTGACCGACCAAGATGGTTATCGTAACTCGAGGGTAAGTGCTAACTATCTTTATTGTAATTTTCTAAATTCAACACAAAACTCCCATCAGTTCAACCTGCTTTCTGATGTTCTATTCTCACTGGTTATTTTGTTAAATATTTGTGTATTTGTGTGTTGGTTGAATCTTTCTTTGGGAGGCGAGTGTTGAAAAAACGGAAACGGTTCCATTCGCTGCGTAATGGAATTCTTATTGTGTAAATGTTGTTGCTTGTAAAGGGAACACGAAAAAAATTTATGTTTGTGTTCACAAAGTGCAATGTTTTATATTTTCTTTAAACTTTTTTTTTGATTGGCAGCGATTACATTTGGATTGAACCCGTGACCGGTCATGAATTCGATGTTGCCATCGGTGCTCGAGTTACATCAGCTGAAGGTCGAAGAATTCAAGTCAAAGATGACGATGGCGTTGAACAGTGGCTATTGCCAGAACGGCGCATTAAAGCGATGCATGCATCGTCGGTACAAGGTGTGGAAGACATGATATCGCTTGGCGATCTACACGAAGCAGGAATATTAAGAAATCTTCTCATTCGTTACAATGATAATTTAATTTACGTAAGTTGCATTCATAAGGCTTTCGTTTCCATTCACCTTAACTCATTTAATCAAAATTCTTTCTTCCCTTTGCAGACTTATACTGGCTCGATTCTTGTCGCTGTCAATCCATATCAAATTCTTCCCATTTACACCGGCGATCAAATAAAAATTTACAAAGAGCGGAAAATTGGCGAACTTCCACCACACATATTCGCTATTGGTGACAATTCTTATGCGAACATGAAACGCTTCTGTCAAGATCAATGCATTGTAATTTCGGGTGAATCTGGTGCTGGAAAGACTGAAAGCACTAAATTAATTCTTCAATATTTAGCGGCAATTAGTGGTAAGCACTCATGGATTGAGCAGCAGATTCTAGAAGCAAATCCAATTCTCGAAGCATTTGGAAATGCAAAAACTGTAAGAAATGACAATTCATCGCGTTTTGGAAAGTACATTGACATTCATTTCAATCGTGGTGGGGTCATTGAAGGTGCAAAAATTGAACAATATTTGTTGGAGAAGTCACGAATTGTTTCACAGAATCCCGACGAGAGAAATTATCACATTTTTTATTGTTTACTTGCGGGACTCTCGAATGATGACAAAAGAAAGTTGGAACTTGGCAATGCTTCAGATTATCGTTATCTGACTGGTGGAAATTGCGTGAAATGTGATGGACGAGATGACGCAACAGAATTTGCTGATATTCGATCAGCAATGAAAGTTTTGTGCTTTTCGGATCAAGAAATTTGGGAGATTTTGAAACTTCTCGCAGCTCTTTTACATGCTGGAAACATCAACTTTAAAGCAGTAACAATCGACAATCTCGATGCAACTGAAATTCCTGACCAACAGAATGTCAAACGTGTTGCGAATCTCCTCGAGTTTAAACTTCAACCATTGATCCATGCATTGACGAAGAAAACTTTCTTCGCTCATGGTGAGACTGTCGTGTCGACATTGTCACGAGAGCAAGCTGTTGACGTTCGTGATGCATTCGTGAAAGGTGTCTACGGTCGTTTATTTATTTTAATAGTCAAGAAGATTAACAACGCAATTTATAAACCAAAAACCTCGATGCGAAGCGCTATTGGCGTGTTGGATATCTTCGGTTTCGAGAACTTCAATCTCAATTCATTCGAGCAATTCTGCATTAATTATGCAAATGAAAATCTTCAACAATTCTTTGTGCAACATATATTCAAGTTGGAACAAGAAGAATATAATCATGAAGCAATCAATTGGCAACATATTGAGTTTGTTGACAATCAAGATGCTTTAGATTTGATAGCAATTAAACAATTAAATATCATGGCATTAATTGATGAAGAATCGAAATTTCCCAAAGGAACTGATCAGACGATGTTAGCGAAACTTCACAAGACTCACGGTTCACATCGAAATTATTTGAAGCCGAAGTCTGACATTAACACGAGCTTCGGCTTGAATCATTTTGCTGGAATTGTTTTTTATGATACGAGAGGTTTCTTAGAGAAGAATCGAGACACGTTTAGTCCCGACATTTTACAACTTATCGCATCATCATCTAGTGACTTCCTACAACTTGTCTTCTCGAATGATATTGGAATGGGAGCTGAAACCAGAAAACGAACACCGACATTGTCAACGCAGTTTAAAAAGAGTTTAGATTCGTTGATGAAAACACTTTCATCATGTCAACCATTTTTCATTCGTTGCATCAAACCTAACGAATTTAAGAAGCCGATGATGTTTGATCGTGCACTTTGTTGTCGTCAATTACGTTATTCTGGTATGATGGAAACAATTCGCATTCGAAGAGCGGGATATCCGATTCGTCATAACTTCCGTGACTTTGTTGAACGTTATCGATTCTTAATTAGTGGCGTTCCACCAGCACACAAAACTGATTGTCGTGTGCAGACATCAAGAATATGTGCACAAGTCTTAGGACGAACTGATTATCAACTTGGCAACACAAAAGTCTTCTTGAAAGATGCCCACGATTTGTTCCTCGAACAGGAGCGTGATCGTGTGTTGACGAGAAAGATTTTAATTCTTCAAAGGTCGATACGTGGCTGGGTTTATCGTCGTCGTTTCTTAAGAATGCGAGCAGCTGCGATGACTATTCAGAAGTATTGGAAGGGATACGCACAACGTCAAAGATATAAGAAGATTAAGCTCGGATATATGCGGTTGCAAGCATTAATTCGATCGAGAATATTAAGTCACCGCTTCCGTCATTTACGAGGTCACATTGTGGGACTGCAAGCACATATTCGTGGTTATCTTGTGCGCCGTGAATACGGTCATAAAATGTGGGCAATAGTCAAAGTACAAGCACACATCCGACGAATTATCGCAATGAAACGATACAAGAAACTTAAACTTGAATATCGTAGACATCGTGAAGCAATGAGATTGAAAATGATGGAAGAAGAAGAGTTGAAGCATCAAGGTAATAAGCGTGCAAAGGAGATTGCCGAGAAGAATTATTTGCAACGTTTGAATGAAATCGAACGTAAGGAAATGGAAGTTGAGATGGAAGAACGACGACAGGTTGAAGTTAAAAAGAATTTAATCAATGATGCTGCACGAAAACAAGATGAACCGGTTGATGATGGAAAGCTTGTTGAAGCGATGTTCGACTTCTTACCTGATTCAAGCAGTGAAGCACCGACACCTCATAACAATCATGAGACTTCTGTTTTTAATGATTTGCCTTCGGGTAATCAGAATGAAGATGTGAGATTTTTTTTTGTTTCTTTTCTTGATTACTTCTTAAGAATTTCTTTCTTTTCTTGTCTTTCAGGATATCATTGGACCAATTCATCAATCTGATGATGATGAAGATTTATCAGAATTTAAGTTTCAAAAGTTTGCGGCGACTTATTTTCAAGGGAATATCACGCATTATTATTCACGAAAGCCCCTCAAGCATCCTTTATTACCACTTCATACACAAGGCGATCAACTTGCAGCTCAAGCACTTTGGATTACAATTTTAAGATTTACTGGTGATCTACCCGAACCGAGATATCATTCAATGGATCGTGACAACACATCAGTCATGTCGAAAGTGACAGCAACGTTAGGAAGAAATTTCATTCGAAGTAAAGAATTCCAAGAAGCACAAATGATGGGACTCGATCCCGAATCATTCTTAAAACAAAAGCCGAGATCGATTCGACATAAACTCGTGTCGTTAACATTGAAGAGAAAAAATAAATTAGGCGAAGATGTTCGAAGGAAACTTCAAGATGAAGAGTACACGGCTGATTCCTATCAATCGTGGCTTGAATCAAGACCAACATCGAATTTAGAGAAACTTCATTTCATTATCGGTCATGGAATTTTAAGAGCTGAACTTCGTGATGAAATTTATTGTCAAATCTGCAAGCAGTTGACAAATAATCCATCAAAGTCATCACATGCTCGAGGTTGGATTTTGCTGTCACTTTGTGTCGGTTGCTTTGCACCATCGGAGAAGTTTGTCAATTATTTGAGATCATTCATTCGTGAAGGTCCACCTGGTTATGCGCCTTATTGTGAAGATCGTTTGAAACGAACATTCAACAACGGCACAAGAAATCAACCACCGTCATGGCTTGAATTGCAAGCAACAAAATCGAAGAAACCGATCATGTTGCCGATAACTTTCATGGATGGCAACACAAAGACACTTCTTGCTGATTCAGCAACAACAGCACGTGAATTGTGTAATCAACTTTCAGATAAGATTCAACTGAAAGATCAATTCGGTTTCTCACTTTACATTGCTTTGTTCGATAAAGTTTCATCACTTGGCAGTGGCGGTGATCATGTCATGGATGCAATTTCACAATGCGAACAATATGCGAAAGAACAAGGCGCTCAAGAACGCAACGCACCATGGCGACTTTTCTTTCGAAAGGAAATCTTCGCACCATGGCACGACCCAACAGAAGATCAAGTCGCAACAAATCTTATTTATCAGCAAGTCGTTCGTGGCGTAAAATTCGGTGAATATCGATGTGATAAAGAAGAAGATTTGGCGATGATTGCTGCGCAACAATATTACATCGAATTCAACACTGACATGTCAATGGAGCGACTTTTCTCACTCATTCCAAACTTCATTCCTGATTATTGTTTGACGGGAATCGAGAAAGCGATGGATCGATGGGCGACACTCGTTTTGCAAGCTTACAAGAAAAGTTATTACTTAAAAGATCGCGATAAAGTTCAAGCACTGCGTGTTAAGGAAGATGTCGTTAGTTATGCTAAATACAAGTGGCCATTATTGTTCTCTAGATTTTATGAAGCATATCGAAATAGCGGACCGAATCTACCCAAAAATGACGTCATTATAGCTGTCAATTGGACGGGTGTTTATGTTGTTGATGATCAAGAGCAAGTTCTGCTTGAACTTTCATTCCCTGAAATCACAGCCGTGTCGAGTCAGAAAACGAACAAAGTCTTTACACAAACTTTCAGTCTCGCGACAGTACGTGGTGAAGAATTTACTTTCCAAAGTCCAAATGCAGAAGATATCAGAGATTTGGTTGTGTTCTTCCTTGAAGGCTTAAAGAAACGTTCAAAGTTTGTGATTGCAATTCAAGATTATCGTTCACCGGGTGAAGGTACAAGTTTCTTGTCGTTCTTGAAAGGTGATTTGATTCTGTTGGAAGAAGACAGCACTGGTGAGACGGTGTTGAACAATGGTTGGTGTATTGGACGATGCGAACGAACACAAGATCGAGGGGATTTCCCAGCAGAGACGGTTTACGTGTTGCCAACATTATCAAAGCCACCACAAGATATTCTCGCATTATTCAGTATTGAAGGCGCTCATCATGGACGACGATTAAGTTCAGCACATTCAAATGGTGGCACAGAACCACGTGAACGACCACATAACTTAGCTGAATATTCTTTAGATCATTTCCGACCACCACCAAAACGCACAATGTCGAAGACTTTAACGTTGAGCTCAAAGCGAGGAATTGAAGAGTTGTGGAGATATTCGCGTGATCCTTTAAAGCAGCCACTTTTGAAGAAGCTTCTGGGAAAGGAAGAATTTTCTGAAGAAGCTTGCTTTGCTTTCACTGCCATAATGAAGTATATGGGTGACTTGCCATCAAAACGTCCACGAATTGGCAACGAAATCACCGATCACATTTTTGACGGTCCATTGAAGCATGAAATACTTCGCGATGAAATTTATTGTCAAATTATGAAACAATTGACAGAGAATCGAAATCGAATATCAGAAGAACGTGGATGGGAATTGATGTGGTTGGGTACGGGATTGTTTGCTTGTAGTCAGGGATTGTTGAAAGAGTTGACGATGTTTTTGAGAAGTCGTCGTCATCCAATATCTCAAGATTCACTTCATCGACTTCAAAAGACAATCAGAAATGGTCAACGAAAATATCCACCACATCAGGTTGAAGTGGAAGCGATTCAACATAAAACCACACAAATCTTTCACAAAGTTTACTTCCCTGACGACACTGACGAAGCTTTTGAAGTTGATTCAGCGACACGTGCAAAAGACTTTTGTCAAAATATTTCACAAAGATTGAGTCTTCGATCGGCTGAAGGTTTCAGTTTGTTTGTGAAAATTGCTGATAAAGTGATTTCAGTACCCGAAGGTGATTTCTTCTTTGATTTTGTACGTCATCTTACTGATTGGATTAAGAAAGCGAGACCAACACGTGATGGAACAAATCCACAATTTACTTATCAAGTGTTCTTCATGAAGAAACTTTGGACGAATACAGTGCCGGGAAAGGATAAGAATGCTGATTTGATCTTCCATTATCATCAGGAACTTCCGAAACTTCTTCGAGGCTACCATAAATGTTCGAAAGAAGAAGCTTCAAAATTAGCTGCTTTGGTTTATCGTGTGAAGTTTGGTGACAGCAAACAAGAATTGCAAGCCATACCGTAAGTAAATTTTATTAAATAAATTAATTTTCTAACATTATCATTCACTAGACAAATGCTTCGAGAACTCATTCCATCAGATTTAATAAAAATTCAAGGATCAAATGACTGGAAACGTTCGATTGTGTCCGCTTACAATCAAGACGGTGGAATGACACCAGAAGATGCAAAAGTTACATTCTTGAAAATTGTCTATCGTTGGCCAACATTTGGATCAGCTTTCTTTGAAGTTAAGCAAACAACTGAACCGAATTATCCAGAAATGCTTCTTATAGCGATTAACAAGCATGGCGTTAGTCTGATTCATCCACAAACAAAAGTAAATTTCAATTCATTCTAAAATGAATGTTTATAAAATCTTTTGTATCATTTTTAGGAAATTCTCGTAACGCATCCATTCACACGTATTTCAAATTGGTCATCCGGCAACACATATTTCCACATGACAATCGGTAATCTTGTTCGAGGTTCGAAGCTTCTTTGTGAAACGAGTTTGGGATATAAAATGGACGACTTACTGACATCCTACATCTCACTGATGTTAACGAACATGAATAAACAGCGATCAATTAGAGTGAAATAATGAATTTTATTACTGACATCAAATCTTTCATCTAACATCAAAAATGTTTAATTAAATTATTATTTAAAATTTATTTATTTGCAATTTTTTTCTTTTTCTGAAACGAACGAAGATTTTTGTGTTTTCTTCATTTCACAATTTTTAGTCTTTTAAAATAATTTTTGTCTAGTTTGTAAGAATCTAAATGCAATAAAATGACTTAAATTTCATTGAAAAAACTTTCACGTTGAATGTTTAAATATTTGTAAGTTATTGGAACGATCACGATTGTGTTGAAACCAAGAAGTGAATAAGTGAAGAAATTTGATGTTAAATCAACGAAATTCTTCTTAACATTGTTGACAGAATTTACTGAAGCTTTCAAAGTCTTCTTGTCTTCATTAATTAAAATACAAAGAGTTGAATAGGAAAATTGCTTTCCTATGAATTCGGTTAGTCCCACAATCATCAGTCCAAGTAAAGTTCGACCAGCAAGACAGTAAATCTCGCTAAAATCTAAAGTTAGTGGATAAACTTCATCAACTTGTGTCAACATTCCAAGCTGATAATTTGTCCAAACTCCCAATTCAATTCCTGAGAAAACAGCAGCAACTGCACAAGTGTCACCTCTAAAACACAATTTAATTAAATAAATTTTATGTTCATTAATGTTTTTCTTTCTTACCTTGTCGGTGTCCACATGTTTGTTGTTGGGAAGAAAATTATTAACACGATTGGAATGAGAAAGAACATTATTGGCGCTATTGGAGCCATTGCGAAGAAAGCCATAATAACATCAGTCACTGGAAGTGTTGCAAACAAGAAGAACATTGTTATGACAACACCAAGTACAAGATCAAGGACAGAATGCATTCCAAAATAAACACGACTTAATGAGATCACTGACACCCAAACAACAATGAAAATTACTCCCATTGATGCAGCAAGATTGTATCTAAAATATAAAATGACACAATAAATAAGTTTTTGTGATGACAAAAGTTATGATTACCGATCAATTGCGAAATAAATCAAAGCTGATGACATTGAAAGCGAACCCATTGCATGTGTCGATGGAAGTGAAAATTCGTTGCTCCATTTTGTTTGCATTTGAACTGCTGGCGATTTCGGACGTTCATATTTGAAGACTTCTTTTAATGCTTGTCCTATGTACATGTTGATGAACCAATGAAACACAAATCGCCGTCCGAGATGGCAATCAACATTCAAGAAAAACAAAGGAATGAAAAGTCCATAGAAATGTTCATCGCCTATAAATTCACAAAACATTAAATGAAATTAATAAAACTTTTGTTGTTCACAAACCTAATTCAGTTCCAATTAAAAACAAATAATAAAAGAATCGATTATTTATCTTAAACTTCTCTTTGTTTTCATCTTTTTGATCAACTTTCTCAACACCAAAAAAACTTTGAACTTTGTAAACCAACTCAGAACTATTTAAATAAGTCCACAATCCCGACATGCTTACGACAATCTTCGTTGATGAACTGGGAATTATGATATGATTTTTATCGGTTTTGTAGCCATGCGAATAAGATAAATAAAAAAAATTGTTGCCGCTTTGAAACTTTATTGTGACTACCAACACAATCAAAAGATCATTAATTTTATAGCATGTTGTGACTTGTGAGTCAAAATAAAAGATTTGAATGGAAGCTGTTAATATTAGTAGGATAAAATATTATTTTATTTAAAAACTAACTAAATAAATATCGACATTCAAATTATTAAATTTAATTATTCCAAAAATTTAAAAGAAAATCGTTTGGCGGTTGAACTTCTGGAAGAATTGTTAATTCAACTGATTTCTCAGGATTATGTTTATGTTTCAGATGAATCTTTAACAAATGTTCAAGTTTAAATGATTTGTGACAAATTGAACACCAGAATGGCCTTCGATCAGGATGAATTGCTTCATCATGAATTTTTGCTTCATTTCTGTCATTAAATGACAAATTACAAACATCACAATTGAAAATCTTTTTAGTCGCTGAATGTGTTTGAAGATGAATTTGAAGAATTTGACGAGCAGCAAACTTCTTTCCACACACCGAACATTTAAATGGCTTCTCTTGTGTATGATGACGAATGTGAACGGTTAAATCTTGTTTCCTCATAAACTCTTTACCACAATGACTGCAAATGAACTCTTTTCGACCTTCATGAACCTTTTTGTGGTAGAGAAATGGCGCAATGTATCGATAACTCTGACCGCAAATATCACAAACATAGAAATTTGCTTCTTTCATATGCTTTCTCATGTGAACCTTCAATAGAGAAAAAAAAGAAATAAAACTTTAAACATTTACAAAAGAATTTTAAATCTCACCTTAAGTTGAATTTTATTAAACAATCGATGACCACAAAAGTCACAAATATATCGTCGCAAATCCATTTCAATATGTTTATGATGTTCCATATGAACATTGAAAGCATCGCCATCGACATTATCAACTCCACAAATCAAACAAATGAAAGCTTTGGGATGTAATTCATTCACATGCTTCTTAAAGTCTTCAAACAATTCGAATTCAGAATTGCATGATAAGCAAACACGTTTCAACTTCAAACCATCTTGATGAACTTGTGCAAGATGTTTCTCCTTTTGATATTTATTGCTAAATGTTTCCTTACAGAACTTGCATCGATAATCACGCGGACCTTTTTGTTTGATGTTTTCATGAACGCCTTTGTGATGTCGTTTCAACGCGCTCGATGATGTGAAAGATTTTTCACAAATTGAACCTTTCAAAGAAAATTTTGATAGTTAAGAAAGTTTTAAAAGATGAGAACTTACAAAAATATTTCCCAATTTCTTCAGGATTTAAGCTGTGATTGTATGAAATGTGATTCCGTAAATCGTATTTTGTTCCGAAATACTTTTGACAATGAACGCATTGATGAGATCTGCAAATGTTCATTTAATAAACTTTCATTTCCAAACTTCCTTTTCTTACCTCTGATTATAATGAACAACTTTTAAATGACGTTCTTTAGCTGATTTAAATGAAAACTTCTTCAAACAAATTTCACATTCGAAAGACTTTTCATTGTGAATCGCCAGGACGTGAATTTGAAGATTTCTTTCCTTTGAGAAAATTTTCCCACACACTTTGCAAGTTCTTCGATTTTTTGATTTCCTCGATTCGTTGTGATTTGATTCGAAATGAGTTTCGAGATCGTATTTTGTTCCAAAAGTTCGTCCACATTTCATGCAAATGTGATTTCTTTGATTTCTGTGAAGAACTTTAATGTGACGATCGAGTGCTGACTTGTAACTGAATGATCGGCCACATTCATCACAATCAAACTTACTTTCAGTGTGAACTGCTGTGCAATGAACATTAAGATGATCTGATTTGTTGAATCTCTTATCACATTTTAAACAATCAAACGTCTCGTCGGTTCTTTCTGACTGCGAACTTTCAACTTCATTTAAAATCAAAGCGAAATTTTCGTCTTTTATTTCTTCGACTGATTTTGTTTCAAAATCATCAGTTGGACTGGAAGTTTCCTTCATTATCAATTCAGGTTCACATTTCACTTCAATTTCTTCATCGCTGAGAATTTCTTTCTTAATCTCCATCTCCACTAAAACATCGTCAATTGGCGTCGTTTCTTCAAGACTCTCCAACTTCACTTCTGAAAGATCATTCACAAAGATTTTTTCTGTTTCAAGCTTATTCCCATCAATCGATTCCTCCTCATTGAATTCATTTTCTTCTTGATGACGCCGTAAATGTCGTTTAAGTTGAGATCTTTCAGCAAATCCTTTATTCGGACAAAAATCACAAAAGAAGTTTCTCTCCAAAGTGTGAAAGATTTTCACGTGAACATTCAACGACGATTGCTTCGAGAATCTTTTAAAACAAATATGACAAGTGTGACTTAGATCGCAATGAAATGATTCGAAATGACTTTTAATGTCGTCGTATTGTTGCTTACAAAACGAACAATAAGATTGATCTCGATCACTGTGAATTTTCATATGTTTTGTCAACTGAGACTTCTCACCAAAAGCGCCATTGCATCCTTCAATCTCACAACGAAACGCTTTAATCTTCTCATGGACAGTTGTAATGTGTCGATCTAATCCCGACTTCTTACCAAAGGATTTTCCACACTCATTGCAAGGATAAGCTCGTAAGCCGAGATGAACAATTCGATTGTGACTTGATAAACAAACAAATTTTCTATTGCAAATTGTGCATTCTTTTGGTCCCGATGACGTGCCTGACTGATGGGTTCTCATGTGAGTGTTGTATTTGCTTCTAATTTGGAAGATCATTCCACACTGGTCACACTTGTACGGATCTCTTTGTTTCTCATGAATCCTTTGATGTTGCGCTAAATCAGCTGCTGTGTTGTATGCTCGTGGACATTCATTACAAAGGAAGTTTCTGGCGTTTATATGATGAGCCATATGATACTGGAGATTGTAAGCACCTAGAAACAAAGAATTAAGTCAACTTTTCTTGTGACTCATTCAAACTAATCTTACTTGTAAATGATTTCTGACACAAATTACATTTGTGCTCTCTTTTCTCCTTGTGACCATACTTAATATGCCTGAAATACTTTGATCTCTCGACAACCACCCCACAAACTTCACAAACAACTGTTTCATTCATTTGCATATTTTTTTAGAAGAAATTTTCAGTGCAAAATTTCTTATAATTTAATTAGGTAGTCATCATGAAAATTCGAATACGAATAAACTTTTATCAATCATGTAATTAATTACAATTTCACTCAATTATTATCGTTTTTAACACTGCTATTGCTTAAATTGATTAATTTTAATGAAGAAAAATATTTTTACAACTTTACAATGTTTTGTTTATAAATTTGTTTATGTCATGTATGGAAGAAACGAAATTCGTACAAGTATGAATCGGTGTTGGTAGGTTTGTTGTCTCGTGAATTTTATTTCATTTTCTTTAAGTCTAATTATCTAAATGATGTTTAATTGATGATTAATTGGAAGTTTAATGTAAGAGATTTTAAAACGATGTATAAGAAATCAACTTTCATTAATTAATTTTAAGACCTCTCACTGTACTACGAACATTTATGTAGCTCTACTTGTAGATAAACAAATTGCATTTGTAGAGGTTTAAAAAAATTTATAGCATCGTCAGAATAACTTTTTCTGAACATGAAAATCATTTAATTCGTATTTAAACATTTTCCAGTAATTCTTTCCCGCCAAGGAAATATTTTTTAATTAGTTTTAACGATTTTAAGGTGAAGTTTACGTTGGACTATGAAAAGACTTAGTGGACCAGCTCGATATCGACTTTTGATTGGAATCTTGTTCCTACTAATACTTTATTATGCATACAAAAGTTTCACAGATTACAGTAAACAATTAATTCATGAGGTAAATTAAGGTGTATTGCATTATATCTTGCGTTACATCATCAGATGCCATTGTATTTTAGGATCAGTTGGAGTTTGCAAAGTCGAAAGGAGATCCAGTACTTATCAGTGTTTATTATGAAGCTTTATGTCCTGATTCCAAAGGATTTATTATTAATCAACTTATTCCTGTGTACAAAAGAATTCCTAATCTCATAGAAATTGAATTCTTTCCTTATGGAAAAGCCACGACTCAAACACTTCCCGACGGTAGCGAACATTTTGATAACGATAGATAAAAAATGACATTACAATGTTTACATTTTTTTATGATTATCTTCTTAGGTTCTTTAAAATTCGACTGCCAGCATGGCGAAAGAGAATGTGAAGCTAATATTATACATTGTTGTGCAATCGAAGCTATTCACGACACGGAAACGAAATTAAATGTTGCGGCTTGTATGATTCGTGACAATCAAAATCCCAAAGAAGCATTTCAAAGGGTTTGTAGAAATTTATTATAAAAAAAAATGAAAAGAATTTAAACTAATTTACTATTCTAGTGTATGAGGGAATATTCAATTGACGCTAATGAAGTAGAAACAATTCAGAAATGTTACAGCAGTTTACATGGAAAAGAATTACTGAAATTAGCAGGAGAAGCTACAAGTTCTCTTCGACCTCGCGTTTCTTTCATTCCTACTGTGACCCTTGATGGTGATCAAAGACGACAAGCAACCGTTCTTCGAGATTTAATGGGAGAAATTTGTAAAGTATTAGAAGATGGTGGAATGACACCGAAAGCATGCGAGACTGTATAGCAACTATTTCTACTTTATCTTCATCAACTTTTCAATTAGACTAAAACAAAATGTTTTTCTAATTTTTTTTATTATACTCTCGTTCAATTTGACACTCAAAGTCGCAAAAGTGAATATGAACAAATCTTTAAAGTGATTACGTAAAGAAAATAAAAAATGAGAGAAAGAAAAGTTTTTAATTAATTTCCATAGCAGCTCCACTTTCAATTTCACTGAACATGTATTCGTCTTGATGTTCTTTAAGGAATCGACTTGAACGTTCTTCATCTAAGAACAAGTTGTAAACTTTCTTCACATCTTCGACTTGAATTTCGGGAGATTTTCGACGACGACTTACGAGATTTGCTGTTGTAATTAATTGAATGGCATAACGTAAGCTGGTCTGTGTTGCAAGTCTTGAAAGAACAATCATCGCTTCTGGTTGCATTTGACAATCTTCTTCTTCACAGCGAATCTTCAAAATTTCTTTCATTTCCTCTGGCGAGTATGGAACAGTTCGAATAATAATCATTCGATCCAACAAATCTATTGGAATTCCATGGGGACTTTGGTAGTTTGTGCCGCGAATCTTTGTAATGCCACGATTTGTTGCCATGATTACAACTGGAGCCATGTCTTGTTCAAGAGCCCGATTTAAGTATGAAAAGCATTCAATATCCAACATATGAGCTTCATCAATAAATAATACTCCAGGATTAATCTCAGCTTTGCCTTCTTCACGCCATTCTGATACTTTACTGTTGATTTGATCTCGAACTTCTTGTTTAATTTCGCCAGTGTCACCAGAGAAAAGTGCCAGAAATCCGTGTGTGCGGCTGTTAATGACGTCGATTTCATGGAGAGTTACTGTGTGGACAACTTCTTTACGTTTCTGTAATTCACCTTCGGGACATTGAACGAATCTTGTTTGAGCTCCTGTTGCATCGTAATCTCGTGATCTGGTGAAGCTACGACCCAATTTGCTTACTTTTCCTGAAGCTTTATCGATTGTGATGATGTCGCCAGCTTGAATTTTTTCTTTCATGAAGCATTCAATAATCTTGTTGCCTAAATCGTAATTGGTTTCCATTTCAGTGGTTTTCAATGTGACTTTCCCGATTTTTTGTCCAGTTCCAGTCGCAGGACGATCGATTTGAATCTCAACAACTTCGCCTTCAATTATTTCGGTTTCTTCTTTGATTCTCACTCCAATACTTTTACGAAGAGCTTGAGCAAGTGCTTCTGTTTTGCTCATTTCAAGTGAGTAGATTTCAGATCCAGACATGCTTGTGAAAGGAGTTTCCGTGCCTAAAGCTTGGGCCATTCCAACAGCGATTGCAGTTTTACCAGTGCTTGGTTCACCAGCAAGCAAAATGCAACGACCAGCGATTTTTCCTTCTCGAACCATTTGTACTACGATTCCTGCAGCACGACGGGCGTCTTTCTGACCAACCATTCCTTGAGATACAAGACGAGCTTCAAGCACATCGTCCAATCCTAAACCGCGAATATGTGAATGAGCTCCAATGCGCTCAATGCGCGTTGATTCACGAACTTCTAATTTCTCGTTGTCTACCATTTTGCTCGTTTGAAATCTAAAACAGGAAGTTTCTTTATTAGTTTGTTTGATCAATCAACATTGAAAATTTTAATTGAATTGTTTGTTGAGGTTAAAAATATTAAAAACAATTTCATGATAATGTTTCTTCAAATACTTTTCTTCAAAATATTAAGCATTTATGATTCATTAAACACAAGAATATTAGCAGAATAACAAATATTTATCAAATTTTTAATAAATATCAGGAAATATTCGAATCAAACATATTTGATCACTTACAATTTTTTCTTTTGAGTTTTGATTGATAATTTCACTTAAATGAATATATTTTTAGTTTTAAACTGTCAAAAATAGACTTATTTGTTGAAAACACTCGGAATGTATCTTTATTTTTTGAGTAAAACGCAGAAATTAATTATTTTTCACTGCTGCTTCGATAGTTTGTTTTCGGCTTTTGTTTTCAACTTAATCCGGATCGGCGTAATCCAGAGAGAATGTTTTCCCGGTTGTTTTGATGTTTCATGATTGTTTTCATGATGTTTTTCATTAAAGTTTTAATTTGAAATTTTTCCTCAGTTCGACAATAGAAGTTGTGCCAATAGATAAGTTTTAGGTCTCTCGGCTGCAGTTTTCGTAATTAAAGAAAGTTTAAAAAAAAGCAAATAGCCGAGACAAATAATTTGTGAAAGTTCCGCATAAGTACGAAATTTCGGTTATTGCAAAAATGGAATAAAATCATTTTAATAAATTAAATCAATAACTAAATTCTTGGAATTTGAATGACCATTATTAGCCTTATAAATTAACGGCTTATAATGGATCCCCTTAGGTAAAAGTTATGAGGCAGATGATTGAGATTGAGTATCGAATATAATTCATTGTCATGGAAACAAAAAACATTTCACTTCAATGTCAAGTTCACATCGATCGCTGAGTTTTTTCCTTTTTCAATTGTTATTTGCGAAGCTATATGCTTCATGCATGTCGTAAAGTTTAAAACCTATTTTTGTTTTTTCATTATTCTCATGATATAATCTCAGTGTTGGAGCATCGCAACTGCAACTACAAATTCGCAGTGAAGATGAAAATTGGTATGTTCATTTCATTGTATTAAATTCTTTTATTAAAATGATTGGCAGATATCAGAAAGATGTAATTTCTCAAATATCAACCACTTTTTAATTTAACTTCTAAACAAATGCGATAAATGTTGATGATTTTCAATTTCACTGAACAAAAATATCATTTCAATAATATCAATTATTAACTAAGTTACAATGAAACTCAATTTGATAAGAATTTGCCGAGTCAGATAAAAATAGTCATCGGAATTTAGCAGTCGCGTGATAAGAAACTACTCTTTGTTATTACCGTTCGAAAAGAAAATTGAGATATTATTATAAATGAAAAAATAATTAGATATGCTTAAACATCGGTAGTAAGGCAGTCCAATCGGAATTGAATGTAAAGGCATTACTTTTGTATTGTAATTTGCATTTCTTGACCTTCTTTTGAGCTTCTCTAATTTTCTTTTTTTGCTCATCGAACTGTTTGAGAAGGTTCTTTGAAGGCTCTGAGACTTTTTTAAATGCACCATCACAGCCAGGCACATGAGAATTTTTAAGTCGTGAAGTATTGGATGACACAATTTTAATGTAACCAAAGTAACGATTTTCTGATGTTTTGCATTTTCCTTCACATCGATACCACGTAAAATATTTATGTCTGGTTGAAATGTTAATATCTAAAGCTTTATTAATCTCTTCACTCATCTGTTTGAACTCTTTTCCATGAGGCTTTATCCGTTTTTCATAACTAAAGAGATATGCATGGATCATTTCATGCTGTCAACAAATAATTAATTAAGAAAAATATTGCATTGAAATGTACAATTTCTACTTACTAGTAATGTTTCTTTAATTTCTTTGTCAGTACGTTCAATGAGTAGTCGAAGGTTCAGTTCAATGATGCCATTTTTCTCGCCATGTTTTAAATGAGGTTTTTGTGGACAAAATTTTCCAGAAGTTGTCTTCAATCTTCCACTCAATATGACATCAACATTAGACAATTGATTGTTGAAAAATTGTTCATTAAACTGTGCAAACAGTGTTGTTATCTTTAAACTAAATTTTTTATTTTGCGGCATATCGTAGAATTCTAAAGAATCTCGTGAGATTGAAGTTTGAACCAAAGTTTATGCAGGTCTTTAACTAAACTTCCTCGGCTCCTGCGCTTAAATCTGTTGTTAAATCTCTTGAAGTATCTTGAAAGATTCGAACTGGTTTAAGTAGAACTAAAGTTTCATCTTCAAGTAGTATAAAAGGTCAAGTAGATCTCACGTTTTGTGTCTTTGCTAAGCTCTTATGACAATTTTAAAAATATCTCAAAATGCGGTAAAAATAATTGTAGCAATTTAATTTTGATCGGTCATAAGTTAATTATCAGACATGAAAATGATTTTTATATAAAAATACAAAATCATTTATATTCTCAGAGAATTTATTCAATAGAAATAATAAAAACTTAACTATGAAAACCGTCACATAAATCAGAAAATAAACAACTTCGACGATAGATTTTTATTACTCGAACATTCAATTGATAATTTATTTTCTGAAATCTTCACATTCTAAACATGCGATTTTTGTTAATTAAATTTCAGCTAGCGAAACTTACACCACTTCATCACTTATTTAGTTATTTCAAACTCATCTGTTTCATTTATATTTTCATTTCCTTAAAAATAAATAAACAGCTGATTTTTTCTGAAAGAAACAAAATAATTTTCTTGGCAAATCTCGTAAAAGTTTTAAAAAGAAGAACGATTATGTGGTTTGTTTGTTTGTTTCCCTCAAATCATTCTCATATTTCAACTAAAGTTTACATGCGAATAACGAGAAAGAAATTATATCACTAGATCAAAGCTGCAACATCATAAGCAACAATTATCGATTTCTAAGAAAGCATTAAAATTGTTAAGAAATTCCGCAGTAAGAATTTCAAATCTATATTTATCACATGATCAAGTTCACGTTCCTTTCAATTCCCTAACACATGCGAAGCAGGCTTCATAGATTCTTTCTTTATATTTAAGAAAAACTGAAGCAAATGCTATTAAAAATACATTTGTTTGATATCTGCCATTATCAATTTTAACATTCTCCAATGATTTATTAATTGTCATAAACATTTTCCTTGTATATTACTTAGTAACGATAAAAATACGAAACAAGATGATGCATTTCGAGAAGTTATTACAAGTTGTCGATCTCTTAGCAGTTTTGAAACATCTTGTCTCAAAACAGCAATGCCTCAAGTAATATGATGCATAAGTATACAAAATTTTTATTGAAAATTTCTCATTGTGTAAAATATTTCACAAAATAAAATTCATTTAAATATTTTTGTTATCTTCACTTCCTAATTAACAGATCGGAGTTTCAATTTGCAGTGCAAGCTTCCATATTGTGGTTGGTGTTGCACTTTCATATTCCGCCGTACTTGTGCCTCAACTTGAAGCTGAAGATAGTGGAATTCCAGTAACAAAATTTCTTACAAGTCTCGTTGCTTCGATCATTACTTTAATGGTGCCAGTAGGTGCAATTATTGCTGGTTACATGATGGACAGTTTGGGACGGATCAACACGATTAAAGTAGCAGCGATTCCAGCAATTCTCGGACTCCTTTTAATTGCAACAGCAACAAATGTTTACTTTATACTCGCTGGTCGAATTTTTACTGGCGTTGCTTGTGCAATGGGAACATCGCCAGCTATCGTCTACATTACAGAAGTGGCTCGAGCTGATCTTCGAGGATCATTAATCTCATCAGGTCCAACACTTGCATCATTCGGAATGGTTTTGACATACATCGCTGGTGCTTTTCTAAACTGGAGAACTGTTGCATGGCTTGGAATCTTATTCACAATCTTTCCCATAATTCTTATTTGGATTTATGTTCCCGAATCACCAGTTTACCTGGTAACACATGGTCGCATTGAAGATGCTGCCAAATCTCTTCAATTTCTCTACAAGAAATATCCTCCACCTGAGAACTCACTTGAATCTCTTGCTGACATGCATTTAAGAGTTTTGATGAGGGACAATGAAAAACGACTCAATAAAAACATGTTGAATGTCAATAGCAAAGGAAAACAGAAATCAAAATGGGCTGGATTTGCAAAGCCGACAGGTTATAAACCTTTGACAATTCTCTTCTTTTTCTTCTTGATTCAACAGTTTAGTGGAATTTACATCACGTTGTTCTTCTCAGTGACATTCTTACAGGTGAGAATTTATCGTCTACTCACTCATTCCTTCGATAAGGAAATTTAAATACAAACTCTTGGAAAGTGAAATGAAATATTCATCAAATCAACTTATTTCTCTTTCTTTCTCTAACAGGATGTTGGCGCTGACGGAATTGATCCATTTGTTGCGTCAATTTTTCTTGGCGTTGTACGTTTCGTCATGTCGTGCTTAAACGCATGGCTGTTGAAAAGATTTAAGCGTCGTTTCCTTGTTATGTTATCATCATTTCTGATGGCTGCATTGATGTTTATATCTGGAACGGTGACTATTTGGATTCAGAACGGTGCCACAGAGCTTAAATGGGTGCCAGTCGTCTGTCTTCTACTTTATGTCTGTGCAAGTATGATTGGATTGCTTATGATTCCTTGGACAATGACAGCAGAACTTTTTCCAAATGAAATTCGTGGCCTTGGTCACTCCTTAAGCTTCTCAATTGCAAATGTTATCATGTTTTTCGCGGTACAAAGCTATCGAACGTTACTCGATGTTCTTGGTGGTTCACATGCTGTTCAATGGTTCTTTGCATTGATTTCAATTATTGGATTCTTTTTCGGACTCTTCTTTCTTCCTGAAACTCATGGCAAAAAGCTTTCAGAGATTGAAGCTTATTTCGAGAAGAAATCTTCATCTAAAAAGAGTCGAGTGGTTGCAAGTGATATTTATAATGTTTCAACAAACGCCAAAGAAATTGAACAAATGCTTACAAAGAAAGAAAATGCTTAACTCAAGTGGCTTAATCACATGATTATTATCAACATTCACTTGAATATTTTCTGTAGGATCATAAACAGTGATTAATTTTTTTAAATGAACAACAATCTTCAAGTGTACTTAAAAAAGATTTTAATTTGAAGTATCTGACTTAAGTGTCTCAAATATTCAGTACAACTATGAGAATGATATGATCAAAAGTAAAAGTATTTATAACTATCTAAAATAAAGTATTTAATTATATTTTTTGTTCCTTAATAGCTTAAAGATTATAAATATTTATAAACAGATTAAATAAATCTATTCGCTTCATGAAAATATATTTTGTTTGTTTTTCTAGTGTTTATTGTTATGCACGTTTTGCTGAAAGAAAAAACTTTTTATCTCATTTTTATTACTCGTGATAACATCAAGTAATTAATTATTTATAAAAAAAATTCCTTCTGATTCTTCTGAGCTTAAATAGGCTCGTGCTTTGGAAAAGGGTAAATTCCATTGGTGAGGTTTTCCCAATTATCAGATGCCATACATTTTCATTCCTTATAGAAAGCTTAAGGCTGTGGGCGTAAAAGTGTTTAATGTCATACATGCTTCTAGGGTGGGCTTAAGAAAGAACAATGTAATTGATAAATTTAATTAATTTAATAAATGGGTAACAACCCAACTAAAAATAATTATGAAACATTTCAAATGATTTTCTTGAAATTTTCCCAAAATTCCCTTTAAAAAGAAAATTATTGAAAAATTCCACAGAATTCTTTTTATGATGCTTCAAATTGATAAAATTTGTCAACAAATTTGTTTCGGTATGTGGAGAGAAAAATATTTTTGGGAAATTCTTTTCTTTTCACATATTTTTAAGAAATTTTTCATCAGAAATCAATTGAAAATATTTTGAATGTTTTCAAATGTTTGAAATTATTATTTTTATTGACATTCAAGATTTTTTCTTATTAATTTCTTCATATTTTCAAACATATTTATTTATTTCAATTAAATATTTACAAAACTTATGGAACCCATCAGAAGAAAAAAGAATTTCCAGTCTTCATTTCCAGTGAAAATTGCGATGGAAATTTGTCGACAATTTTCTTTGTGTTGCTTTCTAAACAATTGAAAAAACTTTTAGTTGGAGTGGAGCAGATAATTAAATTATATAATAAGTAGGTAGCTTTAAAGAGTTTCCCGAACTTAATCATGAAGTTGACATTAAAATAAATGATATTTGTTGATATCTGTCAAATGACATTTATCCTTAAGGCGCTATCATCAACATAAGCACGCAATGGAAAACTGGAGGGAAAATTCCAACAAAATGTCTCTCGCACTCTCTCAAAAAGGAAACTTTTTGGAAAAGTCTTTTTCATGAAATCACGTAAAACGATTTTAGAATTTAATCAGCACAGATGTATATTTTTTGCGGAGTGATCGGAAAAAAAGAAAGAAAAATTTTATTACCAGTAGATTGTGAAAAAAACTGATAACAAATCGTAGTTAAGCATAAATAGTTAGTATATTAACAATAAATTACTTCGTAGTTGTATATGAGGAAAATTACAATTGTAGGCTTGATATCTGCTTAAAATTTATTCATGAGAAAAGAAACGATAAAAAGAGAAAAAGTATTCATTGGCATGAAATGAAAAATAAAATTGAAATAAGCGAAGTGAAAATTTTTGCGCTTCAAAAATTGTAATTTAGGATACTGTGGATATAAGGACGAACTTTCACCGTTTACCTTACCAAGGATCAAGTAGAAATTTATTATTAAAGGTGCGTGAAATTACTTCAATGATGAACAATTGCTTTGGGGCAGTTAAAAGTTACCAAAAGCTTATGATTGACAATTATTTATTCACCAACTTACAAAACGATAAATTCCTTGTGGAAGATATAAAAAAAATCCAATTGGAATTTGCAACGCAGTTTAAATACTTCATAAATATTTCTTAATTAGTAGTCATTCTGAAAATTTTATGACAAAGCATAGCAAAGCATCGATGGCATCTACATTGACACGGTTCTATTTCTCAATTTATTTATTGAACATTGCTAAAGCGTAAATATATTAATGACATATTGAAACACATTCTATTTGGTTCGACGACCTTAATTCCAGATTTTTTCCTCCCTTTTCCCTTTTTTTTCACACCTTTCGAGAGAGAAAAGTAGGATCAAATTTACTTTTTAGGCCGCAGAGAAAAATTATCTTCGGGGACATCAAATTCAAGCACTTCAAAGTATTCTCTCGACAGAACTTAGCGAATATCAAGAATGATTTCAGTTTGAATTTCACTCGATTTAGGTCAATTGAAAAGAGAGTGGAGAAGCCGAATGTAAATAAAAATAAGCTTTGAATTTCACAAAGCTAGCTCAAGCTAAGCTTCTGAAGATGTTGAAGGAGTAAACTTGAAGATTTGAAAAGGAAAATCAATAAATGTAAATTCTACTTGTACTTATGAGCACGACACGATACTGATGTGTTGCATGCATTTTCGAATTGAATATTCTCGTCATCTTTCTCTCAAACAGCGACAAATTGCCTCCAGTTTATACTTAGCCTTGAAAATATGAGAATGAATTTTCAGTTTATCGAGGAAAATCTCGGAGGTTTAACATGGCTTGAAAAATCCCCCGTCGCTCATCAAATTCTTTTTCTTCTTCCTTCCCTTCAATCTCACTAAATTTTGTAAAATCATTCAACATCGTTTCTTAATCAACCTTTTACCTTCTATTCTACTTAGCTAGTTGCTTAATAAATTGAAACATTCCATCACCGTACTAATTAAGCCGGGCTTGTTCTTAATTGACTCGAATTATTTCAAACTTTTCCGTCTCCGTAATAATTTTTGTTTCATCAAACTTTTCCTTGGTCAATTTCCCTCGAGGTGCCCCATCCATTGTTAACCTTTTTTGTTTACTTCGGCATTAAAACTTCAAATTTTCACTCCTTCTCTCAAGAGGTTTCATATTGGCAATGTCAAAATCGGTTAATATTTATATGCTAATGATCTTTGGGTTGGTTACAAAGATAGACAAAGATTTCATTTTTTCGATCCCATACGCTCGTTTAAAGATGTTTAAGTAACTTTTATTGATTTTCCTCAATCCCCAAACACTTCGCATATACATGTATCCAAGGATGTTATTTTTTTCTGCTTTCTACTCGCTTCAGAAAGCATTTCCCACTGTTTAGATAAATTTTTTCTTTTCCATCATTTCCAGTAACCCAAGTTAATGTTATTCCATCCTAAAGAAATAATGTCACTTGCATGTTTACTAGATTCAACCACAGAACTTTCTCTGTTTCTCAAAAGAGAAGGAATCTTGTATTTGTTGATGCCTGCAAGTTACAAACTCCATCAATATTTATTTAGTAGAAAAGCTGGATGAAGGTGTGAGGGGGGAAATGAAAATTGTTTGATGCTTTCGTTATGAAGTTTTACGTTTATACGAAATAAGAAAAACAGCAGCAAATAAACTTTTAATAATCACGCAAAGTTTGAGCAAGAACAGTTAATAATAACAATAAATTTTCAATTCCCGTCGTGCATACATAGAATTTGGATAATTTTTCATCTGGTTCGTAGTAGTAGATATCAAAAGACGAAGGTGAGCTGTCAACTTTTTTCTTTATTATTTTTCTTTGTTCTGCTTAAGAATTTATTGAAAGAAACTTTTTTTTGATCGTAATTTTGTAAGAGAAAAGAATTTATTTAAATAACGATTTTAGATCTGCATATCTAGTTATCGTCAAATATTTTGATGTGAATTGTGATATAAAGTTTAATATTCTTATTCACATTCATTCCATAAAGTCAGCATTTTTATTATCGATTTTGATGGAAATTGTGGGAGCTTTTATGAACTGATCAAATATATTGAATTATAATTTTAATATCGAGTGACATCACCTTTAATGTTTGATAATGTCATTCATAATCCTCTGGCTTTCCTACTACAAATTTTCACGCTTTTAAGCTTTAAACAGTTCATAATCCCAAGGATTATTATTACAGCTGAAAATTTATTCCAAGCTTTATTCAATCTTTAAAAATTCGAAGAAAAGCAAAAGTCAACCAAAAAGTTTATGCCAATGAAAACATTTAATTAAGCACGAACTTGTCGATAAGAAAAATTCAAGTCAAGCATGTCGAATCCTTGAAAATGAAAATGCTGAAGCTTATTTATTTACGAAAATGTTTTGATTATTTGTTCCGAGATCAAACTCGAAGACTGATGGGTTTCAAAAGCCATAAAAAGTCGCGCTTTGTCGTCGCCAACAATACTGGATTTAAAATAAAATGAGTCTTAATATAAAATGCAAATCAGTTTTCCTGGAACGTCTTCATCATCCCTCGAATCTTGCCTTAAATAATTCAGAGTGAAGACAAGCGCGTGCTACAGAAAAAATTTAATTTATGTACAAATAAGACAACATAAACATGTTTCACTTGTCGTCAACATTAACTTAAACAATATCACAACATAAGTGACTTGAAATTACTTATTGGAAGAAATTCACCACAATCGAACAATGAAAATTAATCAAGTTATAATTAATATTTATTACTAAGCAATTAGAATTTTCAATAGATGGAAATGTCAAGCATTGCATTGTTGGGAAATTCTAAATTTGAACTGAATGGAAATGTTTACGTCGTTTGTCATAAACATCTCACATTCTACACTTCACTTGTTTCATTTAATGTGCATGTTACTCAACCAAGGCGTGTTATACGCTAATTTTACTCTTTTTGTTTCATAAGTGACACCTGGGACTTTATGAAGAATGAAAAAATCGATAAAAACAATGTTTGTAAATACATAGTAAAAGCAACAAATATTTAAACAATTTTCGGTGTTTAAACGAAAGTCAAATCGTGATCAGCTGAGTCAAATAACATTTTCCTAACTCACATAATAAAAATCAATTCCATTCAATTTGTTAAATGTGTCATTGAATGACATTTAAAGACATTCTTTCCTAACAAGATATGTTGACAAAAAAACTTTAGAAAAAGAAAATAAAAAGAATTCATACTCAATATGAAAGGAATTTTCTTCTTTAGTTGGGAAAGAAATAGGAAATGTGACAACAAGACCCACAAGTAAAAAAACGTGAAGGAAATCGTTACGTCTTGTCTTCCGCTTTTCTTGGTAAACAACAAAACATTTTGATAACTTTCTATGACATTTTCGAAGCTCTTTTTTTTGCCTCGTTTTTCATAATAACAAGAGATTTCTATTTCCATTAGACTTCCACATGATGAAAGCTAGACAGACTTATCGTTAATCGTACAGACATTGACCACATTCTTGGATGAAACGTGTACAATGTCATCCCACGTCTTCTTGATCCTACATTTTCATGTGTTGTGATGGATGATTGAAAGGATATTTCACTCGTTGTTATTGGAAATGAAAGTAGGAACCTTTCAAATCAAATTAAAATCTCATAAATTATTCAATTCTCAGGATAGTTCCAGATATCCAGAAGAACAAAACTTCCATTCGTGAATTCTTTCCGTGCATCAAATATTTGATGAACTTGGCTGTCGAACCTCAAAAGTTATTTAAGTAAATCAATTATGGAAATGTCTTCATCAATGTATAAAGTTTTGACGCCTTTCATTCAATTATGGTGCGAATATTCGTTTTTACACCGAATTTCTTACAATAACATTTAAATTGTAAACAAAAGTTTACAAAACGCATATCGTTACTTATGAATAATTCCACCATTTAAATAATTGAATGAAAATAATCCAGATTTGTTTTGATGTTCAACAACAATACGAATCATCGTTACTGACGATAAAGAACATTCTGTTTGAATCTTGATAAATAGCAAACGACAAAGTTTCGTATTTTTATGAGATTTTCCTTTTCGTTTGTCATGACAAATCGAGACAAAATTCGTCCTTCGGCTGTTGGTAGTTGCTTAAGATTCGAGAAAAGGGAAAGGGAGAAAAAAGAAAAGAATTTAATTGATCTAATCCTCCCATCACTAAGAGGATTACACTTTTATATAGTGCTTGAAGTAATCAATTATTAAGGAATGTCAACTGTCGATGCCTTCCATGAGATAAATAAATAAAATTAATTTTCTAATAATTCATTCATCTCCATTGTTCTTTCAGTGATGCATGCAATGGGCATTCATTCAGCGTTGGCTATAAAACGCCAACGTAAACGTCGTGATCAACAAAAGCGAGCTCGTGAACGTCGCTACTCTTTGCAGAGTACAGAAAGTGGTGAAACACATTCAATGGGTGGTTCAACCAGACGAAAACATAGACACCAGTATGGACACCATAACAACGTCGATTCTAAAGTAAGTTTTCGTTTTACTTTATTTTATCTGCAATGAAAGGAAAAAAAATTAGGCACGTTGCTTTTTGTTGTGTCATGCGCTGACGTTTTCAACGACGATCAACAGGTTAACAATACAAAGATTGCTTTTTGTTTTCTTTTTTCTGGTTGACTTAGGTGGTAACAAGTATAGGAATGCTTCACATAGGCGTTGTCTTTGTAGTGTTTGGAATTTTTCTTCTTGGCGCTGGCCTTATTCCCGATGATGCGACAGCTCAGAATGCGTGGAGTATTTTTGCCAAAGATAGTTGGTGGAACGAGCTTGTATTGACAGGACTTTTTGCCGTTGGTCTTGGCATATTTTTGATCATTTTAAATAGCGTCATAAGTAAAAAAGAAGATGACGATTTGGAAGCTTACGTTCAGTCACAATTGACACGATCAAGATCTGGTAAATATTTTCAAAAAATTTCGTTTGTTTATTTCTCGCATGAATTTTGCTTCCTAAAATCGCGATTTGAACTTTAAGGTCATCGTTTGGAGCGTGATGTGGAAACTGGAGGCCTTCAAACACGTCAAACAAAACGCGAAGCTCAAATTCGACGCGGATATGAAGAGCGTGGCTTAGACAACATGTCACATTCAAATCTACCACTGACACCAACCAGCTCCGATGTTCCAACACCAACGATGTCAGCATCAGCATCCGCTGGTAAAACGACATTTGTATAGAACACAAAAGCTCATTAATCTTTTAAAAAATCTTCGTTTCAATTTTCCGGTTGTGTCAAATTTTTTCGCATGTCGTTTCAATCTTCATGCATGTGTTGTAATCAAACCCATAAAGGATGTGCAAGTGGCGAAATGCTTTTAGAAAAAATACTTGAAGAAGACAGTAGTTGTGCTGATGAGTATCGTCAAAGCAGCAGCTTAACCAGCGATAAACATCAACTTTTATCTAATGGATCGATGGGTCAACACCATTACAACCACTATACGGGCTCGGTACATGTAACAAATATTTAAAGACGCTTCGAATGGCTTCGCGGAACATAAACATAAGTTTTTCTATTCTCCAAGCTTTACCTTTGTCACTTATCTACTTAAATATATCTTAAAAGAAAAAGATGAGAAAATCTTTGTACAAAACCAAAAGATGTTTGAGCAAAACCAATTCATAGCCCAGATCTGGGAACTTAACTTAAATTTTATATCATGACAAACGATTGATTGATAAATATGATTGGATCATTCGACCATTGCAACTTTTTGCTTGTGAAATTTATTAAATGTTATTTACATGTGATGAGTCTTAAATCTCTTATTTATTTCATAAAATGTAATGTTAAATGTTTATTTTATATTGCTCGTGAAAAATCTTTTTAAATCATTGTGACTTACAAAGAATCGTCTTTTATCTAAGTGATTATGGCACAAGCTTAAAAATGAACTTTTTTACAACACAAAAAGAGTAATCGATGTTTGTTTATAACTTAAATGAAAACATTTCTTGTTTTAAAGTCTACAGTGTGAGGTAAATAAATTAGAAGATGTGACATGAAAGGATGATATCATTGAAGAATTTAAAGTCAAACGGTGTTAAATTACAAAAGGGAATAAAAAGTAGTTAAAATAACATTACGAAGAAAAATATCACAGCAAGAGTTGGAATTTCATTAAAGAAATTTATTTATAAATAATTTAATTCTATACTTTGACGAAGCACAATGCAAAGGCAAATCATTAGTGTTAAGTGATCTCAAAATAAACTTGCTTTTCTCAAGATTCTTGCTAAGAATCGCGACGATATTATAAATAAAAAGCTTTCTTTTCTATCTTTACGCTATAATTTCCGTTTGATGTTGTAGATGAAATGTTTAAGGTTTTAAGCGAAAAAGCACATGCTACAAATATATATTTATTTATTTATTTATTTAAATACAAAACATTTAACATTTTTCATGATAAGAGAACAAAAACAAATTATACAATCATCAATGTTTTGACATCAATCAAAGAAAATTAAGCGGAAAAGAATATAAAAAATTGTCTTAATGTAGTCGATGTAAATATTGTAGCTTTTTCCAGAAAAAACAAAATCTTTATATAAATGCATTAAATGAAATTGAAGATTTCACTTGTTCCATGAATTCCTTTTTAATTAGATTTCGATATCAATTCCATGAGTCTCTTTGAAGTAAAAGCTTTTATTATATTCGACCGTTCACAAAACGACTGAATGTCTTTCTATCCAAACTTATTTCCAATTTCAAATTTTCCTTCTTGTGACTGCAACATGTGATTCAATGAAACAATGAAAAAGTTTAGTGAAAGAAAACATTTTATTAATTATTTAATTTTACAACATGCAAATCATATTTCTAATCTAAAACAATCTTAGCATAAATTTCATGCTTCAGATATTTCAATTAAAAGACAAAATAATGCAAACATTTTAAGATTATAAATAAATTTCTAAAATTATTTATCAATAAAAGATTCTGTTCGATTTTTATGATTATCTAACATGATGAATAAAGAACTTTATTGCTAAGGAAACTAAGATCGTTTTTCATTATTATTCATGTCTGATATTGACAATTTGGTTGATGTTATCACGAAAAACATCTTGAATGATTGGAAGTAGCAAACGATTAATATATCCCGAGACGTAATTTGCATTAATTTTTTTCGTCGAAGTGATTGTTGAGGAATTCCCGCAATTGATAAGAGAAGAAAGGAGCTTCCAAAGCATTTTGAGCAAAGTTCGTGGCTTTGTGTTATCAGCACCTAGAATGTTTAATGAACATTCATAAAGATCTTCTTCGTTTATAGAACAAAAATCAGACGAGAAATTGAATTCATTGCTTGTGGAATTTCTTGCACAGTTAAGCAGCTTTTCGCCAGCCGATAAAACGGCTTCATAATTGGCAATATTTGTCAGAATCTCTAAACGACGTTCATCGAGCTTACAAATAAATCCTGAGACCTTTTGTGTTATCTTTATATAAGATTCGTATTCAGGTATTGTTTCGTTTCGTAAACATGGAATTAATTCCTTATAAATCTTCGTTTGAAAGCCAACTAACTTCTGTTGAATTCGTCTACAAATTCCACGAAAACTTCTTCGGTTTGTCGTTAATTTCAATTCTTTAAATTCATTATCACTAAGATTGGCAAGGAAAACTTCCATTTTAGGATTAATGCTGTGCTTCGTGACACTAAATGAACAAAGTAATTCTCTTTCTTCACTTGAACTTAAATCGTCGCCAAAATCACTCGCAATTAAAGCGATTAACGAATATAAGATTATTAGCTGAAAACTTTTCATATTTACGCAATCAACCGACTCTTTCTGCGATTAATATACGACTGCAATTCATCTCACTCATATTTTATGTCATTTTTATTCGTTTTCTTCTCTTTTATTTCGCTACAATTCAAATAATCATTATTTGATAACAGAAGCGTCACATTTTATGGAATTTTCATGGAATTTTTAATTTTAAAGATTTCGAATGGTTTTATTTAGTTAAAAGAAAAGATTTTCTATTTATCTTAAAACTAAATTGAATAAAATGAAAGTTATCCCCTCCCTATACATTAGAACTTTATCTATTATTGAACTAGATAGTTAGAAGAAGTCTTTTGACATTATTTTGTTCGTCTAGTCAGCCTTTTTTGCTTTCTTCGATTTCTGTGCTTTGGAATCTTTGACATCGTGTGCTGGAATCTTTGGTCCCGTTGGTAAGTTCCAATAGTAAAGTAGTTGAGCAATAATGACAGCATTTGCAAATGTCGAGACACTATACGTTAGAATCATCATGTTGTCTCCAGTCTCTTGAATTGATGTGAAAATTCTGGCAAGTGATCCAAAGAACAGCATGAAACAAGTTGCTGCTGACAACTGTCCAGTGCCGCCATTACGATAATTTGTGACTGCTTGAGAAAGTTTTCCAACGAGAAGAATAGGAACATTGAAACCTTGTGCCGACCAAAGGAATTCTAATGGCGTCATGCCACCCATAAGGATGTAAACAAGAACACCATAAAGAGCGGTGAACAGAAATGACCTCACTGGCGAACGATGGCCATAAAAGAAAATTAGGGCAGCGATAGTAGCAGTTTGAAATGCTAAAAATGTTCCATCACCCCACGCACTAAATGGAAATCCACTAACAAATGAATAACTCATATGGAAGGTAATTGCCATGAGATCAAGAAACACTGACACAAGCGACAATCCCTCAGTTGATTTATTATTTAAGATTTTCATAATTTGCGGCACTTTTACTAACATAGAGCCTGCGATGATGCCAAGTCCAAGTCCTTTACTAAGTAGTGCTTTGAAACATGGTACTGAAATGATAATTCAACATTGTAAACATTTTGATACATTGAAAAAATAAATTTTACCATCAAAGAAATTGAAGTCTTCAAAATAATTTTCATAGCATTTTTCGCTCATCAATAAGAGCATTCCTTGCTTTGCTAAATCCGCCATCGTACAACTGGATCAACTTTATTTTTCACTGACAAATTTATAGATTGTGATGTCAACACAGCAAATTGATAAATACCTAATTCCTTGTCACAAATTATCAATGACGTCGCAAGAAAAACGAAAATCTCACAAGAGTATTCACCAAATGGACATTAATGTGATTGAGGCAAATTTTGTTCCTTACATGTGTAACTTACATCAACTCGATAAACATTGCTTTTTAAATTATAAAGTATTAAAATGACAAAGTTTGTTGTGGAATCAGTGTCAAAGTATGGAGGACGTATAGGTTTAATAAAAAATGTAGAAAGACTTCCTGATAAAACGTTCAAGACTCCAATGCTGCTCTATTTGCATCCACAACTGAGTCGTGAGGTGAACGAAACATTATTTTGTGTGAATAAAGACATAATAACTACTTACATTTTCCTCACAGGTTCTAGAATTATCTGGCTTTGAATTGTCAAAAGATTTTGCCATATCACTTCCAGTAAGCAACGTTGAACAAATGGAGAAACCTCTTGAAATTTCCGGCAAAGGTATTTCTGATTTCTGGGCTTTAAAAGAAAGTCTGACGTTTTGTAGTTTAAAAAATGGAAGTATCTTCTCACCATCAGCATCTCAAGACAAGGATTCAGTTCCTATTTACAGAAAGTCTGAAAGGCTTAACATCACACCACAAAGATACATGAAAATGATGGAAGTCTTCAAACCAGATTTTTACACAACGCTCGCTGACGGTGACTCGTTTAAAGATTGTCCTAAAAGAAGAGTTGCAAAAGCTTCTGAGAAAAGTAGACGGTTCTACGAAGAATCTGTACAACTGAAGAAATCATCAGCAGTTCTTAAAAATTCGTTTATGATTGGAACAATTGTCGGAGGCTTTAATGAATTTGAAAGAAGGAAAATTGTAGAAGAAATGAATAAAAAAAGTGAAGATGTTGATGGATATTTCATAGATGGATTACATAGAAATGGACATGAAGCAGCTGAAATTGATGTCACTTCTTTGAAAGAAATTGTTTCTTCAACAATCGCACAACTTCCTCAAGAAAAGCTGAAAGTTATGTCGGGTGCTTATCTACCAAACGTTACATTGGAACTTATTGCTCAAGGAATTGATTTATTCGATTCGTCATTAGTTAATCTCGTGACAAATGCCAACCGTGCAATGGTTTTCAATTTTAACATCAACAAACCAGCAAAATTATTTCCAGAAATTGATTTGTTGGATTCTAAATACAAAGACGATTTTAAGCCATTCCTTGAAGGATGTTCTTGTCTTGCTTGCAGAAAACATACAAGAGCATACACAAATCATCTGTTAACGACTCACGAGCTATTAGGTCCAATGCTGCTCACCATTCACAATCTTCATCATTACAGAGAATTCTTCGCAACAATTCGAAATGCAATCGCAAGTGACAAATTGAAAGAACTCACCGAACTCATATCAGAACAATATCAAGAAGCTGAGGGAAAATTATATTACGAAAGAAAAATCGATAATAAACCAGGAAAATATAAAGAAAATCTAATTGCAAAAGATTTTATTTAAATGAAAGTTTATACATCTTCCAAAGGATTGATTGACATAAATGAAAGTGATGAAAAAGAATTTTAAGTTTGTTGTTTTAATTTTTTTGTTTTGATGATTCACGTTCGATAGCGCGTTGCTTTGCCTTCTCATACAAAGGCGATAATTGACCTTTTTCACCCAAGATCCTTAAAATTTCGACAATTAATGGAAGATAATTGTGTTTGCGACGAATGTTTTCAATCTAAAAGAAAAGTTGTGAGAAAAGTTCTCAAGTAATCTTCAGAAATAATCAAACCTTGTATCGTTTTCGCTTTAAAACTTCATCTTCAATTTGCATTTTTAATTTAGCGATTTCACTGTGTTTTGTGTCTGTGTCCATTGCATTCTCGTCATTTATCAAAACATCAAGTTGTCGTTGACATAACATTTGACGATCTGAAACCATTGCCATGAGATTGAAGTGAATTTCACCCTCGCTATACTTTTGAATTCGTTTCTCAATCACCGGACGAACAACGTCAAGCCAATTTTGATCACCGATGACGCCGAGATCAATTGGTCCCTCTTTAAGTCCATCGAGCTCATATAAACGTCCATTGATAGGCAAATACGAAATGAAATGGAATACGTCTTCGTCTTTGTTGTTTTTTGAATTGTCTAATTCGAAAAGCGTTTGACGAGCAAAAGAATTATGAACAGTTCTGATTTGAGCTGCATTGCTCATAGCTAATCCTTTGTTATAAGCGTCAAAAGATTGCGTGAACTCTTTGAAGTCAGCAAGAGTGTCTCCAAGTTTGATATCTGGATGATTTACGTTAAGCAATACACTGAGAATCGCCTAAAAACAACTTTTAATATTTTATTCACTTTTTATAATTTCTTTGCTTACCTGTGTGGCACAAGCATTTTGAATGACCTGTTTTGCAAAGAATATTTGGTCCATTCGACTGTCCTGGACGACAGAACCAGCTGGTTCATCATCTTTCACCCATTTAAAAAGAAATATCAAACCATGAACAGTTCTATAAGAAATAATTAAATTATTTATTCCATCAGCATTGCATCTTTATATTTACCCTAAATTCTTAAACTCATCAGCATCTAGACTCCAAATTTCTTCTACTTGCAAGCCAGTTACTCCTAACAGAAGAGAATAGAAGACGTAAATAATGAAAGTCATCAAAACCAACCTAATTTTATGATAAAGTTAACAAGAATTCTTACCGAAGTCGCGAATCAGCTCAGTGAAAACACCTGGATCGCTTTCAATTAAACACCAGTTTCCAGCTTCACCCATTTTAACTTGAAATTACTAATAAACAAGAACACAATTTATCTCTCAATTTACCGAATGAAACGCTGTTTATGAGTAATGTCACATGAAAATATTTTTCATGTTACACAACTTGCGAACTTAACTCAAAGGTTTAAATTTTTAACGACCGTTAAAAAATTGGAATGCAAAATATTTTTCAGATCTACAATTTTCAATTTATTTGCTATATATTTTACAAGTTTTCTCATTTAAGATATTGATTTTCATATTTTTTACCAAAATCAAGCAAGAAAGATGTGCCATCATTTCATTTATTCATGAAATTCTTGCACACTTTATAGTTGTCCTTTTGGTAAAAGCTCTAGTGGCATGTATTTCACAAGTAAACAAAGTTTAACACATTTTTTGAAATATAAAAGAGAAAAAAGCCGAATTAAGAATTAAATTATATATAACGTTTGATTAATACACATATCTTTTTGCATTATTAATACCTTTCGCTTGGCATTATAGAATCGTCGTATCACGAATGTTATCTTTAGTTTCATGTTTTCGTAGATATTCGAAGAAATCAAATTTAGTTAAATATTTAATAGAAATGCCGAAAGATAACACTGAGCATATTGAGCTGGGGCAAAAACAGCGAATAAAGATACGGGAAAAGTCGAAATATTACTCCCCTGGAATTGTAAATCTTCAGGTTCTTGGTAATGGCGCAAATGGTGGAAGTTCATCAATTTATTTGTTTTCAGAGCAAACAAGGTAAGAAAAATTTATGTTTAACTCTTTGATTGCTAATGATTTGTCATTCATTCAATAGGTACCTGTTCAATTGTGGTGAAGGTACACAACGACTTGCTCATGAACATAAAACAAAGCTTGCACGAATGGAAAATATTTTTCTGACAAGAAAAACCTGGGATCACTTTGGAGGTGTTTCAGGTCTCTGTCTCACCTTACAAGACGTTGGCGTTCCCTCCTTGCATCTCCATGGACCAGCTGGTATTGACAGAATATTTGAGTCGTCGAAAAAGTTTGTTGTTCTTAAAAATATGAATGTCGTCACACCGGAATGCAATGATGGAGGATTTTACGAAGATTCAGTAATGAAGGTGAATTATGTTCCCCTAAAAAAAGTTTTAAAATCAGAAATGACAAGCGAAAGAACAGGAAATGAAAAGACTGACATGATTTTTAAAGATGACACCGATTATTATGGATATGAGAATGGAATCGAAGGCAGCAGCAGTAATTCTTCAATCGAAGCGAAAGAAAGTTTTCAAGTTGAAGCAGATTACGAAGACACTGTCATGGCTTACATCTGTAAACTTCAAGAACGACCTGGTGCTCTTGATATTGAGAAATGTGTTGATCGAGGAGTTCCACCGGGACCTTTACTTGGTCAGTTGAAGAATGGAATTGACGTTGAATTACCGAATGGCCTTTTTGTGAAAGCTCGTGATGTTCGTGCTCCTGCATTTCCTGGTTCTGTTTTCATTTTCGTTGATATTCCTGATGAATCTTATCTTCAATCACTTATTAAATGTCAAAGATTCAAAAGACATCAGAAAACAGCTGAAAAAGATGACGACAGAGCTGTCGTTGTCATACACTTCAGCCCTCCTCAAATGATGGAAAATAAATTATACAAACAATGGATTGATGAGTTCTCAGCAAGCACACTTCATCTCTGTGTTAACGAACAAAATGAATTTTCAGGATATTTCGCTGCACATCGAACGCAACGACAATTAAACGAGTTGGATGAAAATGTTTTTCCATTGCTACGAGAACGTCATCCATGCTTGACAAATAATGAAGAAAATTTCACAAAGAAGATGAAAATAGATGAAGAAAATGATAAATTTAAATATTATCATCAATTACAAATTCTTTCGACATTTCATATTCGACCAGCAAAAGGATTTGACAGAAGTTACGAGCCTTGTTCAAATCCCGAGAAGGTTCTTGAAGAGACAATTTTAGATGAAGATTCGATGAAACTTATAAGTGAGTTCAAGGAGAAAATTGTCAAAAGAAGCAGAGAAGAACGAGCAAAGGAATTCCCTAAAGTAATCACCCTCGGTACTGGCTCTTGCATTCCTAACAAGACAAGAAACGTGTCAGCGAATCTCGTTCACATTTCAAAGGACAATTGCGCAATTTTAGATTGTGGTGAAGGAACTTTAGGTCAACTTGTGAGATTCTATGGCCAAGATGGTGCTGATGATGTGTTAAGAAAACTGAGTTTTATTTACATTTCGCATCTTCATGCTGATCATCATTTGGGCTTAATTAATTTGCTGACTCGTCGTCGTCAAGTCACATCTGAGAAAGTTTTAGTGATTGCACCAGCGCAAATTAACATGTGGTTGGCGTTCTACAACTTTAGAATTGAAGAAATCTACAGCACGTTTGAAGTCTTTCCATGTTCAAACTTGGTAAGTTTCCCTCACTTTTTTTTTCTTAAGTTTCAGTTAACATTTGTCGATTCTTAGCTTGCGAAAAGATCGCATATCGAGCAAGATGTGAAGGATGAATTATGCAACCGATTGGGACTTGTGGATATTAAAACGTGCTATGTTAAACATTGCCCGTATTCGTATGGCATTTCATTTGAGATGAAAAATACTTTAAAGAACGAACACTCAGAACAAGAAACTTTTAAAATCACTTATAGTGGTGACACGCTTCCTTGCGACGAACTTGTGGAACTAGGGAAGAATTCCGACATTCTTATTCACGAAGCGACAATGGAAGACGACCTTGCCAAGGAAGCGCGCATTAAAATGCATTCAACAGTCTCACAAGCCATTGACATTGGACGACAAATGAATGCAAAGTTCGTAATCTTAACCCATTTTTCACAACGCTATGCTAAGATTCCATTGTTGGAAAAGCACGATAAAAATGTTGCGATTGCTTTCGACAACATGGAAGTGACACTCAATGATTTACCGATGATGCATTTGATGTACGAGCCTTTAAAAGCAATGTTCAGCGATCATTTCAGACTTTTAGAGCGGAAAGCTTTAAAAAGAAAAATTAGAGACGAGAAAAAAGTTGAAATGAATCTTTAAAATCACAAACAGAAATTTTCTTTTATTTTGTTTTTAAGAAATTTAGCAATATAAATGAATATTGAAGGATGTCATGTGCATGTTTATTGCTGAATAAAATTTCATGAATAATAAAAGAAAATCATAAAACAAATCCAGGTTGATGAGTCGTTTTAATATTTAATATCACAATTTCAAGGTTTTTCCTTTTTTTGTGTACATTCAGATCAGTGAAGAAGAAGATAAAGAAATCTTTACTCTTTGACATCTGTCTGTCGTTCAGACCTTTGAATGACGAAATTATTTATTCATAAACTGCATGAGTGAGTTTGAAAAGAAAAGCAAACACGAGACACTTTTATCGTTTATGACGCGAGTGCTGCGGTGAATGTTGATGGGAAATGTTCTTGAATGTAATTTCGCCAACATAAATGAGATAAAGCAGAAAGAAAAGGGAAAAACTCTCCACTTAACTTTTAACCAGGGGTGAGAATTTATTCTAATATTAAAATTATGACAATAAAACGTTTAAGGCAAGGGATGGAATCAGTTTAAATTTCAAATGGTTTCAAGTTCAGTTCACGATTCTTCTCCAAATCATTTAGATTGTTTCAAGTTAGACTTTAGCAAATTGTCACATCTCATCCCTGGCTCTCATCAAAATTGAGTTTTTTTAACCACTTCTTCTTTTCACCCGTGAAAATACGAAGTACGAGCTCTGTAAAGTTCATGCCATGACATAATTGTGTGTTTCGTAAAGTGTAATCAACTCTCAGGCAATATCGTATCATAAAGTTCAGAACCAAGTTGTGAATGAATGAAAAGCTTTTTGAAGTGTGTGAAAAAGCATTAAAGTGACTTTCTTGTTTGTGTGCTTTTAAATTATGTTGATTCAGAGATGTCAAGGAATGTTTCAACTTCCACTGTTATCCCAAAGCTTAAATTAAATATTTATAAAATGAAATCACATTAAAGACTTTCTTGCTTTGACTTGTACAACATTACGCAATTTTTATTATCACTTGCGAACGATTTACATCAGCTTTCGAAATATTCAAGAATGAGAGAAAAGCTATTAATCATTTTCGATGAAAAGTCGATAAAAGTTTTAACGCAAATCATAAAAATTTTCAAACAAAAGTTTACATTACTTCAGAATGTGAGGGTGGGGGTGGTGGTGGTTTGGTCTTAAGAAAATAATAATAAATTTACGAAAAGCTTCGAACAATTCAAAATGGAAATTTTTCTTCAAATGACTCAATTTTTCCCTTAAATATTTAAATAAATATTTTTCCCATCATGTTGAATTCCCGCAAGTGTTTAAATGGAAATAATCTTGAAATTAATAATGAAACTTTTTTTTTGCTGTCGCTTAACTCGCACACATTTCGTTATGAAAAAAATGTTTAAATTCTTCTGTTGAAGTTTTCACATGAGAAAACATTTTTTATATTTTGATATTTTATATGAAAACGTTGAACTGAAAAGCTAAAAAAGAAACAAAGAAAAAAATTTCTCTAGTTTAAGTGAACAGTAGAGAAAAAGCTCATAAAATAATTCACATTAAAATATTTGACTCTGGAGAGAAAGAAACCGTGTGGCAAATGGCTTTGGGACTTTTCAATAATTCACAATGGCTTATGAATTAAAGTTTCAAAGGATGCTTGCAAAGCTTTCTGAATGAAATGGAATATTTGGCGAAGCTGCTTCACAGCATCATCATGAAGGCGGAGGGGGAGTAGATGATAGAGTTAAATAGTAAAGTAGTAAAATCATAATAAAATGTTTCCCATGGGTGTCCATGTGGTGTAAGGGATGTTGAGTCTTCTTGTTACTTTCTATACCGATATGTAAACATTCATAATTCACCAACTTTCTAAAGCTCTAGCTTATTCTGTATTAATGTTGTGTTACAAATAATCTTTAAAACTTTGTCTTCTTCTTTTTGTAAGCACATTGTTAGATTTGCCAATAAATCAAATCGAGTGAGAAACTTAAAGGAACAAGAACAACATAAATGTCGTCTTTATGTTGTCGTTTAAATAACAGAGAAATTGAATTTCTTTTCTTTTATAACATTTTGAAACGCTTGTGTTCTTTATGTCATTCCTTCATCCTCGACCATTCGTTTGGCTTCATTCATATCCACATCGATAAAAAGTTTAATCCAATAAATTTTCTTAGAGATTAAAATCTGAAAACATTTGTATTAGTACTGGATAAATGGAAGTTGAATTGAGAAAACGAGAGTAAAGATGGAAGCAGCAAATTAATTCAATAATCTGCGGTTGACCACTGTCATAAATTTCATTTTCTTTTTTTCAAGTTTCAGCTTTCGACTGTAAAGCTGTTTTATGGTTGCGACTCTTTTCATTTCATTTCCCAATAAATTGTTGTTTTTCAATAGCTTTTTATTCAGAAGGAGGGGAAAAGTTTGCTTATGCAACGTGCAGTGTTGTAACAATTAACTTTATTTTGACTTCTCTCAAAGTCTGTTTAATCTTGATTAAGAGAAAAATGTCTGCATGACTCTTTCCAATTCAGTTCATGAACGAAAATCAACGTTATAACTTGTTGTTTTATCTTAAAATCACTGAAAACATGCAATTGTCTCATTCTCATAAAATAAAATCTAATAGAAGCTAAAAGCTCGTAGTAAATGTTTTTCACGGTTGAAAAATAAATATCAGAAAACAATTTCACTTTGTAACGATTTAAAACGAAAGAATTAGTGACAGATTGTGTAAAGTTTATAATATGATGGCTTTGCAGGTTGAAAAAAAGCACGAAAGAAATTTCCTTGTTGTAATTGCAGCCGAATTATTCATGATGATGAAAGAACAATTTATTTGTATGGTATTCACGATGACAACTTGTTGTTATTTATATTTACTGTGTAAGCATGAAAAGCTTCTGTAGTTTGTCAGTTTACCATAATCTAAAACAACAGGGACATCCAGGAATCATGGTTTCTTATTTATTCAACTCGCTTTATCACTTTTTGTTTTAAATTTCAGAGAAAGCATGCAATCCATTTAAACTAAATATCGACATCATTCACGAACTTTCCATGATTAACTAATTATCAGTGTTGCGAATAGAAAGCACTACGCACATAGAATTCATTATTTCTTGCCTCGTTCTCGTGGTTGATACCAGAATGATAATACATAAATTAACAGCACACGAACTTCCTTTCGTGTTGATTCTCATTTTTGTTACGCATCTCATTGGCAGATTTTGTATGAACACAAAGCGAGTGATTATTGTTATCAGTAGAATAAATGTTTTAACATAATTAACGTTAACAAACATTAATTTTTTAATTTAGACTCTTAGGTAAGGAAAAGCGTGGGTGGAATTTTGAAAATTGGTTAATTAAGAGAATTTGATTTATTGTTTTTATGAACTGTTAAGCGAGCTGGAAGTTAAATGGGGGAAGAAGACAAAGTTTCTTCCAAATTGTTTTTTAACAGCCTTGTTCATTGAAAAAGTCTTGGAAAAACTTAATTCCTTTATTAAATAATTATTTATCGAACTTTGAACTTACAATACTTAATAGAAGGAAAATGTTTACAGCTTTTACAAATTTAATTAAGAATCGTCATAAATCACTGGTTCATTGGAATGCAATTTACGATTTGAAATTGGAAATGTTTCATTTTATTTATTTGATTAGGAAAATGTTTGTTTTCAATTTCCATTGTTGTGATGGGAAAATGTTTTTACGGTTTTAGTGTGTTGGATATTGTGAAAGTCGTCTTAAAGGAATCTCAAATTCCAATCATGAAAAACCGATAGGTTTTATTGTTATTTGTTATTTCCAATAAATGCAATGAAGACTGAAAGTCAATTCAAGTCGAAGCTGCTGTGTTAATAAAATTCTGAGGCAACCAAAACACTTTCATTAAACTATAAAAAAACCTTTCTCTTTTTTTCATTGGAAAATTCTTCGAGTCTGTTTTGTGAAGACATGTTAAAAGCTTCAGTAGATTGAGGCACGCTGCAAGGCCAATGAGAAATTTTAGTAAAAGTTTCCGGTTGTTTCGATATGAATCGTTATTGGCTAGAATGAATATTAGGAAACTATGGAAATTGATATGATTGTCGGCACAATTTTTCCCTTTCTTTATTGCAATTCAATACTTTCCCTTCAACTTGATGCTTTAATTGAGAAAGTTTCAACCACGATTCAACAGCACTTCATTCAAGAGGAAAGCAAACTTCTTTGAAGACTCTTGTCGATTCATTAGATTTTTACACAATCAAACCCCCGACTTCTTCTATCGCCACTTGAACTCGGCCCTTTTAATAGAAACAAAGAACAGAAAAATTGCTTGATTTCTACTTTTTGAGTTACTGAAAAAACGTTGTAAGACTCGACAATAATTTTTCCTCGCCCTTCCCCTTTCTTTCATCTAAATAACGAACAGAATAGAAATTACGGTATTGTTCTGGTTCATTGGCAGCGTCGGATCGTAAAAAAGTGTAGCAGCAAATTAATGGACCGTAAAGCGAAAAAGCGAAATTTCGTTTTCGTCGGCAAAACATTTTTCTTGTGTCGTTTTCTTAGTTGCAAAGTTGATTTTTTTTTGTTTCTTCTCGAGACTTAAAACAACTTTGTTAGTCGCTAATATACCTTTTGCGATAGCAGAGAGAGCTCATTGTGAATTCATTGTGCGCAAGTAGTTTAAAAAGTTTCAAGAACAATTTCAATCTTTGAAGCGAGACGAAGGAAAAGAGCTGCAAAAATGTTTTCACAATTGGTAGTGAATTAGAATTTTCGCTTTCGTTCGATTTCCATTAATCGAAGTACGATGTGACTAAAACAATTTTTTTCTTTCTACCATTTTCAGTTGAAATTTATATTTTTGATCGTGACATTCCTAAGTGTTGGAGAGGTGCTTGGCGCGACAGCACGGGAACGAGATTTATCGGGTAATAAACGTTGTTAAAGGCTGTTCATGAGGCATTTACATCATCATTCTTCACTTCTGTATTGCAGGCTCATCGAACCGTGTTCAAATGAGGATTTATAGAGGTCCATCGAATGGCGAGCACACACAGTTTGGATACTTTATCCGACAACCATCATTTGACTAGACTTCAATTTTTTATTCCACATTTTTTTCTCACTACGCCCGATGATAGAAAAAAGAGTCCATTAGAATTATCACAACATAAAATTTCATAACTCAATTAATCACTGAATATATCGTCATCGGTTTGTTGAAATTCATAAAATTTCCCCACATGTAAAAGCAATCAATTCAATCGGAAAGTGGAAAGTGGAAAATTGAATGCGGTGGTGATAATGACTGGTAAACCAAAAGTTTACTTTTTTCATTTAGATCATCAATCATCCCATATCAGTTTCTTTTTTTTCTCTCGGAATATTCAGGTGAGAATTAGAAACATCAATAAAAATGTTTGTTGTAATCACAAAAATGGAGAATAATTCCACAATCTTTCAAATAAATCTCCATAGACATGTTTGTATGGTTTTACTTAAACGCAATGATGATGATGATAAAAATCACAAAAATAAGTGCCTCAGCTTCATTTCTTTCAGCAACAACAACAGTTCATTATTCTTCATAAAATCCCAGTTTTTATTGCTCTGTAGATATTTCATTTCCTTTATTTGTCTTCTCTTGTCTTAATGCATAAGTAAAGATGGTAAAACGCAATCAACAGGAAAGTAACTCAAGATACACTCAGAGCTTCAATTTTAATAATGAGACACTTTTAAACCCTAAAGAACCAGTAAGACAAAAGCACTTAAGGAAAGGAGAAGAAGAAGAGAAAGAAGTAATAAGAGTTAAAATAAAAACATTAACAGTTCTCTCCTAGACGTGCCTAGAACACGAGTGTCTGTGAGCAGCCGGCGAAATTTAAATGGAAATCTTTTTTCTTTCCTTTTTAATTTTTTCATTGCAATAATGGAAAAAAGAAAAATCTTTCCATTCTTTTCATCATTTTAGTTTTTAATGAATTGAATTGAAGATTTTGCTTGGTAGGAGAGAACAGAGGAAGGAGAAAAGGAAATATTGGATAAAAAGTTTTCTTTTTGCTTCGAATACCTCCGTGGATCGATTCATTTCTCTTTCAGATTTTAAAAGACGATTGCTGCTGAATCTGTGTCGTTCAGATTGTTCTTACAAAGTTCTCGTCTTTAAAGATTCACACAGCTTGAAATTAATTCCGATTCCCAAATACAAGACTGAAAAGACGGGAATAAAAGGATCGCAATCGTAAATTTTAAGATAACAAGCAGCAGGTTTTTTGTGGACAGAAGATTCAAAGAAAGTTTTTATTTTTCTTTTTTTTTGTTCATTTTCAGGCTAACTTTCAATGTTCTTAAATGAGCTTTAAGCTGTTAGAAATTTAAGAGACCTAAACACATGTTTGAGTTACATAAATTAATGTTCTCCTAGACAAGACGATTACAGAACTCAACATAGTGGAAAGTCTGCATGAATAAATGAAAATTTAAATAAGCTTACCATGAATATCAGTTTAAAGTTAATTATTCTAGGTCGAGAAACTAATGCTGTTGTTTAGTTTGACCGAGAAAGACGATAAACAGAAGTTGTATGAAGCATACAGACGAAACAATGAATAAAAAAATTGTTTATAATTGTTAAATAATCCCTTTTTGATTAATGTTGTATAACGTGACAGCATCGGATGTTAAGAAACAATTCTTATGTCCCTTCATGAGGATATTTTTTCCTTTTCAGTCTTGTGGGAGGAAAAGGGACGCCTAACTATGGACCATTAATTAATTTTTTATGAGACAAAACGTCCTTTTTGTTTAAGTGTGGTCGGGTTAGGTTGGGTATGGTCAAGATGGATGAAACGTGGCCGAAATCAGTCCAACAAATTCGACACTTTGTGTCTTGTTTGTTGGAATTATTGGATCGTTCTGTCGATGTCTTCGTGGATTTCTTTCTGCTTTGCCTTTTCATTTCCTTCGCAGTTTTTTTCTTCAGTTGCCAATTAATATTTCAGGAAAGCATCAATCAGCGAAAAAAGGAAAATAAAGAACAAGTATCAATAATAAAATGAATGCTAGCGACATGATAAACGACAACAAATTAGATTGCAAACTTTTCTTTCCTTTCTTTGGATTTAATTAATTTCGTTAATTATACAAAGTGTCGCTTGTTGAAAAGGGTTTTTTCCAGTCATCTACTTTGCGCCTTGAAGTTTGCACCAACTTTTCTTTTTCGTTTTTCATCCTAATAAAAGTCGGTGAAAATTTGTTTATTTTAGACTTGAAAAGAAAATTATTCTCGCAATGATCTCACCAAAGCATCAAGTGTTGAATTTAAAATTTTATTAGACATTTTTTATGCTAGCAACATTTTATGGGTCATCTCATGAAGTGGTTTTTTGAGGGTATTTTGGTGCGTAAGATTACTTTATTGGGTTGTTTTTAAATATCTAAGACGAAAAGCTTTTAATATGACGAATAAAACAATTTCCATCTTTCCCAGAGAGCTTACAGAAATGAGAATTTGAAACTGCAAAAAGCAAATAAAAATGTAAATAAATTTCAAACAGAACTGTGAAAGTGAAATTCTTTTAAATTCATTCATGATATCATCTTGAGAAGAAAATCGTTTCATTTCTAATTCATAACTTCAATCTCAAACTTTTGATTCTTTTCATCGTTATCTGTAAATCGTTTACTTCGTGTTGAGAATTTTTTTTAAAGTTGTTAAAAGTTTCGTGTATAAATTTTCTTTCATCCTAAGCTAATATTCTCTCGTTTTTTTTCTGTTTTACTTTTTGCCATCTCTTATCTCGTGAGCTAACTGTCGACGTTGCAGAAATTAAACAAAAAAGTGCCTCTTCAGCGTTATGAATAACTTTATGAACATCGTTAAGTAAATAAGCTAAGACGCGACAAGTGCTTTGATGTGTCGCCAAGTATCGTGATTAATATTCATCCCCATTTTCTCTCTTTTCCCTTCGCACTTCCTTGCTACAATCTTACATCTTCAAAACTAATCTTTTGAAGATGCGAGGGCATCTCGTAAATTATCTAATGACGAGAAAATAATTATTTTTCGCTTTGCTTTTCTTCCGAGAATTCATAAAACATAAAATTAATGAGCAGCAATTTGTCTTTCAACATTTTTTTCTCTTAACAACGAGTGAATTTCTGGGATTCTCATTTCCTTTGCAACAACAATTCTCGTGCTTTGCTCGTGCTTATTTATATATTCTCAATCCTACAGAGCTAATTGCTTATTGAAAGAAAGCAAACTGGTTGCTTGTTCATTCCACATCTTGTATCAGCGTTTAACAAACCAATGAAGTATTATTTTCACGAATTTTCGCATTCGGTGTTTGTTAGCGGAAACCGTAGAAACATGCACAACAATTTGTTGAGTTCTGCAGAAGCGCATGCTATGAATGCTGATTCTGAGCTTTAAGCTACCTCTTTGAATAAAGAGATAAAAAATTATTTGTAGCAACATGTCGTCGACATAAATCATTAACAAAATCCGGATTTAAAGAAAGTTTCATGCGGATTTGAAGCTTGATTCAAGGTCTTCTACACGCTGTTGATTCTTCTTCCAAAGCTACATGAATGAATTTCATATTAAACAATGTCAGAACATGAGCAAGAGAATTAACTACAACCAATTTGAAGCGGATCAAGTCACGTCACATGGAATAAATCAAGGAAAATCTTGTAAACAACTCAAATTTCCTTTAAGAGAAAAGCAGAAAATCAGAAAAGCAAAACAATAGAACCACATATGACAGCCTTCCAAACAAGTTGCTTCATCAACTATTCGAATTATTTTCTCCTTTTTCCTTCATTCAATCGAACAACAATGAGATGGAGGAAGCAAAGTGAATAACAAGATTATAAAATCGATGATGAGATTATGTTGTTGTCGAACTGCGTCAGATGTTACTTTGTGGTACGATGAAGGGTTCAATCAATGAGTAAATATTTTCCCATTCAACATATGACAAAAAAAAGCATCTAGTCAATGAAAAATGTAAGAAGACATACGAACGAAAGCTTGAGACAAGAAGAAGTGAAAATATTGGCTTAGGCAACCCTGTAAAGATTTTCTAAAAGACTTGTCATTGAATTCAATGAAGCTTTCCATGTTACGACAATCGATTTATGCTATAAAGACTAAATTGATGCTGACATCAATAGCGAATTGTATACAGGGATAGAAATTGTTTTTTTTTTCGAAAAATCAAAAAAGAAATTATAAGAAAATTAAAATGAGGAAGAAAATATCAAAATAAGTCGTCAAATTTTAATCCCTGAGACAAGTCACGACACTGTGGGAGTTAATAACATAAGCTCAACATTTTTCAAAGCTTTATTTAGTAATATCGTGAAAATATATTTTCAGAGCTACATCAAGCGTAGAAATCCGTTTAAAAAGTTATAATTTATAAATTTACTTGAAGGGATTCCCATGAAAGTAATAGAATGAATCTTTACTGTGTAAGCGTTGCAAATCGGATGGTTGATTGTACCGTTTACTTCGGGTTAAGGGAGAATGAGATTAAAATACTAAGCACTAAAGGTTTCTGCTGGTTTTACGTTGATAAATGATGATGACTCTCATCACATAGAACGTTAGTACGCTACTGTGCAAATGAATAGAATTTCACTCAACGTATTCTTGACAGGAGAAAGAGAAGAAGCAGAAGAAACAGAAGTAACAGCAGCAGCAGCAGCACAACTAATGATAGTTGAAAACAAAATGATGAATAATGAATGAGACTCAACCTAAAATTCCTCTGAAGCTATCATTTGATTTCATTTCATGATGATGAAAGATTTCAATTTGCTTTCAGTTTCATTCGCTCTTCTTGGGGATATTTCTTATTCTTATTATGTGAATGTTTGTGAACTACCCTCAAGTCACTGACTCTGATGTCACTTTGGTAGTGATTCTCATTTAATTGTTATAAAGTGCTTTAGATGAGAGAACAAACATGTCACTTGCCATTGTGGTAATCAACAATTTAATACTTTTTATTGATAAGTTTCAGCATCACGATTCGATTAGTTTTGCCTTCAAAAGCTCTCACAAACACAATCAACTTGAGTATTGAAGCAAATACCCTTAAGGTGCATCACACTAAATGTTTGAATTAAAAAAAATTGCTTTTGAACTTTCCAGATAAACTCAAATATCTTCGCTTCGTTTCATTTCTGTGCCTTTTTTTTCATTTAGTTCAGAATAAATTCGAAGTCTGCGATGAAAATTCAAAGAACTTTTATTATTCAAATCACATTCATGAAAAAAATGTTCGTGTTTCATCTACATGCAGACACTTTTCTATGTCTAATACACAAAACTTTTCCGGTTGTTGATCTTTGAAAGAGAATTCTGCTTTAGAGAAAGAGAATAAATGATGAAAAGTTCAATTGTTAAACATATTGTTTGATTATTTAGACTGAATAAGCTTTGTTTATGATTCTCGTTCACTTAAAAACGAAACTATGTCAACTTCAGACACAAAGCATCTTGGAAATCAAATATTTAGAAAAACCAAATCATCCTGAAAATGTTTAGGACTTTGTAAATTAAGTTGCTTATATTAAATAAATTATCTCACAAAAACATTCCTAGAAGACATAAATTGTGAAGTAAAGCACAAAATCCTCGATAACCATGACAATAATTTATCTCAAATATTTGACCTTTCAAACATTTCAAAGTAATTTCAAAATATTTTCAACTTTTATTTAATCAGACATCAAAGAATTTTATGATTTAATGATACGTTTACGATCCCTTTTTAACTATGCATAAACAACCATAGAAATCCAACTAATTATCCATCTGGAGACATTTTACAGTTTTTTCTTCTTCCTTTTGCTTTTTGTAAAAGTTTATAAATCTTCAGAGGAAAATGTTCATTTGAGATTTTCCCACATCATTTAATGAGATTGAGATAACAATCTTGCTTTTCGTATATCGTAACTTTTCAAACTTTCGGTCACAAATCTTCCCACACATAAATCATTTAGGGCTTCTTTCTGAATAAAAGCTTCCGATTATAAGATGTGAAAGCGGAAGCTTGAGGTTATATTCTGGTGAGTTATTATTTTGAAAATTCTTTTCAATCTCGTGGATAAAGAGCTTAAATAGATTATCCTTTGAAAATCTGCTCTTCTTCATAATCTTTCAAAATTTAATTTATATTAACTAAGTTTGCATAAAATATCTTGATTAGAATTAATATGCATTATTTTATAACTTCTAGCTTGGCATAAATTCGATAAATTTAATGAAGTTCAGCATCGTCCATAAATATAACATCGAGTAGTGAAATAAAATAAAAAAACCTTTCTGACATCCCTCCATCTTCTGTCTTATGTGTGCGATAATGAATTCATTCGATATGTCTTTCGAATCGAGAGGGAAAAAATAAATAACGAAATAAAGTTGTTAGCAGTGGTTCATTGGGCTGAAATCCATCCGACAAAATCAATGTGTCATGCCTACGATTTTAATAAATGACTTCGAATTTATTTTATGTCAACAGAATATTTTTTTTCTCTTTCTCTGTTCAATTTCTATTTCTCGTTTACTGTAAATAAACATTTAAGATCAACGTTCATTCGGCACATGCTGTACTCGAAAATTTCCGTTTAAAAACGAGCTTGGGAAGACACAATGGTAATGAAAGAATGAGAACACAAAAATAAACTTTTGAAATTTATTTACGCTAAGGTTCAAGTTACACATTGAAAAGTGCGAAGCTTTTGAATGACATATACTTAATTTCATTCCGAAAGCGAGATTCCTACTTCAAACACTTTACGATTCTTGTTAAATAAAGAAGAAAAATAGCTTGTTAAGAAAATAAGACTTTATTTCCGGAAGGGGGAAAACATTTAGTTTAGCTTTAATATTCATTATTTCTAATGCTTCGGCAAATAATGAAATGAGTTTTTGCATAATTTAAGAACATCATTGAGATGATGAAAATGGTCGAAAAGTTTTTCAAATTAAACGAAATAGGTATTTAGTCGAGTTGATTTGAGAGATAAAAACAAGGATAAAAAGTTCAACAGAGAGCTTTGGATATGCTCTCACGGAATTCGACGATTTTATTTTATTGAGAGAGTTTGAGCTTTTACTCTCATTTTTCTTGTAAGATATGAAAGCTCTGAGATTAAATTCTTATAAACAAAAGCTGTGATATGAAAACAGTTGATATGGAGAAAAGTGTTTCACATATCAGAAGCATAAGCTTGAAAACAACACAAAATTATAGACAATGATAATTCCATAATAATTGTTACGATAATAATTTTTCTATCTCAGATTTTAAAGCTTATGAATTTGAAAATCTCCGAAAATTTTAATTAAAAACCATTTCAATTGTTTAAATGTGCTTCTTTTCATCAAAAATCCAACAAAATTACTTCAAACTCGTAAATATTACAAAGTATTAACATAAGTAAGCCATTTCATTTGATACCATTTTCATGAAAATTCCACAAATTTGAAAGCATTTTTAAGGCTGCTTAAAGCCTTTCCTAAATATTCGAAGTGAATGCTTCCTTTTATTCATGTTTGATATTGCTTTGTTCTCCGTTAATACATAAATATCTTGAATAATGCGAAATGAATCTCTTGAAAAGCTTCACCACAATCTAACTGACATAATGAAAAACAAAAGTCTCAATTAACCCTGAAGATGAACATTCTGCTAACATCTCGCACTTTTTCTCCTCTTAGCGATGATGTTTTATTTATGATTTTTTATTACATTGAAAGCATCGTAAAACATGTGGAATTTATTTTACTGTGTGCTTTCAGCAACAAAACAAGCTGCGGGAAAATCTTGTAGATAATAACTTTCGCGAGGTTTATCTTTTGGGGTTGCTTCTGTTATCTGAGAGTAACATAAGGCATCTTAAAGCCAGGAAAAAAAGCAAAGCCGTTAATGAAATAATTAAGTAAAATGACTTTACCAGGAGCGAAATTCTTTTTTTCACATCTTTCCCCTATCTGTTCTATTTGTTGTACAATGTTGTTCAAACAAAAATAGGGAAAATAGATAAATATGGCAAGAAAATTAAAGAGTAGAAGAAAAACAGACCAAAGTTCATGAAAAGTAAAGAGAAACTTAAGAAGGGGAAAACTTTTGTTTCTGTTGCATTTTGGGATGTTCATTGATGCTTCCTTTTCTCATAGTCTTCTATTGCCCTTATTAAAAGAAGAACATGACATCTGACAGCATCAACAACAAGCCATTTTTTGTGCAAATACCATCAGGTTTCTTTCGGTCGCCTTCTTCCTTTCGAAGTCTCATTATTAAGTTTAACAAATCATTGTTTGAGGAGACAATCACTTCCGATACTTAACGAGCTTTTGATTCGGATATTTCCTTGTGTTCATTCTCGACATTGTTGTGGGTGGAAATTTTTTACAGCTGCAAATGATTTTGAGAAGAGAAATTTACGATTTTTTTTCCTTTTTTTTCTGCCACCACAGAAGAAATTTCTTTCGATATCGAAGTGAAGAAATAATTTCATTCGTTCTTCTTCTTTGTCTTCCTTAATTACATTCCGTGCATAATTAATGCTATTATCTCGTTTGTTTGCTATCTGAAGTGAAATGCTTTCTTGCTGACTTTGTGAGAAAAGAACTTCGAAGTGTTTTTTGTTTTAGTTTCAAATAAATTCTCACAACAAGGAGAATATTTTTGCATTAAAATTTAACTTCTCATGCATTTTTATTTGTTTTCGATAAAAAGTTTCTGCTGTTACTGCAAAACTAATAAAATCGGTGAAATAATTGGAAAATGTCCAACATTTGCCTGTCGATCCGAGAGTTGAAGTTTGAAGAAACAGAAACAAATTGTGTCGTCGTAAATATAAAATGTCAAACATTTAAAGTGAAAAATTCTGCAAAGCTTGCAAAAGAAGTAAATCGATTTTCTGTGTGCTTCAGGAAAACTCGTTCAGCCTTTAAATTGCATTCATTGATGTTACTTTGTGTTGCTGCTTTCACGTTGAAAATCTCTGCATTCGTCTGGGAGAACCCGAAGCGAAACTTTTTGTGAGATGAGCTGATTTGGTTTAAGATCAAAGATCTTGGTTGGATAACAGTTGAGAGTAGCAAGAACATGCACATCCGATTGACTAGCACGACACTTGCTTTTATTTGAGTTCAGTGTTGAAGGCAAAACATGTAAAACTTAAACTTGAACGGACTTCCCCTCGGTATCCAAAGGGTGAAATACTTAAAATCTGAG